CCCCCCTCCCCCAACTATCGAACCACCAGAAACAGACGCCATGACAGACGACTCGAGGCCGCCTGTCGCCGCCGTCGCCCCCGTGGTGTCTGCTCCAGCACCCCCTGCCCCCAACGGCGCCCACAACGAGAAGCTGGCGTCTTCATCGTCGTTGAAACAGCAGCCCACCGTGGGCGCCGCCGCTGGCAGGCAGAACTCGTGGAACCTTTCGTCGGCCAGCCAGATGGACGAGAAAGAGGCCGACCGCCTAGGCCGCATACGCCCGCCAATATTCAAAAACACCTTTGTCGAAGCTGGCTTTTGCGCCGCAATCCTGCTCTCCATGATCATGGCTGTAAGGCACTGCCCCCTCCCTCCCGTCTTGGCGTCGCCGCCTTGGTATCTCGCTTGTGTCCTGCGCGTGTCTGTCGGACGCCCATCCACCAGGACGTATCGAGATGCCGACAAGCGGCATCAACCCTGCTGCAGCGAGGCAAACCCGTAACCAGACAGACGTCCGGCTGACCCAGTCCTCAAACGCTCGCAACACAGGAGTTCCTAATAAGTGGCTTCAATGTCGTCTTGCCCAACCTGATGGTCGACCTCGAATTCGGTGCCGAGCGGAAGACGTGGCCCTCGAGCGTCTTCTCGCTCGTTGCCGGCGCCTTTCTGCTCCCCTTCGCCCGCCTGTCCGACGCCAAGTTTGGTGGCTACGTCGTCTTCCTGTGCGGCAACGCCTGGATGGGCATCTGGACCCTCGCCGCCGGCTTCGCCCAGAGCTACGAGATGCTCATCGTGTTCCGCGCCATGCAGGGCCTCGGCGCCGCCGCCTTCCTGCCCTCGGGCGTCACCCTCCTGGGCCGCGCCTACGCCCGCCCTGGCCGCCGCAAGAACTTTGTTTTCAGCATCTACGGCGGCTGCTCGCCCTTTGGCTTCTTTGTCGGTGTCCTTATCGCCGGTGCTGCGAGCCAGCTGGCGAGCTGGCATTGGTTCTTTTGGGTCGGAGCCATCATGCTGTCTCTCGTCTGCCTCATGACATTTCTTTGCGTCCCAGCCGAGGCCAAAGGCGCCCCGGTCGCCATCGACCACGAGACGGGTCAGGTCGTGCCGCACCCTCCCATGGATTGGCTCGGCTGCGCCACTTCGATCCCGGGCCTGATGCTGCTGGTCTATGCCATTACAGACAGCCCCTACCAGATTGCCAGCGGATCCTTCTCCGGCTGGAGGTCTCCCCAGATCTTGGTCACCTTCATCCTTGGTGTTCTGTTTCTTGCAGCCTTCGTCTACATCGAAGGCTGGGTTGCCACGGCGCCCCTGGTTCCCCGGAGCATCTTCAAGGTCAAGCACATTGCTGCCTTGTTCCTGTGCATGTTTGTATCGTTTGGGTCTTTTGGCATCTACCTCCTTTATGCCAGCTTCTAGTAAGTTCTTCCAACCCCTTCCTGGTTATAGACCGCGAGGATGAGGTGAAGAAACAACGTACTAACCGGCGCCTTTTTATTCAACTGCAGCATCGAGACCATCCTCCACACCCCTCCGCTGCTCGCTGCTGCCTGGTTCGCGCCGCTCGCTGTGGGTGGGCTAACGATTGCGTTGCTCGGCGGCGCTTTCCTGCACAAGATCCCAGGCACCGTCCTGATACTGATCTCGACGGTTGGCTTCCTGGTCGCGGCCCTGCTCTTCTACTTCATCCCCGTCCGCGACGCCAACTACTGGGCTTGGGTCTTCCCGGCCATGGTGTGCGCCACCATCGGCATTGACATCATGTATAATGTGGCAAACATCTTCATCACCACCAGCGTCCGTTCGGACCAGCAGGGGCTGGCGGGCGCCATCATCAACGGGCTCGTGTTCCTGGGCATGAGCTTCTTCCTGGGCTGGGCCGAGCTCGCATCGGCCGTGAACTCGTCAGACGCCCCGGACAACATGCTGCGCGTCTCGTTCCTGCTCGCATGCGGTTGCGCCGGTTTCTCGGTCCTGCTTGTGATATTCGGCATCAGGATCCCCAAGGCCACCGCAGGCCTCACGGCCGACGAGAAGGAGCGTCTGGCGCGCCAGGGCAACTCTTCGACGCCGGAGCCACCCCTCGTCTCGGATGACTCGTCGGCGCCGGCACAGTCCAAGGTTTAGGATCCGGACCAGACGGCCGAGTGGGGTGCTGCGGCTCTGTTATACTAGTGTATTTCTACAACAAAACCATGATACGGTGTTTGGATTTCTTTTTGGGTTAATGGTTTTTTGCGTTTTTGGCGGCATTTTTCTTCATGTCCAAAGTCGGCATCGGCAGCAAGAAATAAGAATGGGGAGATAGAGAAGGGCAAATGACACGTCAGGCCGCTTCCCACACCAAGTGGGAGGGCCGAGACCATTTGTATTCAAGAACAATTGGCGCCCAGGCACAGCATCAGACGAATCAGAAGCGCATCTAAAGCTGAAACAGGAGACCCGGCGCCTTGTCTGTGCGGCCAAGTGCCGAACAAGACGCCGTTTCGCGCCAAGTACCGTTGGGCCCTGCTTCTTGGTAGCTAAAACTGCCCCGGAAGCTAGTTTCCATGCTTGTCAAGAAAAAGAAGAAGAAAAAAAAAAGGTACACCGGTACCTGCCGGATTATGCGCTGCTTTTCTTGGAAGCAGGGTCTTCATGCGTCCGCGATAAACACATGGCAGGGGACGCCGACATGGGGGCGGGGGATTCCCTCCCACTTTCCGTTTCGATGCCCATGTCACAGCTAGCCCTGTTTTCACTGATGTCTTTGCCCGTGGCGGTGCATCTAAAGAGAGAAGTTATATTTGAACCTCTTGGTGGTGGTGAAAGACCAAAAATACCCAAAAGACAACAAGATCCACGCGACTGCTCGCTATCCAATGCTGTAACGGATGGTAAATCCCCCAAAATAGAGAACCCCCTCCCTGCTTTTGCCCGTGTCCCAAAAGAGAACGCAAGAGTGTCGAGTTGTTTCCACCGCCCGCCATTCCCCCTCCCACTACTTGCACTATCCGTGCAACCTCCTTGTGCCCGCCGTATCCCAGTCGCGTTCCTCTGCCAAGAAATTAACGCCGCAGTGGCGACTAAGTGGTTGAAGAAGAAAAAAAGGTACTAAGTGAATAAAATGGCCTAGATGGGAACAAAAGGTGTCAAGGTTGGTTATAAAGATAACAACAACAAGTCGTAGAACGTGGTTTTAACAGTCGTCGTCGTGCGCACCCCCGCTCGGCGGGGGAAATGCAGGTGAATTCATGAGCGTTCCATCATCTGCCTTCCCAGCTTGTCTCCTAGCACCAACCACCGCTACACCAAGAGGAGCTCCTCGCCGCTGCGGCAGAGTTCCTCCAGCCACGAGAACTCGTCCGCGCAAGCGTTGGAGGACGGGGAAGAGTAGTGGAAGTCAAGCAAGTCGTCCTCGGCCTCCTCGGAGATCTGCAGGGCGGGCGGCACAACGGGCCTGGACGCCCACGTCTTGGCGAGCACCTGCATGGCGCGGCGGACGCTGCGGCAGTGTAGCAGGCCGTACATCTCGGCGAATACGCGGCGCACGACGTTGCGGTCGTCGTCGCGGCGGGCCTCGGCGCCGGCCACGAAGGCGGGCCACAGAGCGCCCTTGAAGTGCGCGTCCTCCGGAGTTAGGTGGTTGAGGTGCCAGGCGACCGTGTGCGCCACCTCGACCAGGTGCCGCTGCCCCTGCTGGGCGAAGCAGGCCGGCGAGGGGGCCGCTGCCGCGGGCGCCACGGCTGGCATGCCGCTCCAAGGGTCAGTAAATGTCGGCTCGTCGCTGCTGGCGCTGTTGCTGCAGTACGCCTCGTCCACGTCGGTGTATTCGCACGTTGCGGCGACGGGAGACCAGTGGGCCTCGAGGTGGCGCTGCAGGGCGCGGCGCGCAAAGATCTCGATGGCGCCCTTGTAGGCCGACGCGAGGTGGTGGCGATTCTGTACCCAGTTGGCGTCCGTGTTGTGGCTTGACGCCCAGGCCCAGGCGTCGAAGGCGTCGATCTGGTTTATCAGCTCGTGGGCCTGCCGAGGCTGCGGGTCGAGAGCTGCGTCAACGCCGTGCAGCTTGTTGACCAAACGCACCATCTTGAGCAAGTGTGCCGGGCAGCCCGTCCAGCTGCGCGTCTCGGCCCGGTCCAGTATCCTGTCCACCTGCTTGTCGCCAAAGATCTCGCCCAGGTCCTGCTTGTTGGTGGTCAGGGTCGTGCCGAACGTGTGCAGACTACTGTTTGTCAGTTACTTGGCCCAACCTGATCCTGTCAAGCAAGTCAGACTTACACTAAACACGTCTCCTCAAAGTAGTTCTGGAAGGTCCACAGCTCCTGCTCGGGTGACGACATGGCCTCGCTGTTTACGGGTGGTGAAGGACCATATGAGCCGTTCAGATGGTAGTCTGGCGAGCCCCGCCTCTGTTGCATATTTTGCCTCCTCTGCTCCTCCTCCCTCCTCTCCTTGGCCATTGCGTTCTTCAGGTGCTGCTTACGAGCCGTCAGCAAGGCCACCATGCCGTCGAGATGACACCGCCATGACTTGGTCCCCGACTCGAGCAGCTCTACCCAGATAAGCAATAGCGACGCGGCCACGACGGCGTCGGAGTGGTCGAGCGAGTTTAGTGCTGTGCGCAGGTTGATGATGGCCTTGCTCTTATGGGTGAGCGCGTCGGAGAAAATAGAGGGGTTGGAGACGCCGTTCTGATCGTCGTCGCCGTCATCGTAGCGGCCGGGCGACATTGGCGCCTCTAGCACCTTTGGCGCGGGCCTGGACGAGGCCGCGAGATGGTGTGCGGCCAGGGCAACGACAGTGTTGTGCACAAGTGGGCTGCCCTGACTCAGGGCCATAAAAGAGCGATATGGGTTCATCCTCTCTTCCTCCTCGGGCGCCTGGGGAATGGTACATTCGGCGCAACATCGTCGCAAGTCTGTCGGTGTGGTAAAATAGGTGTGAGCACTAAGCACTCCTGTGGGCTACAAGATGAACACGACCATGGAGGCTCACTTACAGTATTCTATATATCCCCTCGTCTTGGCGTCGTGGCCGACAAACATGGGCTCTGTGGGTCGGCATAGCAGGAGCTCTGGGGGCGGCAAAGGGGCCGTGACGGTGATGGTTGCTGGTCTCGAAACTCTCCGCGACTGTTGTGACTGTGATGGCCTTTTTGCCAAGACCAGCTCGCCGGATCCGCGGGATGAGGGGGAGGACGAAGACGAGGATGACGCCTTCTCGGCGGCCTTGTCTGCTTTTGCGGCCTCGGCGGCGGCAGCCATGGCGGCGACGACCTTCTTGCTGGTGCGCCTGCCGAGCCCGACCCATACAAAGGGCTTGTCGGGCCCGTAGCCAAGACAGCGGTAGCCGGCCTTGGCGCATTTGGCACAGGTTGGCAATCTGCTGTCGCACCGCAGTCGTCGTCGCCGGCAGGTCCAGCACGAGACGGGCGCGATGGACCGGCCCAACTCAGACCATGTGCCGTCGGAGACGTCCATGGTCGGCGGGGGGCTGTGAGGGGGTATCGTGAGGCTGTGGGAGCTGCTAGGACGGCAGCAGCTTTGCGGTGAGGGGCCCTCAGTCGGCTGGGCACCAATGTGATGATATTTCTGGCTGGGAGCTGGTGACCGGACTTCTAGGTCAGATCAAACCTTTGGCTCCCGAGGCCGCTCTCTACGGTCTTTCGTGGGCCTCCCTTGCTCGTCCCTGGTGGACGTCTGGCAGGTTGACGGTATGTGGAGGTGATGTATGGCCTGGAGCGATGGCGGTGGTGCTGGTGTTGAGGCTGATGCCGAGACCGACAATGGGGCAGGCCTTGGGATCTTGGGGCGGTTGGGTCTGGGGATCTGTTGCCAGCAGCTGTACTGGTTATTGGTGTTTGTTTATTTGTCTTTTGGATGTGATGCCAGCTTCCTGGGTTGGGATGGGTTTCGGGAGGGGAAGATAGAGACAGGGCATTGCGGATGTAAAGAAGGTTGCCGAGATCGACAGGCTTGGGCCACCAGGACCTCGGCCTCGGGCGGCGCAGGGCTTCCTGACCCGCATGCGAAAGGCTAAACACACCAGAGCCATAGAAAAGTGCCAGAAGCCAGGAGTCGCTTTGCTCGGGTTACTGGCCACCATCCCAGCTTGCAGGGGGAGGGGCCTGGGGCGGGGCCTGGAGTCCAGGCACCTGACTCGCCCAGTGCAGCACCCCATGTTTCGCCTTGGGTTCCCTGGCCGTTGGGCTCGCCGCTAAAACCCCCAGCTCGAGGCGTGCAAGGTGGAGGGTGGGTGGTGTCTGCACCGTGTGGCTGCATGGTGCGTGTGGTGTGTCTGCAGAGCCGGGGCTGCATGGTCTCCACGTTGACCAGCAGCTGCCACCCAGCACACACCCAGTAGTGGCCGCGCAATCAGCGCCGCTGACTGAGAGGGCAAACCCCCAGGCAGGGTCGGCAGCCGTTTCGGTTTCCGCGGGTGCCGCGCGGCTGGACCCGGTGCCCGCTGAGGGCCGTTGGAGAGACGTTGAAAACAAAACAAAATGACAATGGTCGGGACGGGAAACGAAGAGCCGGTGCGCAGTGCCGGCAAGCTGGTTGGTCAGCCTGCCTCGGTCGACTCGACATCTCCAGCTACCTAGGTGCCCAGCTAGGTAACCTAGGCTCCCACAGCGCTGGGTCTTTGTAGAGGTCAAGCTGTCTTGGCCTGGTGATGTCTTGGTTTTGGTCATTCATCTTGGTGCCGCCGGGTCGAAACGGCTGGGCAGAGGTCCCTTATGCCCTCAAGCTGGGCGGCCAACCGCTTGACTGCCGATGGAATGTTCTACGACTGCCGATCGCACCTGCCCAAACACTCCAGAATCCAACCTCCAGGCTCGAATCCATCCATCCTGATGACAAAGAGCCCTGCGCACGGCCCACAACTCAGCTCATCCTTGTCCAACACGCGGCTGGGGCTTTTTTTAATTTAACTGTGCAGCCCGCGCCTGCCACCGCTCGTGCGGTCCCACTGTTTGGTACCGCGCTGTGGAGCCGCCAGCCCACCAGGTCCTCAACTGGCCCTACCAGCGACCGTCTCCCCTCATCACTCACACACTCCGACCCGGCGCCGCGGCGGAGGCTTGGGCCGCCGACAGTCGGAGGGATGCGACAAAGGGGTTGCCATGCTTCCTCATAAGCAGCCACCATGCAGAGCCGTCCGACACTGGCTCGAGCTGGCTCTCATCCCATCCCAAGACCTCAATATATATCCCAAGTCCACAGCCCCAAGTTCCCAAACCACTCCAGCCCGCCCCGCCTGACGTGTGCCAGCCTGGGGCAGTCAATGCGGCGAGGATATAAAAAAAGAACAGTCAGTAAACCGCCCAACGTGCTGCCGCAGCCCCCGGCCCGTCCTGTGTGACCTATCCTTGCCTATGGTTTACGCCCCCGGCACTGCATCGACTCAGTTGGACGACCTTGGGGGCCGACCGACCACTCGTCTCGCCAGCACCCATCCCACACCATCAATCTCCGACCATCTTAGCCCTCCCTGTGCACGGACCTTCATAATTTATGACCAGACCGTGTTGCCGCGAGGTCCAGAGTCGAGAACGCGCAACCAGACCGGGATATCCCGGCCGTCCAGGCCTGTCTCCAGCCTGTTACAGACAAACATCTAGCCGGCTCAGCCTACCTGGCGCTTGACATGAACAGGCACCGCGCCCGGGATGAGTTGTGCCCTGGCGTGCCCACCCATGATGGCGCGCCCGGCATCGTGCCTACGCATCGGTGCAACAGCACCGCCAATCACGAAGCGGCTGCTGTTGCTGCTGCTATTGCTCGAGGCACAGATGCGCATGCGGGACGCTCCTCGTCGTCCCCGAGTGACTGTGCGGTCCCCACCTCACAGCAACCTGTCATTGCCGGTAGCGACAAGCCTCCTGAGAATGGTCGTGATTACATCGTCGGTGCGCCAGGGGCTTATGCCCGTGGCGACTTCGAGAGGGGATGTGCAGCCGGGGTCGGGCTGTCACCAGAGCATGACAAGCAGCGCCGCGCCAGCACCGTGCTGACCCGTGTTGCCTCGCACTTGACCACCCGTTCGCTCCCGGAGCCACCTCCGCCCCCTGACGGTGGCTTCCGCGCCTGGGCTCAGGTCGCCTGCGGCTGGCTCGTAATCTTCACCACGTGGGGCTATGTGAACGCCTTTGGCGCCTTCCAGGCGTACTATACCGGCGCTCTAGCGCCGCTGCCGCCCTCGACTATCTCTTGGATCGGGTCCGTCCAGGTCTTTCTGACCTTCTGCGTCGGCGCCTTGTCTGGCCGCCTCCTGGACGCCGGTCTGTTCACGCCCACCTTTATCTGTGGTACCATCTTACAGTTGCTCGGTGTCTTCCTCATGAGCGTCTCGACTCAGTTTTGGCACCTTGTTCTGACCCAAGGCGTCCTGACTGGCCTGGGTGGTGGCTTGGTCTTCACCCCCGCCATGGGCCTCATCGCCACCTACTTTGTCAAACGCCGTGCTGTTGCCGTCGGCCTGGCCACCACGGGCAACTCGGTCGGCGGCCTACTGTATCCTGTTATTGTCCGCCAGTTGCTGCCTACCGTGGGTTTTGCCTGGACCACCCGCGTCGTTGGGTTCGTTAACCTAGCCTGCTTGGTTACAGCTGCCGCCTTGATGCGGCCCAGGCTCCCGCCGCGTACCAGCGGGCCCCTCATAGACCCCACGGCCCTCCGTGATCCCGTCTACTTGCTCCTCATCACGGGGCTCTTTTTCTTGCTGTGGGGGATGTACTACAGCTTCTACTATGTGAGTTTTTTTTTTTGAGTTTTTTTTCGCCAGTTTGATCGTGGGTTTTGCTGGCGGGCTCGGTTCGATTCGGAGTCGAACCCCCGTCCAGATAAATGTCGCACCTTGACAGTCCGTGTACGCGGTGGGCCACGCCCCCCGGAGCCCGCTGCGTATAGCTAAACGACACTGACCACGTCTCGGCTACTCCTGCCTGCAAATTAGATCGCTTCGTTCGGAACCCAGATCCTACACATGCCCTACTCAACGGCCTCGTTGACCGTCATCATCGTCAACGCGGCCGGCCTACCCACGCGACTTACCACCCCGTTCCTGGCCGGCCGCTTCGGCTGCATCAACGTGGTGCTTCCTTCGGCGCTGCTAGTGGCGCTGACGGCGACCTGCTGGCTTGCCGTCACTAACACGGTGGGGTACTTTGCATTTGCCGCCGCCTATGGCCTCGCTAACGGCGCTTTTCACTGCCTCATGCCAACCGTCATTGCGAGCGCGTCTCCTCGGCTGGACATGATTGGGACACGCCTGGGAATGGCCTTTGCAGTAATCGGTGTCGCGACACTCACTGGACCTCCGCTTGGCGGCGCGCTTCAGGGTGCCATGGGCGGGAGCTTTACCGGGGCCAGCATCTGGGCGGCCGCGGGCGCATTTGTTTGTGTGGCCTTATTCTCGGTCGCCCGCGGGGTGCTGACGGGGTGGAAGCTGCGGGTGGTGTGTTGAGTTCCTGCGGTGAACCATGCTTTAGCTCCACAAATACTACTTGGCAGCCGTGCAACCGTGCGGCCAATTGCAGCCATGATCCATCCATCCATCCATGGATGGCAAACTGACCAGGACGAAGGCTGTATGTGTGCAGTACGTAAACATCTGTGCCCGAGCAGGGTGGCAAATTTGCTACTGGCTCGATGTTGCCTCCTGAATAACTTGTCGAGGTCGCAGCAGCATCACGGTACCCACCCATTCATTGGCTTTGCTCCCACTTTGTCGATACGCGAGAGTTTAACAGCACTGTTCGGTGCGTCCCGCTTCCCCGGGCACTGCGGTCCTCTTTTTCAGGTCTGTGGGCGGCCAGCATCGACGGTCGCATCCTACAGGCCCATTTCCCTGCACAATACGACCTGTAGTAAGGTTTGGCGGGATGTGCGAGCACAGTACAGTACGTAAGGCACTGACTGCTCACGGACGCTTCGCCCAACAAAAGTCCCGTCTGCTGCGGGGCATCTTTGCCGTCGCCCCAGCCATGAACTTGATGGTGGGGGAAGCCTGTCTTCCTGTCCACGCCGTCGTCCTGGACAAACGGCCTGTTGATCCGAACGAGCAAATCTGGGAACCTTGACAACCCAACAGATTTGACGCGGTAGACTTTAAATTTGGCTTTTGTGGCTGAAACAAGCCAACTCTGTTCCTGAGACAGCCGCAACCGAGCTTGAAGGCAGGCTTATCCAAAACCCCACCGCACACCCCCAGTCTCGGAAACAGAAAGCAACAAGAAACAAACAGCACAAAGCATGGCGTCACAACTGCCGCTGCCGCCATCGGGGCAGCCGGCCCGAGCCCAGTTCGTGCTCTCGCGCGCGACGCCGGCCGACGCGGCGGCCATCGCGGCGGCAGAGTACACGTGCTTCGACGACTACATCCGCGAGGTCTTCATGGGCCTCAAGTCCGAGGCCGACGTGCCGCTTCTGGCGGCCCGGTACGCGCGCACCATGCGCGAGGACCCGCACGACGTCTGGATCAAGGTCGTCGATGCCGAGAGCGGCACGCTTGCCGCCGCCAGCAACTGGAAGGTCTATCCTAGCCGCATGCCCGATGATGCGGGCGACACGACCCCTGACTACCTCGTGGACGAGGCCGCCAGGGCACGGTCCAAGCTAGTGATGGATGGGGTGAACCGCGCGAGGAGGAGAGCGATGGGGGACGTGGGCGGGTTCGTCCGTAAGTCCTTCGGTTTCGCTTGTTTTGTCTCCCTATTTCTGCTTTGTCCCGTTTTCCTGTTGTTTTCCGCCAGTCGCGGCTGTCCTTCCCTCGACCCAATCACGCCACCGCGACAAACGAACACACCTCCCCACCGCCCATGCTCTTCATCATACATGACCCCCAACACCGATTATGGTCTAGTCTAGAACCTTTGTTTGCTATGCTAACCGACCGGGGATGAGATGTCTGACACGTGGTGGTGTGGCTCTGCCTGGTGCCATGTGGTTTCGGAAATTACCCTCGTTTCCATTTTCCCAAACAGACCTGCACATCTGCTTCACGGTCGCCGAACATCGACGCCGAGGCGCCGCGGCCTTGATGATGCGTTGGGGCTGCGGCCTCGCCGACCAGCTGTCGGTGCCGGGCTACGTGGAGGCCTCGCCCGACGGCACCGCCTTGTACAAGTCCTTTGGCTTTTACGAGATTGAAAGGGCCAACGCCGGCGAGCTGGACGCCGTTAATATGAAGCGGGACGCCGTCGCCGTCGCCGCCGCCGCCCGCGCATAGTTACGAAAGACAAAAAAAAAAAAAAAAAAAAGATAATACGAGCGGGAACGGCAACGGAGTCGGGTGTTTGAGGTGCCAAGCGAGGGCTCGCTAACGAGATATTTCATGTCCCGTGGCCCCTTGCTGGATGTGGGCTGTCACTGCCGCCCCGACTAGGTTGGCACGATGCAAAATTGCGGTAATCTTGTGGTTTGCCACCCCGTCCCGTCTCGCGCATTTTAAATAGTCGTTAAGCTTGAATATACAGGTCCCGGGGATCTAGTGCGGTGGATGCAAGATACATTTTCTTCCTTAGAAAACCAAGCCAAACTGATGTACCACCAGGATCCACCGTACTAAGGTTTGTGATCCCTGGGACTCTAGCTCGCCGTAGCCCCTGGCACCTCCACCCTGCGGGGACTGTGAACGTATCAGCGTCAATTTTGGAGGCGGCTTGTTGGGGGGTTTGGCGACTGTTATGGATGAAGCTGTCAGAAACCTGCTGACGGCCGAACAGGCGCACCCCGGCGAACAGTTTGTGCACCTGCCCTGGAAGGAAGGGCACACTAGCTTGCCTCCACAGTCCAACGCCTTTCACGGCTCCACAGGACTGGAGGCCCACTAAATAAAGTTCAATGTAACCCTGAACACGCACGAGGCGACGACCTAGCTAAGTGCCAGCTGAGGGGAGCTGTGTGTCACCAGGCGAGGGATGTTACCCCAATGACTCGAAGCTTGATTGCCTGCCCATCTGTGCTTCTCCTCGCTCAACTGCATTTTTCCATCGTACCCAGATCCCGGTCGCTTCTTTGACCCCTCCAACCCGCCTAGCCCTGCTTGGCGTCATCTGGAAGCACGCCAGACAGACGCCAGGCACCAGGGTCGCTAAACGCCAGACTCCCAAAACACGAACAAAGGCTCCGCCCCACTCCAACACGGCCTGCCGTCCTCCATGGATTCACCTTGGCGCCGCGAGCTGGCCCTGGCCGTCCTTGCCGTCCGCGTCGGCGCCCGCATCGCAGAGGCCCTGTCGGCCGAGAAGGACCGCGGCGGTACTGTCGAGAAGTCCGACCTGACCCCTGTCACCGTCGCCGACTTTGCCATCCAGGCTCTGCTGGCCGCCACCGTCGAGCACTGCTTCCCGCATGATGTCGTCGTCGGCGAGGAGTCGGCCGACGACCTGCGCGCGGACCCGGCCCTGCTCGAGAGCGTGTGGGTCGCCATCGCCCATGCCGTCGACGAGCAGGAGCGCGACGAGCCGGGCGGCCTTGTGGTGCAGGGCGCCGGTCTCGAGGGCTTGCGCGTGGTGCCGCCGAGGTCCCGCGAGCACCTGCTCGACCTGGTCGACGCGTGTGGTGCCGCCGGCCCGTCGCCCTCGACCCCGCGCGCGTGGATCATCGACCCCATCGACGGCACCGCGTCGTTTGTCAAGAACGAGCTGTACGCCATCAACGTCGCCCTGGTCGAGGCCGGCGCTTTCGAGACCGTCAGCTGCATCGGCGCCCCAAACATGACGTGGCGCCCGCTCCCGCCCGCCACGCCGCTGCTGAATGCAGACGTTGAGGGGCTGTCTTCCGGGACTCGCGGTTGCGTCATGTTTGCCGCGCGCGGCTATGGCGCCTGGAGACAGCCTCTCTTTGTCGCGCCCAGTGAGCAGGGGGACGTCGCGCCCGTCAGGCTCGAGCGCCTCGACGAGGCGGTCAAGACCACGGCCGACCTGCGGTTTGTGGGCTGTACTACGGTAGACTCGGGCGCCACCGACGTTCACGATGCCGTCGCCGCCCTCGCGCGTGACCCCGCCTCGTCCAAGTCGGATGTGCTCAGCTGGGTGCTGCGATGGGTGGCCATGGCGCGTGGCGCCGCCAACGCCGTGGTGTGGGTGTACAAGAAGCGATCGCGCCTCGCCAAGACGTGGGACCATGCCGGCGCCATGCTGCTGTTCCGTGAGGCCGGCGGCGTCATCTCCGACGTTGACGGCCACCCCATCGACCTCGCCACGGGCCGCACCTATGACGCAAACTACGGCTTCGTCGCCGCCCCCGCTCGCCTGCATGTCGCCCTGCTGGCCCGCGTGCGCGAGGTGCTACCCAAGCTGCGGCCAGACCTCGCCCACGTCGATCCTGCGGCTGGGGTGCGCACTGCGGAGTCCGTGCTGGCCCGCGCCGAGCGTGTCAGCGCAGAGCTCGTGTCAGCAGGGGACACATGCCTGGCGGAAGCCGCCCAGGCAGGCGTTGCTGCGGCCAGGGAAAGGCTCGCTGCTGCGACAAGGGCCTGTGGGCATGAGTGACAAATTGGCACTCAAGTTTTCTTGCCCAGCTTCATGTCCTTGATCGAAGATCGGCTGCTGACAACGGCATATCGAGAAACAAATAGATCTGCATCTACACGCTTGGTGTTATGCCATGATGCCTCCAGAAACCATAGACATCCCCACTATGCCCCCTGTCGCATCTGGTGCGCTGTCGCTGGTGGTGAGTGCAGCGACTCGCCAGCCTGGCCGCCATGGTCAGGCGCCCGGGGTGGGACGATTTCCTTCCGTAGGGCTTCGGCATGGATGAAAGTGCCGTAAAAGTCATCCCTGTCAGATCTGCCAAGCGCGTAGTATGTAGATGAGCGAACCAGAGAAGATCCCTGGGACAGCAGATCCCGAGAGGAGGTTCAAACGGCGAGATAAAGTTAATCAAGCATTTTTCTCCTTCTTTTCAGTCATCACTCGGAGACGCTGCCAAGCAGCGAAACGGCGCGGCAGTTCCTGCTTCGGACACAGGTCTCAGCACAAAAGCAAAGGTTTGGTGCAGGCTAGTATTTGTGTTGCGTGGGCATGAACTACTCGATGGGGTGGGGAAACTATTAAGTAGAAAAAAGGTGGAGGATTGTCATGGGAAAAAGAAAACAAAATAAAGAAAATCGCCATTCCAGCAGCATCCATTCTGCATCTTCCCACCACTACATGAATGTGATGCTAATTCCTTCGAAATCTCTAGGCGGGTCGAGTCGCTCTCTGACCGTGGATTCATCCTCGACCTCCAATCCTAAAAGTTTGATGTTCCTGGGCTTCTCAGGTTCGACCTCATATGAGGCCAGAACGTTACTGCATGTTGGCACCGCGTTTGGGCAACAGCCTAGGGGGCATGTTGCTTTTGCGAGAAACACCTCCAAAGAACACAGGCTTGGAAAGTTCTGGGCTAGATGATGGAATGCTTTGACTTCGCGTGCCAACAAATGGTCGTAGGCCTGGTCACTGGCCCAGCAGATCTCGACGACATGATGCGGGTTAGGGTTGCAATATCAAAGTCGCTCCTGCCGCGTTGGGTTGGAAGCTTTTCACATATAGCCCAATTCAATGTAACAAACGCCTCACCATCGCCTCAAAGCTTCTCAACTGAGCCGCCAAAGCCAAACACACAGCCAGTCCTCCGCTCGAACGCGGGAGCCCCACAGCTTTTTCTGCTGCAAATTCTTCGCCTTCTGGTCCAAGGGCACTCTCTGTCATACCCACATCAGCCCATCTAGGTGTCTATCAGGTGGCACGCATCTCTCTTCTCTTGCCAACTCGAAAGCCTCCCGACAAAAGCATTCCAACTCTCTATCTATTCGTCGGCAGCGTCGGCGACATTCCAGCATTCCTTGGACTGCCTGTATCGCCACCCTCTGCCGAGCGCTAGTCCTGCGCGACCTACCTACGCGCGGCCCAGCCCGACCTATCCTGCCATCAATGGGAGCCCATAATCTCTGACGGCGCAATGGCGGTCTCGAGGGAGCTCGCCTTCGAATGGGAGTGTGGCCATTGCACCGACCTCACGTTCAGCTTCCCAGACGATATCAAGAAGGCCTTCATCGAGGCGCGCACCAAGCCCTGGGAGTCTCGCATCAAGAACTACTGGGCTTGGTATCACGAAAAGCCAGAGTCAACCCTCCTCTCTGCTCAGGACAAGCTCGATATGCAGCGTCACTTGAGTCGCACCTTCAGCATCGAGCCACAAGCGGGCGACGGCTTCTTTGTCCGACGCCTCAAGCGCCTGATCGGCAATCAGCGCCTCGAGTCGGAGCGGAGACGCCGCATCGGAACCGGATTCCACGGCTTCACCTCCCTGCCGGCCGAGCTCCGCACCATGATCTACAGACATGCTCTCGTATCGCCCAACGGCAAATTCGCCATGCCTCCGAAGCGGGACGGAAAATTCGAGAAGATCCAAAAGCATCACATAACCTACTCGGCGGATAGGTTTGCCACACGGTATTAGCTGGAAGACCAATCCCTCCTCGCACTAGGCTTACTTCTCTGTGTCAGCAAGGCTGTACAGTCGGAAGCCGAGGCCATCTTCTTTGGAGAAAACAATATTGTTTTCCTAAACAATTCGGCCACAGCATCCGCAGATGACTCAGAGTGGTGGGCACGCTCGCTGTCCCGGGTGGGCCCAGCTTTGCGTAGCATCAGCATTGCTACCATCCCCGGCAGCTATTGGGATTTTCGAGCCATCTTCGGGGACCACAACAGCCAGTTCTGTTGGGACAGCGGTCTTGAGAGTTTACGCGATCACCTTGACGCTATGGACGGTACTCCCCACGCTGACCGATGGATCCAGTACGTCCATAATAACATGGACTCGACCGGATGTCCACTTGACAATTTGATGGGCAACTTTCCAAATCTGAATCTTCTTGAGGTGTGTCTCCAAGACGCAACGTGCATCCTAGGCTGTTGTCGGAGGGTAGACGCTGTTTGCGACGAGCTTATGGAATATATGAAGGATTGCCGGATGCCGAAAACGATCAAATTTCTGGGGTTGGAGAACACGGATGCGCGAACGATAAAGGAGTACTTGGAGGGGCCGCTCACAGATTTTACCTCTCACGAGGGCTTTGATGAGATCCGTCTAGAGCGGTGTACAGCCGAGAAATGACGGCACAGGTGGACGGAAAGGGGACTGTGGAACTTGAGCGAGGTCAGCGCGAGTGGGCCGAGATCGGGACAATCTCCGCATCAGATAAGATGATCAGATAAAAATTTCTCATCAGGAGCTCCACCTTGGCGGTGCCACCAACGCCGCCTAACGTTAGCTCGCACCCAGATGCACGAATCACAGACAGACTACCAGCTCTCGACCCCCTTGATCATCCGTCTTGTATGACATGAAGTCCACCTCGCTTGCCAAGACCCGCCCGTCTTTCGTGTCCAGTCACCGACGCAACCACCTCGGAGATCAGCCAGGTAGCGGAGATGCTCCGAGGCTAGCACCAAGACCAAAAGTCTTGTCCGAGTCAAGCTTTTGTTATTGCCCGGGAGACTTCCGTCCTCCAGTCGTCAGCAGCGCCGCGGCTGGCCCATGGCGTGAAAATACCGCAACTATCGTCGGGACGGCCATGGATGTGACGAAGGTAGTGGGAGCCATCCACGGCCAGGGGTCCCGCAGAAAGTGCCCAGGCCTCGGCCCTTTCGGGTCACCCGCCCGCCATCGGGATTGGCCTCGACCCGCGAGTGGGTGTGGGCGCTGATGGAAGTCAGGCCAACGCCACGAGACGCGAGACACGAGGCCACTGCTAACTTGGCTTTGTACACAGTACATGTCATCAAAAGCCGCTTGTGGATTAACCTCACCCCGCCTCCATAAAACCACGCTCGTCTCCTCGTACCTTTTTAGGTCGCCTTCCACATGTCGCCCTCATCAAACGGTCGGGGCTACGACACCTTCCTCGCGGAGCCGCGTCCGTCCACTGAAGCCCTACTGCCAGACATGAACAAGATATTTGCCCGCCCGGCCGCCACCATGGCCCCGGTCGTCGACGACCAGCCCAAGAGCCCGCTGGCGGCCGACAACGCCAGCGGCGGAGAGGCTGGCCCCGACGGCCGCTCTCCTCAAAATGCTGCAGCGGCCGACGACGACGACCAGGACTCGATCGACAAAAGCGCCCAGCGCGGGGTGCAAAAGATTGAGGCCATCACCAAGGTCTGGTCGCGCAACCATCTGATCCTGGCCTACGTCCTGATCTGGGTCATCAACTTTGTCGACGCCATCGAGCAGGGCATGTCGGGGTCGCTGGTGGCATACGTGACGTCGTCATTTGCGCAGCACTCGCTGACGGCCACGACGAGCGTCATGTCGAGCATCATTGGCGGGCTCTTCAAGCTGCCTCTGGCCAAGGTCCTCGACATTTGGGGCCGGCCGCACGGCTTCGTGCTCTGCATGGTGCTGCTGACCGTGGGGCTCGTCATGATGGCGGCCTGCGACAACGTCGAGATGTACGCAGCCGCCCAGGTCTTTTACTGGGTCGGCTACAACGGGCTCAGCTACAGCCTGTCCATCTTCGTTGCCGACACGTCGGCTCTCAAGAACCGCGCCCTGCTGTTCTCCTTCATGTCGTCGCCCTACATCATCACCGTGTGGACCAGTGGGCCCATCGCTCAGAGTTTTCTAAACACTATCGGCTGGCGCTGGGCGTACGGTACCTTTGCCATCATCACACCCGTCATGTGCGCCCCGCTGCTAGGTCTCTTCGTCTGGAACTACCGCAAAGCCAAGGCCATGGGTCTGATCGCGTCGGAAAAGTCTGGCCGGTCGCCTCGGGAGTCGCTCAAGTATTACGTAATTGAGTTCGACCTGCTGGGCATCCTCCTGCTGGCCGGCGGGCTCGCGCTGTTCCTACTGCCGTTTAGCCTCTACGCCGTCGTCGAGGGCCAGTGGGCCAACCCGACGGTCATCTGTATGCTCGTGTTTGGCGTCGTGCTGATCGTGGCCTTTGCCCTTTACGAGAAGCTGCTGGCGCCCGTCACATTCATACCGTTCGAGCTGCTGACGGACCGCAGCATCCTGGGCGCGTCGGTGCTGTCGGCGGTGCTCTTTGTGAGCTTCTACATCTGGGACAGCTACTTCCCGTCGTTCCTGCAGGTGGTCAACGGGCTCGACGTGGCGCGCAGCTCGTACGTGATCAACATCTACAGCATCGGCTCGTGCTTCTGGGCCATCGTGGTCGGGGTGCTGATCCGCTGGACGGGGCGGTTCAAGTGGCTGGCGCTGTACTTTGGCATGCCTCTGACCTTGGTCGGGGTCGGGCTGATGCTGGCGTTCCGGCAGCCCGACGTCAACATTGGCTACATTGTCATGTGCCAGGTCTTCATCGCCGTCGCGGGCGGCACGCTCGTCATCTGCATCGAGATGGCGGGCATGGCGGCCGTGACGCACCAGCACATCGCCGTGGTGCTGGCCCTCATGTCCATGTTCTCGTCCATCGGCGGGGCCGTCGGCAGCACCGTGGCGGCGGCCATCTGGACGGGCGTCTTCCCCGCCCGGTTGGCCGAGTATCTCCCCGCCGAGGAGCTGGGTGACCTCAAAAGCATCTACTCGGACCTCACCAAGCAGCTGTCGTACCCGTGGGGCTCGCCGGCGCGGCGGGCCATCCAGCACGCGTACGGGGACGCGCAGCGGTACATGCTCATCGCCAGCACCGTGGTGCTGGTGCTCGGCTTTGCCTGCTGCGCCGTGTGGCGCGACTACCGGATCAAGGACTTTAAGCAGGTGAAGGGGCGCGTCATTTAGCCTGATGGAGTCTAGGGTGGGTGGGATGAAACGTATTGGGTAGAATAGAGACGAGAGAGTATACTAGTATAGGCTGGGGCAGCGGCATTGATAAACAAAAAGGGGGGTGGGGTAGGTGATTTGGAGTCTGGCATCAATAATCCTATGGCACTATTTCACGGATCGCAGTCTATCCCGTGGCTACAGGTCCGCCGTTTTGAGCATGTCCTTGGTCTCATGACCCGTTCTTGGTCTACCGACAGCGTCTCGCCTAATACCCTACGGACCTGAGAAGACGCAGCGGGCCGACGGTGTCGGAAGAAGCCGCAGTCCATCCAAGGAGCAGGTTGCGAGACTAGGATAGAGATGGGTGTCTGTCCGACTCAAACGAGAACAAATTTGCGGCTCCATGCAGGGGCCGGCCTGCAGTGGGCCGATCCATCAACGGCTTTCTGGTTCCAAACGCGGGGTCGTGGGCGGTAATGATTCGCGGCCTGCCTTTGTTATGAGTTTGGGTTGGAAAGTAGGGACCAGGGCAGGAGTTCGTTCCATGATTGAGGAGGACGTGGCAGGGAGGGACATGGCTGCCATTGGGCTCTGTAGAACTGACGGCCACCTATATAATGCGTGGTGAGGGTGGACCAATTAAAGGGATGTCTGAGCTGAACGAGTCACAGCACTAGTTGTGCCCGTATTTTTGCTTGAACGCAAAGCTGCCGACAAAAGAGTCACATTCTCGACTTGATACGCCCCAACACAAGACAGAAGAACAAGCATGCCGAGAAGGCAGGCAAGCGGACTGGCGGGGCTCCTCCCCCTCGCCCTCGCCCTCGCCACGCTCGCGTGCGCGCAGCAGATGGGCGAAGGCACCGAGGCGTACCCGGAGCTGCCGACACAGTTCTGCACGCGGGCGGGCGGGTGCGCGACCAAGCGGACCAAGCTCGTGGCGAGCGCGGCGCTGCACAACATGTACTGGGACGGCGACAAGACCAAGCCGTGCGCGGCGGCGCTCAACACGACCGCCGAGTGCGCCTTCGACAACGGCGACGCGGCGGCGTGCACCAAGAAATGCACCATCGAGCCCATGGGCGACTACGGGCGCATCGGCGTCAGCACAAAGGGCGACGCGCTCACGATGCGGCTGTTCATGCCCAACGCCAACGGCACGGGCTACACGCGCATCAACCCGCAGGTGTACCTGCTGGGCGAGGACGGCAAGGGCTACGAGATGTTCCGGCTGGTCAACCAGGAGCTGACGTTCGACGTGGACATGTCGAGCCTGGGCTGCGGGCTCAACGGGGCGCTGTATTTCAGCGAGATGGACGCGTCCGGGTCGCGCGGCGAGCTCAACCCGGCCGGGGCGGCGCGCGGCACGGGCGAGGCCATGGGCCGCGGCATGGTGCTGGTCTTTAGCATCTGGAACTCGCTGACGGGCGACAACATGAACTGGCTCGACAGCGGGGCTGCCGGGCCGTGCGGGCCCGACGAGGGGAGCCCCGAGATGGTGCTGGCGCGCAACCCCAACGTGGCCGTGACGTTTTCCAACATTCGCTGGGGCGAGCTAGACACGACGTACCAGCGCGGAGGCTGAGGCGGCGGCGGCGGCGGCGGGGATGTGACGGCGCAGCCTGCCAAGGCCGGGGCCGGGCGGGTGGTGGGCGGTGTAACGGCGGCTGTTGCGGGAGGTGTGATGCTGGCCATGTTTGTTGTAGGGGTCTAGATAGGGGTCTATCTAGATAGGGGTCTAGAGGCACTGATGGTTGCCGTGGCTGAGCTGTGGAGAGGAGACGAGCACGGCCCACTGTTTTGCGGGAACCAATACCCCTCTGTCGTTAGTCAGGTCGGCAGTTCATTCGGTTCTGCTGGGTCCATTCCAAGACACGGAAACGGACAAAAACACGCAGCCAACAAGATCACGTTCAATGCGGGAAGGTAAAAAGCTCGCGAATCAGCGGGTCGAAATTGCCATCGGATTGCTAGCGAAGTGATTCTGCACAATGCAACGCTGGCTAAATCGCGGCACGTTACTCCTGGAAAGCTTCGCCCACGCCTAGCCTTTTCGGGTGGGAGGCCAAGGAATCGAAGGAGCCGCATCGATGCCGAGACCGAGGCCGAACGTTTGTGTAAGTGGTGGTTGGTTTTTGGACTGGCATTTTAAGAAATATACTCTTAGGTAAAATTATTCCTAGGTAGAATTATTCCTAGGTAGAATTATTCCTAAGCAGAATTATTCCTAGGTAGAATAAATGGACGGGTGGATGGACGCGATACTAACAGAAAAAGTGGTGACAAGAAGCTGCCGAGCTGCGATGCCGACCAACCCGATCGGTATTGGCACCACCACGAGAGAGAGAGACATCACGGCCATGTGCGTGTCGCCGAGGCCAGGGCGGGGATTCCTGTCGCCTGTGTTTCTCCCATAAACCTTAATGTGGTGGATGCAAGATACATTTTCTTCCTTGGAAAACCAAGCCAAACTGATGTACCACCAGGATCCACTGTGATAAGGTTTGTGATCCCTAGGACCTGTATCTATACGCACATAAAATAAACGGAGGGCATGTCTGCTCTCCCCTGAATCACGTACGGAAGAGTATAAAAAAAGGGGCTAGCAAGGGGGTCTCGAGGAAACCCGCCGTTGCCGTGAGTCTCTGCCGATCCCTCGACTGGCATCCACCCTCAGGACCCCGGCACTGGGCGGGACCCTCCCCCAGTGTTCCTAAGTAGCCGGTTGCTCCCACGAATGTGAGCAGAGAAAAAACAAATTCAGGGAGGAAATCATACGATCTTTGCGTCGTTTTTTTCCTTAGCTGCCCAGAGCTATCGCACACCACCGCCAGCTTCCCCGGAACCGCTAACTTGGCGCCCGTGCAAAACCTGGGGAAAAGAAACCCAGCACACGCTTAGCGCAAAACGACCGATTGGGTCGTCGTCCCCGCTAAAAATGGCATCAGCGCCCGACGCCGCCATGGTCGAAAAGGACGCCGGCAAGAGCAGCGGTGAGACCGGCAAGCCCAGCGACGGGCAGGTCGAGATCCTGCAGGATGAGACACTACGCGCGGCTGCTGCTCACGGGCATCTGGCCACCGACATGTACGAAGAAGCACCTGCCTGCTCCCACTTCCCGTGAGGTTTCACACACTGACCGTCACCACCACCACCACCACCACAGCTATGGCAACCCCCTGCTGCAGTTTGACCAAAAGGCCGTCCGCAAGCTCCGCCTCAAGATGGACCTGTACCTGGTCCCGACCGTGGCGCTGCTGTACCTGTTTTGCTTCATCGACCGCGCCAACATTGGTGAGTCGAGCATGTGGTTTTAGCAGTAAGCAACAGGTAACAGATGCTAACATCCCCCCCCCTCCCTAGGAAACGCCAAGATCGCCGGCCTCGAAAAAGACCTAGGCATGACCGGCTTCGACTACAACATGGTGCTGTCCATCTTCTACATCTCGTACATCGTCTTCGAGATCCCCGCCACGATACTGTGCAAATGGATGGGCCCAGGTTGGTTCCTGCCCGCCACGTCGCTGCTGTTCGGCATCGTGTCCATCACCACCGCCTTCTGCCACACGCGCGACCAGCTGGCCGGCGTGCGCTTCCTGCTGGGAATCTTCGAGGCCGGCATGCTTCCCGGGATAGCCTACTACCTGTCGCGCTGGTACCAGCGCGCCGAGCTGACCTTTCGCCTGTCGCTCTACATGGTCATGGCGCCCCTGGCCGGCGCGTTCGGCGGCCTGCTGGCCTCGGCCATCCTGACCCTCGAGAGCTTCGCCGGCGTGCACCAGTGGCGCATGATCTTTGCCATCGAGGGCATCGTCACCATCGTGCTGTCCGTCGTCGCCTTTTTTACTCTTACTGACCGCCCCGAGACGGCCCGCTGGATGACCGAGGAGGAAAAGATCCTGTGCGCCGCGCGCGTCAAGTCGGAGCGCGTCGGCCAGACCGAGGTGCTGGACCGCATCGACAAGAAGAAGCTGATGGCGGGCATGCTCAACCCCGTCACGCTCGAGATCGCCGTCGTCTTCCTCTTCAACAACATCACCGTCGGCGGCCTGGCCTTCTTCCTGCCCACCATCGTGTCCACCATCTACCCGGCCTACAGCACGGTGCAGAAGCAGCTCTACAGCGTGCCCCCTTACATCGTCGGCGCCTTCTTCACCATCGCCTTCCCGAGCCTGAGCTGGTACCTGGACCGCCGCCAGCTGCTCATCGCCGCGAGCGCGCCCATGGTCATGGCGGGCTACGTCATGTTCCTGGCCTCCCAGGTCGCCACCGTCCGCTACGCCGCCACCTTCCTCATCGCCAGCTCCGCCATGGTGCTGGGCCCCATGTCAAACGCCCACATCAGCGCAAACGTCGTCAGCGACACGGCCCGCAGTAGCGCCATCGGGCTCAACGTCATGTTTGGCAACGTCGGCGGCCTCATCTCCACCTGGTCGTTTTTGCCCTGGGACGCCCCCCACTACAAGATCGGCCACGGCCTGAACCTGGCCGCGTCCAGCATGATCCTCATTGTCGGCCTGGGCGCCTACTTTTGGATGAAGTGGGACAACAAGCGCCGCGAGGGCCTCGACGTCGAGACGGAGCTGGCCGACAAGACCGAGGCCGAGATCGAGGATCTCGACTGGAGGCACCCCGCCTTCAGGTGGCGCCCTTAGGTCGGTGTCGGTAAGTGTGTGTGTGTGCGTGTGTGTGTGTGGCCATGGCAGCTGTTGGGGTTTCCTTTGTACATACATTGTGATAAATTGTGGAGGATACATGACGACCAAAGTCACAGGGGGTGGGGCAATGCATGTGACACCTTATTAAACCGTCTTATTAAATGCTAGTTCAGAGCGTCCGTCTTTAGGTAATCACAATCTCCGCCGTGTTTCTCTTGATGAAGCGCCCGTTGTCGTGTCTCTGGCGACCGCGCCCATCTCTGGCGGGCGCAGGGCTCGAGTGTGGTCCGCCCAGGGGTCCGACGAGTCTGGCCGGCTCGCTTCCGAGAGGCCCAACTGGAGGTGGGCCCGAGTAGCCGCCCGACCGCAGCTCGGGAAAGTCGTCGACATGCAGGTAAACAGCGAGCCAGAGAGCACCGAGTCGGATATGGCCGCCCGAAACGGCCGTGAGCTTGTCCGACGGGTAGCTGAGGTGCCGCCGCGAGTACTCCTGCATGAGGTTGGTCTAGTTCCCACTCGCGCCAACTCCCGTATGCCATTGCCCGTGGGGTGGAGGCTGGCGGGGACGCTGTTCTCCCTACCCTCTTGCGTCCTGGCGAGGAAGGTCCGGATGAGAATTTTGTCCATGCAGGCCAGGTTCAAGCCGCCATGTTCCCACTCACCCTCTGTGAGCCTGAGACGCTTCCACTTAAGGCCCAGCTTTGAATACGTCAAGGTTCGCGGGGGCAGACATTTCTCCCAAAGGCACCAACCGCGGTTATCGAGGGCGTATGGGGACTCGCCCCCGATCGGCGTTGGGGTCGCCGTTCTCACCGAGGTACGCTTCGCCCTCCCACCCGAGCGTCTCGCTTCACAGCCACAGCCCCACAGGTTCAAAAAGAAGCTCCCGCCGCTGCAGGATCCCTTGGGCCGAGTCTCGGCGTTGGCGGCCGATACGGTCGGTCACTATGGAGTGCGTGTAGTAGTGCTCCATCTTGGCCGCCTCCTTGGGTCAGTCGACGTCCATGCTGTCCTGGGTGATGCACAGGGCATCTATCCACAGATACTGTATTCCCAGCTGGCGGGTAATGGTTATGGCGTTACGGAAACTGGGCGGAAGCTCGTCCAGGGGCATGGCGCGTGCTTTCGCCTCCATGTTGACCTTGACCGTCACATTATCGACCTTGCCGCCCCAGCAGTAGCTAAGGGCGATCCAGCGGCCCTTGGCCGGGTACCCCTGAGACCAGCCGAGGGGAGCGCCGTGTCGTCGCCGGCATCAATAACCCTGGTCGGCAAAGCGGACGGTTCTGGGGATGGGCCATTGCAGTCACTGTGGCTCTGGAGACACCTGTTGAGCTGGTTCCTAGCCCACTCAAAAGCGAGGGGCGAGCCCTGATCAATCTGAGTGCACCGCTTCGCTTTCACAAACGGCCCTGCATACGACGGCCAGAACAAATAAGCTGATGTGGCCCAAGGGGTGGGCGGGCTGGAGAGGACGAAGCCGGGTCAAAAGCCTCGAATTCGAGAATTGCGATAGTGTTCTCGTCGAGAGCCGACTCCTGGGGTGCACGGCAGACATGAAAGAGAATCTTGCGTCTCCCTGAACCTTTATAGAGGGTGACGTATACGGGGATATCATATGGGTAGGCGGTGCACAGTTTACTACTAGTATGGTTGAAGAGGGTTAATTGTGTCCCTGATTGCTGGTGAGGCGGGGTGCATGGCAGGCTCCATGCTAACCGCGGTGCGTTGGCGCTGCTTGGCGGTTCTTTCGATAATCCTGTAGCACCTAGGACCTGTAGCACCTAGGACTACCCCCAGGCCTGTGCACTCAACTGGCAGTCGGAATGCGCCGAAGGACAAGAGGCACAAGCCTCGATTCTTTTGACAAGGCACAAGCCTCGAGGGAGTGGTCCTTTGTGGGCACAGGGATTGTCGGCACGTCGGCACAGGGACAACAAGAGAGCACGAGTGGGGGCGGTGATGAAGGGGCAATGGCGGAGTCGCATTCAATGCAGATGCTGGCCCCACCTGCTTTGGGTCAGCATGGGCGCCTTCGGCTTGTATTTTCCAATCGGCAAATAAAAGGAGAATGGAAACAGCGGCCTATCGTCCACTTTGTGCTGTCCACTTTGTGCTATCAACTCGGTGCTCTCCACTGGAGCGACTGTGCTGGACCGAGATTGGGCGACGGTGCACACGAGCAGTTGTGCAGCTTCCGTGCCAATTCCAATGTCGTTGACATTGGCGGTGGACAGAGCTGGGGCGGTGGGTTGAGAGCCTCAATTTAGGGCTCTCTCTGCCACTGCCGATTGATTGCGACCGCGAGTCAGTCGCTTCGACAGGGTGAGGGCAGTCTCTTCAGGGTCCACCCACGTGGAGAAGCAACACAGGCAGATGCACCCATTGCGCCGATAAACGACCCCCGTTATAGCAGTCTTGGCAGGCACCGCTCACCTGAAGTGGGACCCTCCCACACAGACGACGGCGAGTGAGTGGCTCGACTGCGAAATTGGAAATTGGCCAAGATTAGGTGTGGTTAATGCTCTGCGGCTCCTTGGCCAGTCTAACCCCCATCGAAAGAGCCAGCAGCCCCGATCTGTGGTTTGGAGAAGCTGGCTGGCGCTACCAGAAAACAGCCATCATGACGACGCAGCCAACCCCGACCGTTTGTCTTCTGGGCCAGAGTGATGGCGCAGGGGTGCAGTACTGTGCGGTACAGGTTGCTGAACCACAGGTTGCTGAACCACCCCCAATCCCTGTGGCCCTCCAACAACCGACACACCTCTCTACCCTCTCGCCCTCTCACCCTCCCGTTCTGGAGCAGCCTCGCATCGACCCCACCTTGGCCATCAACGGCCAGGGGTTCTCCGTCCAGCCGCCAACCTCGCTTATCTGCTGGCTCCTCATTGGGGCACGCTCTAAGTCCCTTTCAGTCCACCCTGTCATCTCGAGCCCCTCCCGCCGACGACCCAGCCTATCTCATCATGCGCTCACATCTTGGCGCCGCCCTCCCGGCAGCTCCTACCAGTGGGTGATACCGAGGCGCTGCCCAAGGAGCCGTTAATACAAAACCAAGCCCTTCTGCTGGCCCAAGACCTGTTGTGCTTCTCTCCTCTGCAGAGACGCCTCCATCGTCTTTCCGTCGCATTCACCCCCGGGCTTCCTTGTTGTTGCCAGCCGTTCTTTCTCAGTCACTCGCTCTCTGTGTCTTTTTTTTTTGACACGTCCAAGCCATCGCCATGGTGGGCGCACGTTCTTTTATCCCCGCCCTCGGGGCCCTCTCGCTGCTGGCCTCGTTGGCCGTTGCCAACGATGTCCTCGCCCGTGACGGCGCCGACTCGTGCCAGTGCACCCCCGAGAACCAACGGGTGCGTTACATCGTGGTCGAGATGCCGGAGCAGCCCCCGCTGCCCGTCATCAACGCCGTGCCCGAGCAGCCCGAGCAGCCCGAGCCTATCATGCCCGAGACTGAGCACGAGGGCGGCAACACCACCACCAACTTCGGCCCCTGCAAGGCGCCCAATGTCGACACCTCGGACCCCGTGCACATCATCCCGACCAAGAAGATCTCGCTCTTCTACGGTGAGCCCGAGGGCTCGGCCGCCGCCCCGGTGCACGCGCCCGTCGCGCCCGTCGCGCCCGTCGCCAGCAAGGGCTCCTCCCACCCCTTCTCTAACAGCACTTCAGCTGGCTTCAACAGCACCTCGGCCGGCGTCAACGGCACCTCGGCCGGCTTCAGCATGACCACGCCTCTGCAGGCGCCCGGCGGCCAGATCAACATGACCATGACCACGGGCAACACCTTTGTCGCCCTCGAGTACATTGACGCCATCACCAAGGTCACTTGCGGTGCCAGCAAGATGACGGTCGAGTTCTCCGACAAGACGGCCTTCCAGTCGGCTGCCGACAAGTGGGCCGCGGCCAAGGACGGCCTCGTCCTCATCACCAACCACAACGGTGCCTGTGACACGGCCCTGGAGCGTGGCTTCTACGACGTCAGCGCTGTCGTCGCCGATGCCACCTCGTTGTCCATCTCGGGCAGCGCTGCCGCCAAGAAGCTCGAGGACGTTGCGGGACAGCTCGAGATGACCTTCTCGTCCATGCCGGCCGCCCAGCTGCGCCGCCGCCTGACGCTGGACCCCAAGGTCAGCCTTGGCTGGGGCGCCCGTTTGCCCGAGAAGAAGGTGCTCTTCAACTACCCGCCCTACGTCGACATCACGGCCGACTCGGCCCATTTCGACACCAAGGTCACCTTTTCGGGATACCTCAAGTACAACTTCTGGGGCTTCAAGCTCGAGGACCTGTACTTTGACGTTGACGCCAGCCTTGACACTGAGGTTTCCCTTTCGGCCAACGTCCAGGCCGCTTACAAGAACACCTTCATGTACGCCCCTGACGACCTGTCTTGGACCGTCGTCAACGTGCCCGGCATCATCGAGCTCGGCCCTGGTGTCGGGTTCGGCATCGGTGTGGACCTTGCCACCAGCGGTGCTGTTGGTGTCAAGACCCAGCTCGGCGCGTCCATGCCTGCCGGCAACGTGCACATCGACATGAAGAACAAGTTCAAGACCACGGCCACGGGCTGGAACCCTAAGTGGAAGGCCGACGCCCAGATCAGCCAAAAGGCCGAAGTTCAGGCCGACGTCTACGCCAGACTCAAGGTGCAGATAGCCGTCAAGGTGCTAGGCGGCCTCATCGACCTCAGCTCGGGCCTGACGGCCATCCCCCGAGTCAACAACAAGTTCACGCTCTCGGGCGACCAGGGCCTGTCGTCGGGCGGCACCTTGACCCGGGCCGGCGGCGCCGTCACGCAGCCCAAGGCGGGCGCGCAGGTCTGCGAGCAGGGCGTCGGCCTCAAGTCGGACTTTTTGTTCGAGCTCGACGGCAACCTGACCAAGTACTGGTCGGGCAAGCTCTTCAACGTCACTGTCCCCATTGTCGACAAGTGCTGGAACTGGGCCTAAGTCCGAGGGACTGGATGCGATAGACGAGGGGTTCAGGTCATGTGAGCCCGTCTGTTGTGTTGCTGTGCGCTGTGATGCACACGTACAGATACAGTCATTACATACCCAACTATTTTATTTGTAGTCTCTAATTATATACCCGTCTTCTTGTGTCGGAGGTGCAACCTGTCGGATTAAGGGAAAGCCGCCAAAGGAAGCCAACAATCCCAGGACTAAATACTAGCGTTTGTGGGTGTGTCATGTGACCCACCGGTCATGTTATGTGACACCACCTCGCACATCTTGTGGCATTGCGTCCTTGTGTGTGTGTGTGTGTGTGTGTGTGTGTGTGTGTGAAATTGTATGTAGAGATTTGAATGTGCGAAAAAGTCGATTCATTAGTCGTATGGATATATAACCAAGATGTGCCAGGATGGCGAGACAATGGAGAGTGGTATTTGGTAAGCCAAAAACGAAACTAGCTAGCAACAGAGACATCAGAGACATTATTTCCAAGCCAACATGGTCCTCGGACCCAACCCAAATACTCGTCCCACCCCAACTACTCGTCCCACATGATGCGCATGCTACAGGGAAACGGCCACATTCCACCCCAGTCCTCGCGCATGTAGACAAAGAATCCGCCCGGGCGTGGCACCTTCTTGAGCTCGCCCTGGGGCCCGGCCACGCGGCGGACGTTGTTGCGGCGGAACAGGGCGCGGAACATCTCGGTCAGGGCCACCTGGCTGGCCTCGCGGCCCAGGCAGGCGTGGGGGCCGGCGCCGTAGTGGATGTAGCCCTCGAGCGGGCGGCGCGGGTTGACGGCGAGCGGGTCCGGGAAGCGGTCCGGGTCCTTGGCGGCGTCGACGAAGCTGACAAAGATGCGGTCGCCGGCGGCGACGCGCACCTCGCGGCCGTCGTCCTCGCGGATCACGTCGGCGGCGGCGGCCTCGCGGTACGCGCCAAAGGTGCCGGCCATGCGGATCCCTTCCATGGCGTAGCCGAGCAGCAGGGCGTCGGTCTCGGGCGACGACGGCTGGGCCGCGACGGCGCGGATGTCGGCGACGTAGTGCTTGTTCCTGTCGGCCAGGTAAAAGTCGACGGCCTGGGCAAACACCTGGGCCTGGTTGGGCACCATGGCGCCGGCGGTGGGCAGGACCTGGCTCCAGGCGATGTCGTAGTTGGACAGGCCGGCCTTCTTGAGGCCCTTGACGACGCTGCTGCCGTAGATGGCGAGCGGGTCGTCGGCCGCCGGCTTGGCCGCGAACAGGCCCTTGAGGCCGAGGCCGTTGATGAGCTTGACGTTTGCCTCGACGAGCTTGCCGAGCTGGTCGCACACCGTCTTGGTGGCCTGGCGCAGCGGGAACGACTTGACGGGGTCCATGTCGAAGAATATGGTGACAAAAATGAGCGACAGCACCGTGTACAGCTCCTGCTCGCTGTAGATGCCCTTGGGGTTGCGCTCCGTCTTGAGCGGGAGGCCAAAGACGCGCGAGGCAAAGTGCACGTGGGCCATATTGCCGACGTCGCGCACAATGTCGACGGTGCGGCTGCCCGGCTTGCCGAGCACGTAGCTCTTGTCGGCCAGGAGCTTCTCCGTCATGGAGGCGTAAAAGGCCTTGACGTGGGCGTGCCAGCCGTCCTTGTACAGCTGGGCGTGCATGCAGGCGCGCTGGCCGGCGTGCAGCTGGGTGTCGCCCGACAGCATGAAGCGGGCGCCTCCCTCGCCCATGAGGTAGCGCAGCCCCTCGTGCCAGGTGACCTTGAAGGTGTCCTGCTGCTCCAGCACGTGCTTGGCGCCGCCGTAGCTGGTGATGTTGATGCGCTGCGGGATGGCCGTCGGGCGCGCAAAGTCGAAGCGGTCGACGCGGCCCAGGCTGGTGAGGATCCGGTGGTTCTCGTCGGGCACCACCATGGGGTAGTGGGCGTAGACCGAGTTGTACTTGAAGTGGTTGGGGAAGGCGCGGATGAAGAGCTTGTAGAAGACGCAGCCGTGGTTGACGTTGAGGTCGTACTGCACCTCGTTGTAGCCCCAGTTGGTGAGGGCGCGCGGGCTGTAGTCGGTGGTATAAAAACGGTCACCGCGCACCAGGCACACGGCGTCGGACAGCACCACGCGCGAGATGGTGTAGGTGGGCGCGATGCCGACTCCGGGCACCAGGGGCTTCTTGTCCTCCTCGGCCACCAGGCCCGGGTACAGCTCGACAAAGTCCGGGTGGTCGTACAGGCGGCGCAGCTGGTCCGCCACGGCCGGGTCCGAGTTGATCTCCTCAAAGGTCTCGTGCGGCTTGAGCCCAAAGTGCTTGCGGAACTCGTTGAGCCCGGCCACGTTCCACTTGCGGCCCTGCAGGATGCCCAGGATCTCGACGGGCCGCATGGCCTGCGGCACGTTGCGCGCCCCAAAGGCGCCCGCCACGTCCTCGACAGCGTCCGAGATGCAGTTGACAAGATCGTCGTCGCCGAAGCGCCCGTCGGCCCCGCGCCGGAACCCGCCAAACTCGCGCTCGGCCGGGTCTTCGGGGATGGAGCGCTCAAAGGCGAAGAAGCCCTTGAACATGTCGGCATGGCTGACGTCCTCGGCCGGCTTCCCGAACAGGTCTTGGTAAAAGTCCTGCACCCACTTGTCGTCCTTCTCCGAGATGCACGAGTGCCAGCGGTAGCACAGGTTGAACTCGGCCGACACGGCGTTGCCCGTGCCGCGCTCGGCGCCCTTCTCGGTGCCCACGCTGGCGCCCGTGGCCTGGCGCGGGTCCAGCGTCCACGTGGTGTCGCAGCGGTTCAGGTTGACAATGTTGCGGACGTAGTCGACGAGCGTGATGTTGATGTACAGGCCCGACGTGATTAGCCGCGCCGTCTGGAACAGGTCGTTGTCGTGCTTCTTCCACGCCGCCGCCCGCGCCTCGCCCTCGAGCCGCCGCTCGTCGGGCGGCGTGAAGCGCCCGTTTTCGTTGATGGCAGCCAGGTTGGCCGCCACGTGGTTGTGGAACCGGTTGAACATGATGAGCAGCACGCAGACTCCCGGCGGCATGCCCAGCAGGCGCTTGTCGGCAAACGTGTCGGGCTTGAGGAGCCCGCCCTTGAAGGTGCGGATCGAGTCCTGCATCTCCTGGTTGCTGCCGTACAGCGGCGCCAGGTCCAGGTACGACGACGACTTGTTGCGCGTGGGCTCGCGGTAGTCGGTCCAGAAGATGTCATGGATGATGATGGTGGCCCAGTACCACAGGATGCTCGACACGTTGTTGGGGTGCTTGCGGAACGTCTCGCTGGTGCGGCCCATGACGGCGTCAAAGATGGTGTTGGGGTCCGGCAGCGCCCCCGGCGGCACGATGGTGGGCAGCACCGACCGCGAGTACGTGCTGCCGGCCGCGCCCAGCGACGGAAGAATCACGTTGTTGTTGGACCCGTCGGCCGTGCGGTACGTGTAGTGATCGCCGATGTAGTTCATGGGCGGGTGTTCCAGCGAGTACCACAGCTCGCTCAGGAAGTTGTTGGTCAGCTTGACGCGCGTCTTGGAGTTGGGCGGCAGGTTGGCCACCAGCGAGATGACGTGCTCCATGATCATGGTCTTGTCGTCCGTGATCAGCTCGCCCTTGAGCTTCTTCTTGATGAGCGCACGCAGCGTGCGAAAGTCTGTCTGCCGTGTTAACAGCCTGCTTGCTCCGAGACTTATCTGAGATCGTACCGGCGGGGAGGGAACTCACCTTGCCTGCGCATCACCTTGAGGTCCTCCCTCAACCCCGTCTGCGCCCTCTCGGTCGCGTACGTGCCGTCGCCATTCTGCGTGGGCAGCGGCCGTCGCGACGCCTGCATCAGCTGTCCAAACTGGTGCAACGACGCCCCGGCGCTCTTCTTGTTCGCCTTTGGCGGCTTGCCATTGTTGGCCAGCGGCGGCAGAGGCTGGGCCTTCTTGGTGGCGTGGCCGTTCGCGGTCGCTGCCGAGGCGCCGTTGGTGCTGGCCTCACCCGCCCCATTGGTGGCGGTGGTAGTAGTGGTGGGCGTGGTGTACTTTGCCTGTGACGCCATCGTGGCTTGCCTGTGATATCGTCTGACACTTGGTGTCTATTAGGAAAAGAGAGAGAGTGAGAGAGAGAGAGAGAGTCTCTGGTGCCGTGAGAGGACAAAAGGAGAAGAATAATGGGGCAGAGAGACGGCCTGGACCGGCAGAAATACGGAAGGGAGGGAGCATGAGGAGGTCGGGAGGCTGGTGCTCTCAGCAGCCGCCGAGGTCAGACAAGCTGTTCAGCCATGCACGCCATCCTCTATCTGGCGCGTCACCAAAAAGGGAGGGGCCAGCGTGTACGTGATACCTGGTCCTCCCTGGCTGTAGCTCACTGGGTCGTCCCAGGGGTCTCATCAGCGGCAACCCTGATAGCATGGTGCGCCTCTCGCAGGCGGCACTTCACACGGCGAAACGAAGCTGGTGTTCAGACCTGACCAACCAGCGCCTCGTGATTTTACACCATCGGCAGCTGGGTAGCTCCCTTCTGGGGGAGATCGGCCGCCACCGGGCGGGGTCAGCTAGTCGATATTGCACCGAATTTTCGTGACCCTGCCGTCGAGCTACGCGAGGCTTCTGATTCGCCGCTGGTGGGAGGCCAGGCCGTGCGACCTGCAAGATGCTGCAGTGCTCCCAACCTCCAAGCCGCGGCCTCTCCTCTTTCCCCCTGCCAGCCTTTGCCGTTTCGTCTCGTCAACGCCTCTCATGCCCTCACCGCCCCCCCCCCGCCGATCATGTGCGGAAAGGACTGGCCAAGTGAGTAAGTCCGGACGCCACCTGCAACTCCGCCGCGAGGGGCTGTGGCCGTGAAGGGAGGTCGGCACGCCGGCGCCACCGTGCTAGTTCCTTCCCGGACGGGAAATTCGTGACAAAGAGCTGCTGTCCGGCTTCATAATTTCCGGGAACTCGGCGGTCCTCCATGATCTGCAAGCCGCAGCGCTAGTGCCAACTTGGCCCGGCCCTGCCGTATCGGGAAAAGCCCGACGTGCGGGCCGTGCCCTAGGATTGGCAGGTTGCCAGCTGAACCTTTCGCCAAGCTGTGAGGGTCATCTCGACGTCCAATCGTTTGCGCCGCTTCCGATGTCCGAGACTGGGGGTGGGGGATGGGCACAACGCACACGCCAGCGGCCAGGCGTCATCTCTGCTCCCCGTCCCGTCCTCCCACTCGACGGCGTGCGCAACTCTGATGGCCCAGGGCATTGATGTGAGCCCCTCGCTCATTGATAGATGGGCAAGGTTCGAGACATGTCTTGTTCTCCAGTTTCAGGGGCAGCTGGTAGCTTTGAGGTTGGGAGCTTGAGGGCTTGCAAGCTTTGTGCAGCTTGGAGAGCTACTGTACTCAACTGCATAAGCTTGCGATACCTTCGCGCATGCTAACATGCTCGTCGCGGGCTACCGGATCCGGCAAAGTTAGCCTGCCTCATGCGGTAGCATAGGACTCGCTGCATTTCCCAATCCTCATCCATCCCTGGCTTTTTTTTCTCGCCAGAGCCTGGAGCCCGGACGGCAAAGCAAGAGAATCCTTCCCCGAGGCGTGGGTAACCCAATCGAGATGGGCAATCGGCAACTCCATGGCATCAGCGGGGTATACCGATCCCCAATGTTACGCAGCCCAGGGCACAGCGTCACAAGGACCGCAGTGTCGACTACCCAGGACTCACAGCGTCCATTACCGCATGCATAGTGCGACCGTCGCACTGTGTGCCTAAGAAAACCCTCGCTAAATTAGCTTAACGCAATGCAGATCGCTTCTCTCTTGCTGCTCGTTTCTGTCTGATCACTGTGCCGGATGCGGTTAGGCGGCGTCTGCGTGTGGAGGAGACAAGATCACGGCGAAAGGGCGAGGAGATAACCTCGCTGATCGGCGATTCGACCGCGCACGCCGCGACTCCTCTCCACCTCGTCCCACTAGGGAGGCAGGTGATGTCAATGGCGCCGACATGGGGAGGCAAGGGAGGGAAAGAGGAGGAATACGGGCAAACGAGGTATGGGAAAGCGGGAAAGTGGATGGGAGTCGGGAAAAAGAAATGCGACGGCCTGCGCGCCATCGCCCCCTTCCCGCCCATTCATGAAAAAGCACAGGACTCTCTGGTCGAGCCAGCCGGCCAGCTCCGGAGCCAGACGTCGCACACCAGGACACTCACGCCCTCTGTGCCCGGAGCGGCCCGCACCCACACGCCTCGGTGTTTTTGGATAGCGCCATCGTCGAGCAGCACCGAGCGGGGAAAGGTGGGTTTTGTGTTGCTCCTTCTTTGCGAGCCGGATGCAAGTGTTTTGGCCGTGTGACGCTCGCCACCTCGGCTGACACCGGTGGTGCACCGCGGGCAGCAGGGGAGCAACCATCAAGACAAAGGAGGCGCGAGATTTACCTGCTACCTGCCCAGGCGGGATGGAGTCGGTTACCGCCGGGAGCAGGCCGCAGACGATGGATAAAACCCACCTCGCACCGAGGCTCGGGGTGGGATCCGGGCCTCCTGCGCCGTCGCCAGTACCAGGGCCAGGGCCAGGGCTAGGGAGCAAACCGCAGCCGCCGAGTCGCCAGCACAGCTACGAGCACGGCTCCTTTCAGCCGCAGAGCTTCGTCAACATGAGCCCTCCGGGGGCGGCAAGCCACGGGAGGCAGCCGCGGAAGCTGGTGCTGTGCTTTGACGGCACCGGCAACAAGTTTCGGGGCGACGACAGCGACAGCAACATCCTCAAGATCTTTCGCATGCTGGACCGGACTGCCAGCGATCAATGTGGGTGATTTTGTCCTTTTGTCTTTTTGTCTTTTTGTCTTTTCGTTCGTCTGCTCGTTCCGTGCCGTCCATGTTTACTAACCTGTCATGAATATCAATAGACCACTACTACCAGCGTAAGTATCCTCAGAAAAGCACATCCAGGCACCCGCACTAACCTTGCCCTCTAACCACCCAGCCGGCATCGGTACGTACGTCGTGTCCAACAACGTGTCGTCGCACACGTCGATGCGCGCGCGCTTCAAGTCGTGGATGACCAAGGCCAAGGACTCGGCCATCGGCTCGTCGTTTGACCAGCACGTCGTGGGCGGCTACCGCTTCCTGATGCGCTTCTACTCGCCCGGCGACGAGATCTACATCTTTGGCTTCTCGCGCGGCGCCTACATCGCCCGCTTCCTGGCCGAGATGCTCGACTACGTCGGCCTGCTGAGCCACGGCAACGAGGAGATGGTGGCCTTCGCCTGGAAGGCCTTTGCCCAGTGGCAGTGCCGCCGCGGCGTCGCCGAGGAGGAGGAGGCGGCGCTGCAGTGCGAGGAGGCCTGCGAGGAGGGCGGCAGCGGCAGCAAAAAGGAGAGCAGCAGGGAGAGGCGCAAGAAGGAGAAGCGTGAGAAGCTGAGGGAGGAGTCACGCAAGAAGACGGAGCGGCTGTACGAGTTCCTCAAGGGCTTCCGCGAGACCTTCAGCCGCCCCGTGCGTCGCATCCGCTTCCTCGGCCTCTTCGACACGGTCAACAGTGTCCCGCGCTTCGAGACGGCCTGGATGGAGCGCGCCGTGTCCAAGTTTCCCTATACGGCTCGCACTTCGGTAAGGCACCCACCCACCTTTGTTCGTCAGCTTTCCCTCCTTGGGACGGGCTTGACTAACACACAGGTCCTTCCCGGCACAGGCAAAAGTGATCCGGCACGCCGTTAGCATCGACGAGCGCCGGGCCAAGTTCCGCCAGGACCTCATCTACCAGAGCAGGCACGAGTCCATGGAGCGCAAGAAGGTCGCGGCCGAGGCCAAAGCCAAGGGCCACGGCGGCGGCGGCGGGCTGCACAACGCAAAACACATGCTGCACGAGTTCCACGAAAAGTACCGCGTGCACCACCACCACCGCCGCGCGCAGCAGACGCCCGTGTTTGTCGAGCCCAAGCCCGAGGTGGAGGGCCGGGGGGACAGAACAAACGGCGGGGCGGCGGCGAGGGCATCCCAGGACCGTGGCCGCCGCCCGTCCAAGGAGGCCGTTGGGGCAGCCTCGGGCGCAGCACCACCGCAGCAGCACGCGGCGCGCGCGTCGCTGGACCACCCAGAGCGGTACCGCGCGCACCGGTCACGGTCCAAGTCGCGCACGACACAGCGCACGCGCGACTCGTCGGCGGCGCGGCGGCTCGGCAGCGCCGAACGCGGCAGCGTGCGGGACCATGTGGGTCACTACCACGGCGGCGGGCACGAGCACGAGCACCCGCACCCGCATGACCGGCTCGAGGTGCCTGGCGGCAGCCAAAATGACTGCGACTCGGACGGGGACGGCGAGGACGGGGACCTGGCGCACATGCCGGCGGCGTCCGACGTCGACGACGGCTTCAGCAGCTCCGACGAGGACGACCAGGACATCGACGAGGTGTGGTTCTCGGGCGGGCACGGCGACGTCGGCGGCGGCTGGGACATTGAGCCGGGCGGCAAGAGCGCTAGCCACGTGCCGCTGGCCTGGATGGTGCGCGAGGCCATCCGCGCGGGCCTGTCGTTTGACATGAGCAAGGTCGTGACCATGGGCTGCGCGTCGGCCGCCGAATGCGGCATGCATGTTGACGAGGAGGAGGAGGAGGAGGAGGAGGAGGCAGTCGCCAAGGCACGCCAGCAACAGCCGCCCGTCCCCAACATCCGCGTCAACAGCGGCAGTCAGCCCAACACACCCGGCATCGGCCCACTGACGGGCGCCGACAGCGAGCAGGGCGACTGCGACGACGAGCACGGGGACCGACACAGCCACGGGCTCGGGCTCGGGCTCGGCCACCTCAAGAACGACGTGCACGCGGCCTTCCACAACCTCATCTGCCACGCGCACACGGCGCGCATCCACGACTCGCTGTCCTGGGACTGCGGCATGTCGGCCGGGTCGGTGCTCTCGTGGCGCGTCATGGAGTACTTGCCCTTCCGGCGCATGGACCTGCAGGGCGACGGCTCGTGGAAGCCCATCCGCTGGCCGCTGCCGTGCGGCGAGGTGCGCGACATCCCCGATGATGCCCGCGTCCACGGCTCCGTCATCCGCCGCATGCGCGCCGACGAGCGCTACCGTCCGGGCAACCTCATCGTCGGAGGGGGCGGCCGGGGAGTGAGGGTTGCGCCGTCCGAGAAGGGGACTGGGAACTGGATCTGCATCTCTGGCGAGGGCGACCCGATTGACGAGATCTGGGTCAAGGTGAAGGAGGGCGAGGGATCAGATGGGGGTGATGGGAACGGTAGTGGCAAGAATAATGGTAACAGCAACGGGCACAGTCATGGTGTCAACGTCAATGGAAAAAATCACCAGTGAGGACGCGAGGAGAAGAGAAGTCGAGCGTTCCTTCTGTACACGACCTAATGTCAATCGATTCTGCTCCAATGACATCACTCGTCACTCGTCACTCACAACTCAAACCCCTAACCCTGTCACTGTAAGCACAAGGAGCGAAAGACGATCGCAACCATACTCACGGTGCTATTTCCCAAAGGCAATTAATTATGTATATACACAAAACTAGCTAGCCAGATATGCCACAGGGTAACAAAAGCAGAAGCGGCCAGGCAGGACGAAGGATATGATAATGACGGGTAAACAACGAGGCAGTGACAGCAATGTTGTGTGTCGGGGCCAGAAACAACCACCACCTCTAGCAGATTCAGGAATACGAGTACAAGGTTACAAGTTTGGGGGCAAAGGAGCACAATACGAGTACAGGTTATCGTGGCCAAGAAAAAGAAGGGGAAAAAGCAATTAAGAAAACGGTTAGGCAATGAGGAAGTAAGGAGAAAAAGACAAGGCTGCAGTGATCCATCCATATATATATATGCATATGCACACACGCAGCTTGCCGCTGCGTGCTGCCCCTAACAAAACAACACCACCAGACGAAAAAGAACAGGCCGGCTCATCCAGTCCAAAAGGGAGCACCTCCTCACTGCCGCCCTCTCGACTCCTGCGCCAGCCTGCGCTCGCTCTCGCGAGCCTGCGTGCGGTTCTGCGCCTCGAGTTCGTGGATGCGCTCGCGCGCCGCGCTACGGTCCTGCACACGACCCTCGCGCTCCGTCTTGAGCTTGTTCTCCAGCTCCCTAAGCCGCAGAATCCACTTGGAGTCGACCACCCCCGACCCTCCGCCGTTCTCGGCCCCCGAGTTGTTGCCCGACCCGCTGCGGCCGTCGTCGTCCGCCGCCAGCGCCAGCTCGCCCGCCGTCACCGGCCGCGGCGACGGTGCCAGGTGCATGGCCCCCGTCCACCCGCCGCCGCCACCGCCACCGCCGCCACCGTTGCTCCTGTCATGGTTGGCCCCGTGGCTGCTGCGCGTCCTGCTGCCCGCGTTGTTGCGCTGCAGCGCCGCCCGGTCCCTGGACCCGCCCCGGGGTCCCGTCGGGATCGACGGCGACGGGCTGTGCGCCAGTATGTTCTGGTCCTCGGCGTCCAAGGACGATGCCGCCGCCCGCGCCCGCACCTCCTTGGCCGTCCGCAGCGTTGTGTTCTCCACCTTGAGCTGCCGGTACGCGTCCTCGAGGCGCACCATGCGCGCCTGCAACTCGCGCTCCGAGTTGGACTTGCCCAGCGTGCCAGCCGCTACGCCGTTACGTACAATCGACTCGAGCTTATCGAGCTTCTTGGCCCGCGCCTCGAGCGCCGACTCGAGGCTGTTGTACTCACGCCACAGATCCCGCTCCACATCGCGCACGCGGCCCTGGAATCCGCCCACCACCGTCTCGATAGTCTTGACAGCTGCCAGCAGGTTTTTGCTGAAGCCGGGAAGCATCGTGGCCACGGCCTCGAGCGACGGTAGCGCCCTGCCGTTGATGAGGCTATTGTCGTGGGCCCAGTCGCTGCCGCAGAGCGACGACAGCCGCGTCCAGAGCTGGAGCAGGAGCGTGTTGCGCTCGTTGAGCTGCTCCTTAAACGTCATCTCCAGCTGCGAGATGCGCCGCTTGTCCTGCATCTTGGCCGACTCGAGCTCCGCGATGCGCGCCTCCTGACTGCTATTGGTGCGCGACACGTGCTGGTGCGTCTTCTGGAACGTCTCAAACTGGTGCTGTGACACCCGGTGCGCTTGTCTCTCCTTCTCCAGCATATCCGCTAGCTTACGCGCCTCGAGCCCTTGAGACTCGAGAAGGGCGTCGCGCTGCTTGATGATGCGATCCTTCTCCATGACTGACGCCTTGGCCGTATCCAGCTCGCGGACGGTATCCTCGAGCTGACGCTGGAGTTTGGCGATGGACTGGCGAGGGAAAGAAAAATGTTAGCCACATCACTGTGGTTGGAGCTGGAGAAGAAGAAGAAGAAGAAAAACAGGACAGGCAGGCATGTCCAAAAACTCACCTTGAGCAGGCTCGACCTAGTCCCGTTCAGGTCGCCCAGAGCCTCGCGCAGGTTGTTCTCGAGCTCCATAAGCCGCTCCTTCCACTCAGTCGCCTCCCTCTCTCGCGAGTTCAGGCTCTTGCGCAGCCGCCTGGCCTCGTCCTTGGACGCCGAGGCCTGCACGTTGAGCTCGTTAACGAACTGCTGCACCTCCTCCTTTTCGCGGTTGGCCACAATCTCGCGCTGCCGCCTCTCCACCGTCAGGCGCTGGTCCAGTTCGCGCACCCTCTCCTTCTCCTCGCGCAGGCTCTGCTCGACACCGGCCAGCGATGCCTCGAGGTCGCCGATCCGGATCTTGTCGCCCTCCTGCTCCTCGCGCAGGAACGCAATCTCGTCCTGGCCCGACTCCTGCTGCACGCTCAGCCGCTGCGCCTTGTCGTTGGACTCGAGCAGCTTGGACTCGAGCTCCTCGAGCTCCTTGTTGGCGTCCGCCAGCTGCTGCTCCAGCGACTGTATCCGCTTCATCTTGTTCTCCTGTTCGTCTTCCAGCCCGATCAGCGATTCGCTCAGCTTGCGCATCTCGTCCTGAAGAGCGTTGAAGCTCTCGGTGCGCTCCGTGAGGTCGAGCTGCAGTTTCTGCGCCTCGTCCGTCTTGGCTTCTAGCTCCTGGTCTAGGTTGTCGAGCTCGTCCTGCGCCTCCTTCCTCAGGTTTTCGAATTCAACCTGCAGCTGGTCGTTCTCCTGCAGCGCCTCGTCGCGTTCGTTCTGTAAGCTCATCAGGTCGTTCAGCGCATTCTCGAGGTCCTCCTGGAGCTGCAGCGCAATCTCCTCGGCCTGCTTCTTGCCCTCGAGGGCCGTCTCAAAGTCCTCGGTGCAACTGTTGAGCTCGTTCTGCAGGTCCTGGTTCCGCAGCTTGAGCTCGTTGATCTTGTCGCGCAGCTCCGACATCTTGGCGTCCATCTCCTCCCGCTCGGCATCCTCGACGCTGGTCAGCGCCCTGGTGCCGCCGCTGTGTCGCGACCCGGGCCTCTCTCTGACCCCGGCCCGGGATGCAGACCGGTCCAGAAGGCTGTCTATTGTCGACGGGGCAGGGCCACCGCGTCGCGCCGCCAGCTTCAGGTCTTCTATCTCCTGATACAGCCGTTCCTTCTCCCGATTCCTTGATGTCAGCATCGACGTCTGAGCACCGACTTCCCTCCTGAGCTCGGCGTTCTCGTGGCGGAGCTGTTCTCCTTCGCGCCGCAGCTCCTCGACCAGGGTGCTGGCGACGCTGACAAGTCCGTTAGAGCCATCCATCTCGCCAGAGAACGAAGACAGAGGCCGACTAGGCGACGCGGGCCTGGGGTGCTTGGTGATGTTGTAGATGTTGGTGGTGTGATGCAATCTTCCAGAACCGCTGCCGGCGACAACGCTCCCAGGGGCGTTGCTCGCGACTTCTTGTTTTAATCGAAAGATCTCGTCTCGCAGCTTCCGGTTCTCCTCATCCACCTGCTCGCGATGCGCCGTCTCCTGCTCCAGGAGATCCTTCCAGACGTCGGCCTCCTCTTGGCGGCCCATAGACTCCCCGAGATGCTTCTCGCCCACCGACTGCAGGGACCTGAGATGTTCAGCCATGCGGCGCTTATCCGTCTCTTTGGTCATGTTCTCGTTCCTCAGCCTCTCGACCTCGGCCTCGTACTCCTCTATGCGCTCGCGCAGGTACATCAGCTCCTCCTCCCGCTCCTGGGCCTCCTGGTCGGCAGCCTCGGACTGGCCGTTGACCGATGTGCCACTGCGGGCGGTGCTCGGCCGCTCGTCCTCGTCCTTTAGCTGCTTCTCGAGCTCCTTCACGCGCCTGCGCAGCAGCTTGTTGTCACGTTGCAGGACTGCGAGGCCCGTCTTGAGCTCGACGTTCTCCGAGATCATCTCCTTAACACCCTCCTCGGAGAGCTTGTTCAGCCGGTCGCTAAGGAACGTGATCTTGAGCTTCAGGTCGAAGTTCTCCTTGGACAGTCTCTCGATGGTGCTGCTCTGCTCCTTGAGAGTCAGGGTCTTAGCCCGACTCGGCGTGCTGACAGAGGACATGCCCGATGGCTTCCTAGACGCAGTCAAGAACCCGCCTTTCTTATACTCGCGGGCAAGCGACTCGGGAACCTGAACGTTCATAACGCGGTTGTTGATGACGGTATCGGTCGGTGGCGCGAGTTTGCGACTGGCCTTGGGCGTCTGGAGAAGATCCTGACCAAATCTGTTCATCTCGGTGCTGTCCTCGTCGAGGGTCTCCAGCGCCCTTCCCGACGTCTCGTGGTCGTCTATGCCCGATGCTATGCTCCCCATGCTGATGGATCTCGACATGATCCTGCTGAGACCGCGCGACACTCCTAGGGCCGGCAGCGCGCCTCCAGACTGCAGGGCGTAGTCGGTACCTGCACCGACGGTCACGTCGCTATCCCGATCGTCGTGAGAGCTATCATTACTATCCACCGACGAAACTGAGGACCGCTGGCTCGTCTGGCGGCTGCGCAGGTACTTGGGCCTTCCGCCGACGCGGAGGGCATGGCCAGGGGTACTTCCTGCATCTATGTACGACTTTCGAGAACTGCGGGAAGGCTTAGGTAACGCGTCAGAGCCGGGAGACAGGATGCTGTTGGAACCCGCTGGTGCTTGATTTAGGCTGCTCTCCGCCATGGCGCTTGGCTCGCCGGTTGAGAATGTGTTGCCCTCGATTCGGGACGTATCGGCGTCGCCGCCATTTGTCTTGCCTATGCTGGCCGTAGATAGTGCCCTCGAGATTGTGCGAGCGGCGGCGGCGGCTGTGGGAGATGAGGAGAAGGCCTCGAGTGATTCAGTCGTGGCGCTAGTGTCGGCGGCGTCGTGGCGCGGTCTCGTGTCGTACAGGCTTTCGTCCTGTTCGGCTGGCGCCTGCTTCGCGTCGCGAGACCTGGCAGAGGGCGTCGGCGAGGGTGATAAAGGAGTCGACAAGGCTGGGTTTCTGTAGCCAACGGACAGAGACATGGGTATTTCCGATGCCGGGCCCGGCGCCTCTAGTGCGGGCTTCGTGGGAGTCGGGCTTTGGTTCTGGCTGCGGTGCTCGGCGGGGCTCGTTGACTTCTTGATTGGCGAGTCGAACAGGTACGTGTCGTCGAAGCCGTTGGCGGTGATGGCGGGCAGTGGCGATATGGGCGGAACGAAGCTGGACTCGAGATCCTGGAGGTGCTCCCGCACGGCGCGCTCGGCGAGGGAGTCGGCGTGTTTGTCGTCAAAGATGCTCATGCCGTCTTCCATGACACTGGCGGTTGTGGAGTCGGGGAGAGGGGTGTCCTCTGCAGCGGCAGTCGCAACACCTGCAGCTGCAGGCGGGATGTTCTCGGCTTTCGTCAGGTGATGGGCGTCTGGGGGCGGGCCTGTGGGGGTAAAGGAGCCCGAGGCGGCGTCGGCGGAGAAGTCGGTGGGTGTGGCGTCGTGCAGGTTCAGGCTGCTGTTGGCCAGCGGTTTTTGCAACGGCCAGGCCGGGACTGGTTGAGCGCGTGGCTCGTGGCCGTCCATCACGTCAGGCGGAGTGGTTGGGCGCGGCGTCAATATGCATTCGGCATGCGGGAATGATGCCGTCTGGCTCTGCAATGCGTTGACAGGCGGTGGTGGAGCAGGGGGGGTGGGCGGCCCGACTGGACGAAGGAACGGGCGGGCGATGTGATGAGGTCGAGGCCTAGGATCAGTAGTTTGGGTAGGCTAACGGAGAGCGACCTAGGGAGGCGGCCTAGGGAGCACTGGGAGGGAGCGGTCGGAGGTCGACAGCAGCGCAGCCGCAGATTGAGCAGGAGGGGGCGAGAAGAGTCCGTCGTCTGATGTTGGGATAAAAGCAATCTGACGGTTGCATGCAACGCTGATCGACGGCGCGAGCGGGAACTTCTTCTGGTCGACTGGGGGGGGGCACTCTGGCACTCACTGGGGGCTCGTCGCAAGCTTGCAATGCAGCAGCAGCGCTCGGACCCCTGCGCTTTGCTTTTTAGTCTCGGCTGGCTGTTCGAGCTTCGACGTTTTCTCAGGGCGTGCTGCTGCCGTCTTCGCAAAAGGTGACAAGCTCGCAACCAGGCCCCGCCCCACGAGTCGGCCGACCCACCTGCGCTGCATCCTTACAGCGCGCGCGGCCAATGGGGGACCCAGAACTGGCTGCGGTAGGGTAACGCTCCCCTGAGGGCTGCTCGGATGGTTGCCATGACAGCGCACGAGCCCTGCAAAGGTCCGCTTCGAATGGCTTGCTCTGGCTTGCTCCCGGCTTCCTCCCAGCCAAAATTTGATGCGATCATCCCAGTCTCTGCGCTATTTTGGGCATGGTGGGGGGACGAAAACCGGGGAAGAAACTGAAGAAGTAACGACAAGGGACACACCAGTCGCGCCAGTGCTCCAGCGACGAATCCAGAAAGCAAAAACTCTTCTCGTGCTTCCCTGACAGCTCTTCCTGGCAGTCTGCCTCGACGTCTGCCTCCCTCTGGCCCGTGCAGAGAGGCATTGGGACCGACGGACGGCTCGGGCCCTGGCGAACAAGCGACAGGAAGTTAATTAGATCGATTGGGTTGGCCAGACCCTTTATCAGCTGGTTCCCTGCACAGACCTGGCGTTGACCTGCTCCTGGTCAACCCAATTTTGCCCCTGAACCCCATTTATGACAAGCAGAAAAAGGGGCTGAGCTTGACCTACCACGACCTGCGCTCTAGCGACGCGACATGGCCAGCAAGCCAAACACATGAGCACGTGACAAACCCAAGGTTTCCTTGTCCATGATTCGTGTGTCCAATGGAAATGGCGCTCTGTTGTTCGGCAGTCGGCAGTTGGGCTCCTCGGATGCGGCCCGGATCGCGAACGAAGCCAAGCCCTTGTCTCCGACACACGCGACCCAAGCCGGTGGGTTGGCTTGTGCAGGACCCTGGATAGTTATGAAAGACGCCGTGATGCTAGAAATATACAATTATATAATTATACAATTATACAATTATACAGACACAAAACCACGGTAGACGGCTTCCTCAGTGGCAAACAAGTCCCACCCCCTCACATCCAGGCCCAAGAGGTGTTATATAGGGAGACTTTGGCCTCTCCCCCCCATCATTACGACATCCTTTACTCGCAGTTTATCGTGGCAGACGCCGTGCCAGCCGGCAGTCGGCGCCATCGCGCCCATGTCCGCATGGCTCCATTCGCTTCCCTGGGACACGACTTGCGCCGGCGACAGGACAATGACTGGACACAGCACGTCCTCGCCATCTCGCCAAGTCTTGGTCGTCGTCGAACAACGGGCATACAATGCGCCGAGGGATGCCAGGAACAAATCCTTCAATCTACGCTGTTGGACTCGTCCACACCGCACTCGGCTTCTGCCAGCCTCAGCTCTTCTCTCAATTCAATCTCCTGTCTTTGTTATGCAGAGTGACAGCGAGTACGGCACGTGCCTAACAGGAAAAAGGATAGCATCATGCTTTGTCGCGTGTTCAAACACGAACGGGCGCTGACTTCTTGGCTATCTACGGCTCCCGAGCTGACATCGCCCGCTCAGAAGGCGGGGAAGCCAAGACCCGGCTGGGTTAACCGATGCTGAAAGCCCCGGCCGTGGCTTGCCGGCCCCGTCACCAAGCATATTGACAGCTCGACAACCCGAGCCTCCCAATGGGAGCTATTGATTGACGTGGGGTGTTGGTCGCGCCCAAGGTCCGGCGCGCCGAATTATAACGGCCACGAAAGAAGCAAAACAAACAACAAAAAGGAGCGACGGGACGAACGGGCAGCGCGGGTGCAGGGAGCTAATAGCGATGCCAATGTCGAAACGAGATGTCTTCGAGCCAGTCGAGCTGGTCAGCTCCCGTCATCACTGCTTTAGTCGATGCGTTTTCCTATTGACGTGTAATCCGTAGAGCTCGCAGCTCGCAGCTGCACCTCTGGCCGTCCCCGCAGCCGGCCGGTGATTCGTGGCCTCACTTTTCCCAGCACGGGGACCCTCATGAGCTTCGCGGTTGGTGCCACGGCCGTTGGGCAACAAGCCCGACGGGAACTCTCGCGAACTACTCCCGATCTGCTCCTCGATCGCCGGCTTTATTAATCCCCTTCCGTCGACAAGTGCAGGCATTACGATGTCCTGACCCTCTCACGCCATGGAGCCATCATTCCCTTTATCCATGACATTGGGCCTGCTTTCACATACCCGATGAGCTCTCACATCTAGCACCTAACATAATCCCCCCTCCCCCCAATCATAAAAATCATTAAACCTCCGCAAGCAGCAGCTTTAGTGGAGCAAGAAAAAAAATGCCGTTCCAGCAAGCCCCCATCTCGGCGCAGTACTCGCGGAGGCTGGTTAATGACCGCCTCCCGACCTTCGTCTTTCAGGCGTGGTACTGCGACCGCGAGCTGTCCGACACGGAGCCCTACAATCAGAGGCTGGCCCGCACCATCTGGGCGTACCCAGACCCGATGCTGATGGGCCTCGTCTTTGAAGGGCGCCGGGCCCAGCCTCGGGACCTGTCGTTTGTTGCCCCTATTTCGGTAAGACGCGATTCCGATATACCTCGAAGTAACCCCCCCATCGTTTCGCAGAGAAAGGCTCACACAGCCCAATCCGTGTCAAGATCCGAGTGTATGCTCGCAACTGCCTAAAAGAAACCGAGGGCGCCTTCTTCGAGCGCATCAACTGGCTCTGGGAGGTCGTGTTCCCCATCGCTGCTGAGCGCTTCCTCGGGAACCTTGGACTGAGCCCCGAGTTCTTCAACATGCACGCCGAGGCCAGCGACGGCGTCCGCATCGATAAATACACCCGCATGGCCGTGGCAAACAAGGTTAACCAACAGATGGGCCGGCTGAGGCTTGAGAAGGCCGAGGCATACTCGGCGGCGGAGCTTGCCGATGGGGTGTGAGTCTCGACCCCATGTCCCCGGATTGCACCCCCTTGTCACAGGTCCGACATTAACATCCCGCATATGCAGTCTGCTTGCAGCATCGGCCTTGAGGCCGGTCGTTTCCAGTGCCTTTTCCTCCCTAGTTGGCATGGCAGCGAACCTGACCCCGAGCTCGCTCAAGACGGGCAAAATGTTCGCCGCACCACCCCCCGAGAAGACTCAGCGTGCCGATCAGGTTTACTCGCCCTGCTCGTGCTCGTGCTTGTCCAAACACAGCCAGGACCCCTCCTCTACTTTTATCACGGAACCTTGCGAGAGCCAAGCGGATGGTGTGCACCAAGTGCAAGAAGGCCATTGGGACGACGTAAACCAGGCGTTTGCCAACCTTGTCAGTTCCCCAGCACCCCTACCTCGGCCATGGCATCTGGCTAACCGCGTGGAACCAGATCTCGGATCGGCAATCCATGGACGAGTGCGAATGGCGCAGCGCCTCGACAGCCGTGGCCTCGGCTGCCTTCCCGAGGCACTGCAAGGACTTTAGAAAAAAGTTCAGCCAAGTCAAGGCCAGATGGAACAATCCAGGTACGTCGCACTCTGCGGCTGCAGCCACTCACTGCTTTTGCTGACGCCATGCCCAGAGGGCCTGCTAGAATCCGGCCTCGAGACGCACTTCCTGTGGAAAGCCGTGTCCGAGATGAGCGACCTGGCGCGCATCTACTGCCAGCTGCTGCGCACCATCACGTCCGAGGAGACGCACCACGAGGCCATCAAGGACCACCAGCTCGGCGCTATCGGCAACACCACCACCGCCGTCGGGCTCGTGTGCGGCACCGGCATGCTGGCCTACCGCTCCGTCCTGTCCTTTGCACGCAACAAGACGGCGGTGGGCGCGGTGCTTGCCGGCACCGCCGTGGTCGCCGCCGCTGTGGCTGCGGTGCCGGGCAAGAAGGCGTATGGGCACTTTATCGGCATGCGGACGTGCCGGAAACGTGAGTCTGCTGATCAATTCTACACTGGTCTGTGCAACAGCCGACGGCTAACACGACGGATGTGTCCTTGCCGACAGTCGACGACGACTGTGAATCGTTCAGACAGGAGTTTGGCGACCTCATGCGCGTCACGGCGCTCTGCTTTGCCGCGTCGACGGGCTACGCGTCGAGGTTCAAGTGCAGCCCCGACGCCAAGGAGTCGTTCCTGAAGAGCTTCGGCGTGGACCTGGAGAAGGTCGGGCAGGAGGAGTACCAAAAGGAGCAGATCAAGAACCGGGTCAGGAATATGGCGACGGCGTACGAGACGCTGGCACAGACGCTGCACATTATCGAGAAGAGCTGACGGGCGGCGTGCATTGTGCTCGCACGACTTTTCTTTTGTCCCACATGAGCATTCCTTTGCCCTCCCCGAGAGGGCGGCCGATTTCTTTTGTTGGCTGTTTGGCGTTCAGGTAGCTGCCGGAGGGAGGCAAGCCCATACCCAGATATGTTTTGAGGTCAATTAGGCCAGAAATAGCGCGCACCCATGGAAATAGCTTCATTTTGCCTCCTTCGTCAAGCCGTAGCCAAGAGTGCCTGGGTACGATTAAGCTCAGATCGCCACTCAGCCCTGGCAACTCCAGCTGGGGGTCCGCTCTCGGATGGCTAAGCTTCTGGGTATCTCTAAGCGCAATTGGCAAAATGAGCTAATCCGTCGATTTGTGGCGGAGGATGTCGAAACGTGGACGTTGGTTGCACCAAAGGATTCACTGCGTTGAGTGATGACGTAGTGTGCAGCCCGCCTGTTGTCGCCCGTCTTACGACACGGACGTGGGTTCTTCCCGGTACTGGGTTCCCCCCTACCTGGATCAATAGTAGCCGCTGATCCGTGTCCAGAAAGCCTCGACGTCAGCCCTCTGAGCCCGCAACGACCCCCCCGCCGCTAGGTACACATACATACACAGCAAGCGTCGCATCAAGACCGTCATGTCTTGATCGGACGAGACCAAGCAAGCAGCTAGACGCAGGATTCCAAGGCAGCGGCGGACCAGGAACTGCCCCGTAATGTAATGCACGCCCCGTCACGAGCAGGCAGTTTTAAGCTTGTAGGGGGAGCGGCGTGTTGGATGTGCGCTACTAGTGACGTCACGACATCCATGGCCGCCCGTCCAACGTGCTGCGATATCTAAAGTACAAAACAAGCGCCGTCGCTGGCTTCTCAACGACGTCTTGTCTTCTCTTCAACCAACCCTTTCTCATCACTTCAAACACAACAAGTACACCACCACCACCACCACCACACAAACACACCCCCATAATCCGACATCATGAACTTCGGCGGCAACAGCAACAACACCATGGCCTCGGGCCAGCCCGCCGCGGGCAGCACCGAGAAGGCTGACTTTGGCGACAAGGGTGAGAACAAAGCCTGTAAAAAAAAAAAAACTCCCCTCACTTGGCATCGGTTGGCGTGCTAACACTATGCCGCCAGCCTTTGACTTTGCCTCCAAGAAGGCCGGCCACCCCGTCGACCGCAACGCGGGCGAGAAGATCACCGACGCTGCCCGCGGTGTCTACGAGAAGGCCACTGGGTGCGTTTTTTTTTGTCTCCGCCCGTCTTTGCGCCGGACTCTTGCGGACAATGCTGACCACTCGCCCTTACCTTGCAACAGAAAGAAGGTCAACCCCAAGATTTCCAACTAGAAATAATGTCTACTTGTACAATAGTCGGCAGTCGAGCAACGCGTGGTGCGGTAGCCGCATGCTTGCTGGCGCTAATAAAGGAGAATTTGAAGCATAACATCATATTCAATGCAATCTGCCAAGGGACTCTGATGGATCAGGAATTCTACAAGTGACTATTGGAACACGTCAATTTCGTTGAAAAGATGAAGGCCATATCAAGCGCGTTCGAAATCAGGCTCATGCCGTGATATCCAAAAGCATCACCCGCAACCAAATACTGGCAAAGAACTGAAAATAAAATCCATTTGGTCCCTGAACTCCGCCCGTTGTAGATTGTGGAGAAAAAGGAAAGGCCGAGTTGAAACAAGACAAAGTTGGCGGCATTCGTACACATGATCATCCCGTTTTCCCAGCCCCAAGCGTACAAAGCCACGCATTCCCGGGGCCTCCTCCGGGTCTCAGCACTTGAAGCCCCGAAAGTCATCAGGAGAATAATAACCAAGACAGACATTAAAGAATATGCAGAATATCCAAGAAGATAGTGTGGGGAAAGACAAAGAAACAAGGCCCCGGGTAGGACAAGCGAACAACATTGCACAGCAAGGGAGATAAGGAAACATCGCAGACATCATGGATCATCGGCAGCTCGACTCGAAATGCGCGGTCTTATGAGCCGTTATCGGCAAACACTTGGTAGGCGATGATCATGATCCAGAGCAGGAAGATCTGCCCGATCAAGGCGAAGGCAAAGACGGCCTGCCACGACTGGCCTGGGACGAGGAGAGCACCGTCAGCAACGCAACCATCGGGAGAGAAGGACTAGCCAAGGCACCGGGGCCTAGATCAGTCTCGACAGAATACTCACATATACTCCTCTGCTCCAACCAGGCCAGTGTCTGGAGAGTCTGGCCGGTAGGGTTCTGGGTGAAGACAGCGAGGTTGCAGTTGCCGCTGACAGAGCCCGTTGGGCCGCTCGATGGACCCCACAGCTCGATCGACACGACGACGAGACCAACCAGCCACATGACGAACAGAATGAAGCCGCCTATCATGACAATCGAGGGAAGCAGTCTTCGGGAGAAGATGAGCCACAGGAGTATTGCAATGAAGGTGACAACCAAGCTCCCGACTATAATGTAATATGTAAAATACCTAAGACGCGATGGGGTTGTGTCAGTTTTCGTGCCGCGTTCGACTGGGGAACGTTGTGCGGGCTGGATGGCGTACCATGGGATGGGCAATAGCAACTGGCTTTGTATGCCGATAAAGGTAGCGAAGACGCCAATGATGGTACATGCGGAGATGAGCATGATGAGCATCCAGACGTTGAGCTGAACGGCCGGCCAGTGGTAGCGAACCACACGCTCGATGCGCCTGCTTTCAACGAAATAACCGCTTGTTACTGTCGACGCCATGTTTGCGACTTGCGTCTGTGTAATGAAGAAAGATGTGAAGGACGAAGAGCGAAGAGCTCTTGAAGGCAGAGGACCGCGATAGAGCGCTGTGGCCTTTAGGAGGTAGTGGTCACAGCGGCCGGTCGACCGAGTTTGGGATCGTCGTGGAAAGCCCGTGGGCCCGCAAAGGCGGTGGGAAAGGGGCACCGGTGGCCTGTCAAAAGAAGCGTGTCGGCTCGGGACGTAGGGCGTAGCGTCGAGGACGTGCGACGGTTCGAGGTTGGAGTTCGAGGTATTTTTCGGCTGCAGGACAGGTGGTGGTGCAACGATGCTCGTGTTCAGGGCGGAAATGAGGAAATGCTTCGATGTCGGATCGCGCGCTTATTCGGATTGGGATGAAGCAAAGGATGAGGCAGAGCCCGCGATGGTTTGCGCCAAAATGTCGGCAGGGTTTGCCTCGTAGCGAACAACCAGGGCACAGAAAGCTCCGTGTATATGCGCCCCTTGAGCGGGCCGAAGTCGCGATATCGGGGCAGAAGCAACAAGACGGCGAATCGGATTGAATGGTCTGGTTGGATGCAGAGCCCGGCAGCGGCCCAGCGCAGCGCAGAGATGCAGCAGGGAGGGGCTCGGTTGAGAGTTGGCCGGGCAATCAGGGGACCCAGGCGTCAGACGAGCTAGGGCTGAGCTTCGGCGGTGGATTCTGGCAGCGGCGCGACAATCGATCAATGGCAACAAGGGGAAGAAATAACCGCCAGCTGGGCCGGAGACTGATGCCCCAGGCGGACAGAACGGTCCACGTCGATGGGCACGTCGATGGGCACGCGTAGTGCAGACTGCCACGTCTGGTCCTCCGAGGAGAGCACAGCTGCCCGGTCTGGTGGATCAATTGGGCCGCGATGCCTTGGATGGGTGCTCCAAAGACAGGCCTCGCGAGTGCCAAGTGAGCTAGAGGCGACAGTGAAAAGTACGAAACGCGTTTGCGATCGTTTGCACAGCCAAAAAGAACAAGAAAAAAAAAGTGGTGGAAGGAAATAAACAAGTAAAGGGTTCCGAGGTAAGTTGAAGTGACAGAAGCCAATTTCCCGACTTGACCAGGTCCCGAGTTGGTTGCAAAGAAGGGCAATCAATGATGGCCTGGAGCTGGAGTGGGCGAGATGCGACAGGGGTGCGCGATTCCTTCACTGCGCAGATTGGGCGTGGCCGCTGGGGAAGGAGGGGCTGCCTTGGCGGGGCTGCCCTGCAGGGGGTCCATTGGGTTGGATGCCTGCCGCCTGGCAACTGTTGTTTTTGTTGTGCAGGTGTATCTCGCCCCTTCCCATTTGGAAAACGTGGCACGCACTCGGGGCTGACAAGGCTGGCGATGAATCCATGTCATGGGACCACCTGATCCATGCCCACGAAAATAATGGATTGTGTCTAACGTCCGGTGGAGGCTATCAACGTGCATACCTACCAAAATCTCTCGTAATGTCACCGAGTAGTGCATGTTTATTGTACAGACAGGCGTGCATATTTATTTGCGCTGGATCGAAGCCATGTGCAGCAAGTGGATCATTTCCGTGAGCTTCCTTCCATGGGGCAATGCAGGGCAGGTGCACATCTCGCGGGCCGCCGAGTCAGATGTTCAAGGGGTTTTCTGTGCGGCCGTGATGCATGTGATTCAAAACTGTTTATTGTTTATCCAGTCTTCGCCAGCCCAAACACCGGCGCCAATATCCAAAAGCAGGAAATCCGTGCAGTACCAGCCGGCAAGATGTCTATGTAGCAAGCAGGGTGGTGGTGATCATCCGTCGTGTAAAAGTGACAAGGCAAGGCCCGGCCCGGCCCGATGGGACCTGCGAAACCCAACCCAAAACTCAAACCTCAAACCCAGGTCCAGACCCAGATAGGCCCCAGGCAGGGGGACGCTACAACAAGCTTTCGCCCAGGGCACATCGCACCAGCGAGCAGCCCGCCCTGACAGTCTCATGAGCCCCGGCCTCGTGGTCGGCCAGGCTGGGGTTGACCTCGACCAGGTCGACGGCCACCAGCTGGCCCGTCTCGTGCACGCTCTCGCAGATAAAGTCGCCCTCGCGCAGCGTCAGGCCGCCGCGAACCGGCGTACCCGTGCTAGGCGCCCACATGGGGTCCAGGGCGTCCACGTCGAACGACAGGTGGATCGGGGTGTCGGAGCCGATGTGCGCCAGCGCCATCTCCATGACGCGCCCGATGCCGTACCGGTCAATGTCGAACATGCTAAAGGCCTTGATCTTGTTGTCGCGTAGGATCTTCTTCTCGTCCGCGTCCACGTCGCGTAGCCCGATGTAGACGAGCTTGGTCAGGCTCAGGCGGTGCTCGGGCTCGAGCCAGCCAAAGTACTCCTGCTTGTCCTCTGTTGCGAGCCCCGTCAGGAACGACACGGGCATGCCGTGAATGTTGCCACTACCGCTCGTCTCGGGCGTGTTGATGTCGGCGTGCGCGTCGACCCAGATGACCGCCACCTCGCGCCGCCCGCCGAAGCGCTCGCGCACGCCCTTGGCCACGCCGCCGATGGTGCCGATGGCGATGCTGTGGTCGCCTCCCAGCGTCAGCACCATGCGGCCCTCGCGCGCGTGCGCGTACGTCTGCTCAGCGATGCGCCGCGTCACGGCCGACACGGCCAGCGGCTTCAACATGTTACGGTATGGCGGGTCGGACGCTGGCGCGAGGTCCCGGTAGAGGTGTACTGTGTCGTGTCCGTGCAGCCTGTAGCCGAGCTCTTCGTGCAGCTGCGTCAGGAGGCCCGACTCTATCAGGGCGGCCGGAGCGGCGTCAACGCCGGGCTTGCACTAGAACCAGTCGAGCGTTGTCCTGTTAGCCATGTGCAGGGACCTGGAGAGGCAAGGCGCAAAGAACGTACCTGGCCCCCAGAGAAGCCGACGGCTACGACGCCGAGGTCCTCCGGGTTGGAGAGGAACTTGGATGTGACCATGGTGGTGAGCTTGACAGGTGGGGTTTTGGTGAGGTCGGGCTTGCCGTTGGTGTGGGGAGCTGTTGTCGAGGAAGACATTGCGGGCGGGCGACAGGGCCGTCGCTGATATAGTGATATCTCGGATTGGGCTGGGGCAGGAAGGCGGCAGGGTCGGGGAGATCGCAAGTCTGCGGACGAGGGTGATAGCGGGTAGGTGAGACCAAGAGAGGGCAAAATATGGAGAACAAAGAGGTTGAGACAGGGTCGCCGGGGTAAGCTACCAGAGGTTGTCGGAGCTGGACCAGGATATGGATATAACGCACGATAAGGGTGCTGCGCCCGGTGCTGCGTCTATACTGTAGACGTCCGAGTGGGTACCGGCGTGGAAAGAGGGAGGGGTTGAGGGTCCGGCTGGGGTGGGAGAGACGGGCAAGCTGGCAAGTAATAGTCTGACGGGCGCCGCGGCGTCGGGGTTTAGCGTTTTGCAAGGGCGTCGGGCCAAGGCTCGACGGCGGCATTCCTCGATGGAGCAGCGCCGGGGCTGGCCCGTGACGGTGGGGCCTTCCTGGTAGTCGCCAGTGCGGTGACACCGGTGGTCACTGTGGGTGGAGCACCACCTCGACTAGCACGGCGAAGCTCCCAGTGGCCCCATCGCGGCTCCTACGCCTTACCCTTAAGTGCAGGTACAAGCCACGCACCCCACGCACGGCAGGCCGACCTTACCCCTAAGTGCAGGTGGCCCGAAGATGTGTGTCACATTTGTGATCACGCATTGTGGCCGAGGCCAGGGCCTCCGAGCGAGGCGACTCAGCAGATGCAGCGTCGACAGGATGTTGACTCGATTGTCCGCCGTCGAGTCGTTTTGCTGGGCGGGTGCCGACAAGGCCGTAAGAAAGAGCGCATTCTGGATAAATCCCGAGCCACGCGCGTCAATCAGCAGGCGACTCCAGATGAATTGCATTCATGGACGCATCCAGCGCGTTCCAGGGTGTGGGAGCTGAGAAGAGCCTGGGAACCACGTGCAGTTGCTTCTTGTCAGCTGGTCTTGGCTACCGTCGGCTGCTCTCGGCACAATGCCGTCATCGCTTACAGGGGCGTAGCCCACCACAAACGACCCGCCTTGCAGAAACATGGTACCTAGAGGTACCTATAGGACGATGGAAGTCACAGAGCATTACGTTTGATAGGGTGACTGCGATAGGCCAAAACAGAGATTGATGAAATAAGAAGTGTTGAGGTACTCTAACTAAACTCATAGCCATAGGGCTAGTGCGCCCTGAGAATTCTACAGGTCACTGTTGTTGACAAAAAAAAAAAAGGCCATATCAGCCCCTTTTGGAAGCGACGAGCTTCGTCGAGGACCCCCCGCTAAGCCTTAGACACCGGGGCCTTAACACTTGCTAGGCATGCAAAACTTGGGATTGTAAACAATAGCGCGCGCCTCGAGGGCCCGCCTGCCTTTCTTGCTGCGGGGCCTGGAGTCCACAACCATAGGCGTGCCGAACTGATCGAACCCTGAGCTTTGGGGTTCGGGGACGCGCACCTCGAGGCCGGTGGCATCGTCAGAGCGCCTGCCCTTTCTGCCCTTTCTGGCATTCGCGGGTCTCGAGTCGATAACCTGCGGCTGACCCATGTGATCGGTGCCTGGCTACGTGTTTGGCAACACGTCGCGAGCCTCGGCGTAGCTGGTGGAGAAGTGCATGATTTGCGGGCGAAAAAAATAGAAGAAAAGAGAAACAAAGTAAAACAACAAAAGGAAATGGGAAACATAACAATAGGAAAATGAAGTTGAGGTTGTTGGTGGTGGGTGAGAAGGAAAGTTTGGAGGAGCTGTTGGGCCGGCCGAGGGCAGATTTATATGCCTGTCAGGCCTCGCAGGGTCTCTGTCGCGACAGGCAGCTTGACTCGGGCTTTCCATGCCAATTTTTACATGACACACAGGGTACCCACCACCCACACTTGGTCGACGCCACCGACAGCGGCCTGATGAAGGAGCCGTGAAGGCCTCGCATGTCCGGCTGGTGGCACGGCGAGGTCGCTAGTGTGGTGTTGGACACGAAGCCGCGGTACATGTGCGGCGCGGCGTTGCTGCTGTTGATCTCGGGCGCGTGGTCGAACGACGACAACGGCGGCGTCTTGGCGGCCACCGATAGCGATCGGCGCCCCATTGCCGCGGCGGTTGTGCCTAGCCCGAGCCAGGGGGCGGATGGGTGGATGGGCAGCTGGTCGGCCTGCTGGTCTCGTCGATGCTCTATGCGCTTGACACATGGCCACTCATCAGCGGCCAGGTGCGTCTTTAGCATACACTGTCAGCACGTCTACCTTGAAGTCGTCATTGATATGCCGTACGGGAGCCGGGCGCCAGATACGATGGGCCAAGCGAACAGGTCTTCAAGTCGAAGACGATATCCAAGGGGCCAGGCATAAGGCGATAGAAGATGGGCTTAACGAAGATCACAACCAACCACGGGACTTGATTGTCAAAATTGGGGGTGGGAAGAAGAAGCACAGGACAGCAGAAGCTTGACGGCATATCAACGGGCGGCGAATACGCCCTGCATGGAAGGCTGCGGCGATCCTAGAAACTCTACGGTACATACCTCTCCAGGATAGATGGATGACATGTGCTCCTGCCCTCCTGTTCCGTGTCTCTTCCTCGGGAGTTTCCATCTCCTAGCCTTGGAAGTCTGGGCTTGCGAAGACTGGCAAGTTGGGGCTCTAACGAGGATGGCTGGTTATGTTGACAGAAGGCCGAGTCTAGCGAGCCTCGAAACCGCCGACATACCCGGGCTTAGCAAGAGTTATGATGGGTTATTTGGACTTGTAGTTAATTGTGTTTGTTTTATTTTTTGTTCACTTCCTCCGACCCTGCCGGTTGAGCGGCTTCGTCGAAGCGTGATTTCTATTTACACCCCCAACCCGGCCTCACACCCTGTGCGCGCCGCCTGGGTATCGCTAATGGTATAGTGTCATGGCTGTTGATGGACCGCTAATATTCACACAGAAAAAAAAAGGCCCCGGCCCTTACTTGGACAGGTCCTCCCCCCACACCTTCTTGGCTATGTCGACCTCGAGGCGGACCTTGGCCCACTGCTGCTCCTCGGTCAGGTCGTTGCCCTCGACGGTGGAGCTGAAGCCGCACTGGTGCGACAGGCACAGTTGGTCGAGGCCGCGCGGACAGTGGCTAGCGGCTTCGTTGAGGCGGCGCACGATCTCTGCCTCGTCGTCGAGCCCGGCCTTCTTGCTGCTCATGACGCCCAGCACGACCGTCTTGTCGACGGGCAGGTGGCGCAGGGGCGAGAAGTCGCCGGAGCGGGGGTCGTCGAACTCGAGAAAGTAGACGTCGACGTCGAGCTTCTTGAAGAGCACCTCGGCCACGGGCTCGTAGCCGCCCTGGGCGAACCACTGGGAGCGGTAGTTGCCGCGGCACAGGTGGATGCCGATGACCATGTCCTTGGGCCGCTCGGCGATGGCGCGGTTGATGAGGTCGGCGTACTGCTCGGCCAGGGCGTTGGGGTCGCCGTGGCGGGCGGCGGCCTCGGTGCGCATGCCCGGGTCGCACAGGTAGGCCAGGTTGGTGTCGTCGAGCTGCAGGAAGCGGCAGCCGGCGGCGTACAGGTCGCGGATCTCGGCGCGGTAGACGGCCACGAGGTCGTCGAAGAAGGGCTCCAGGGTGGGGTAGGCGTCCTTGTCGATGGAGTCGCGGCCGCCGCGGAAGTGCACCATGGTCGGGCTGGGGATGCAGACCTTTGTGGTGACCGAGGCCTTCTTGTCGGCCGGGATCTGGGCCTCGAGGTGGTTGAAGTCGTCGACCTGCACGGGCCGCGGGTGGCCCAGCTTGCCGACGACGGCCAGCTTGGGCGGCGTGACGCCGTGCGTGGTGACGTTGGTGGAGGGGATGTTGCCCTCGGTGATGTGCGCGACGCCGTCAAGGTTGACGAGGAAGTCGATGTGGAACCAGGCGCGGCGGTACTCGCCGTCGGTCACGGCGCGCAGGCCGTTGGCGATCTGGGACCGCGCCACGTCGGCTATGTGCCTGTCCTCGACCTCGCGCAGCTGCGCGCGCGTCATGTCGCCCTTGGACGCCGCCTCGCGCGCCGCCAGAACCTCCTTGGGGCGGAGGAACGACCCGACCTGGTCGGCCCGGTAGATGCCGCGGGGGAGAGGCATGTTGTCTGTGTTGGTGGTGAGGTTCTGGTGGAAGTGTTTGTATATAGACACCAAGGTAGGTAGGTAGCAGCTAAGTGTGTCCAGATACAGCAAGGATCGCAATGAGAAGAAAACGCAAGACAGATGACGGCCAAGCGGGACACAGAGGTGGGTAAATAAGGCGCCTTTTGTTTGCTGTCTCGCTGCCCCTTCACCCTCCCTCCCTCCGTCTGGCCCCTCACTCTCCTGGTCCCGCTTCATCACGTCGGCCCAGACATTCCCCAACCGGGACATGGCGGCACACCTGGGGCGTCCGTCAGTGGTGCCTGTCAGGACAGATACCCAGCTGCCTGACCCCGGCCACGGTTGCTCGGCGAGCACCAACAAGGCCGGGCCGGACACGCGGGTAGCGCACGGCATTGCATTGCGTGCCAATTGCGAGGACGGCTGATGGAACTGAGGGGTTGGCAGCTGGGTGGAGGCTAGGGTAGGCAGGCCCAGGGGTTGGCTGGATGGTGGTTGGCTGGCGGGGTTCAGGGCGCTTTGGGAACCCAGTAGGGCCCTGTGACCGTTTAGCCGCTCTGGGGCACACGCGGCAGATGGCATTTGGATGGGGGACGGCTGCCGACGCCATGGGAAAACCAGGTCCCGGCAGCTGAGTTTGGTTGCACAACATGAAGATTTGTTGCACCACCTGGATGGGAATTCACTGTTGATTTCTGTTCATATCAACGCAGCCCAAAGACACAGTCCGAAGCACAACTCGACAGTCAATGGCTAGCTGACTGCGCCAAATGGTCAGACAAAACTGCCAGACATGGGCTGGATTGCAGAATGGGAAATGGGAAATCAATGGACAATGGAATGGAAATGGACTTCGCCAACTGCCGAGGAAAATCGGTAGGACCCGGCCACGCATGACGTGGGGTGGGCGGTGAGGAAATTGGTCCCTGGCGGCAGAATCTTGGCCTGCAAAAAAAGATTCCATCTGCAGCAGGTCTGATCTACAGGGCTCTAGGCTCGGCTCGCACAACCCCGACCTCGTCCCCGACCAGCCAGGTCGATGCTTTCCGTTGCTCGCCATGTCCGGACCGTCGCCTCGGTTCCCGCGGGGCTCCGGCTCCCGCTGCGTCGCGTCCGCTGGATCTCGACCAGGAAAGCTAGCGTCGAGTCGGGCGTAGAGGCCAAGCTGAACGAGGACGACACTGCCGGCGCCAAGGACAAGAAGGAAAACATCTACATCCCCGGCACGCCGCTGGCCCAGAAGCTGGTGGACGCAGGCATCTACGAAAAGCGTCGCCGTGTCTGGGCTTCCGAGGATGAGAAGCTCGCCAAGCGGGAGATGAGCAAGGAGGAGAGGAGGAAGCTGAAGGCTGCCGAGAAGGAGGCCGGCGTAGCGCCCAAGATGGACAAGAGGACAAAGGCCTACAAGCAGATGGTGGCCCAAGCGGGCAAGGACCCTAGGACACTGCGCATCAAGGCCGATAGCGCCCGCGTCAACATCGTCAGCAAGAAGCTCTGCAACGACGTGCTGGCCTACATGGCTCCCTCGCTGGAGCGCCACAAGGGCTGCGACATCATAGACCTCTACCCCGGCGCCGGCCTCTTCAGCACCGCCCTCTCCGACTTCCTGCAGCCGCGCTCCCACATCCTGATGGAGCCCGACCACGTCGCCTACACGCCCTTCCTGAAGCCCCTGCTTGACCGCCCCAGCACCGTCGTGGTGCCCGAGTCCGGCGTCGTCTGGTCCAAGCTCAGTCGCATCCTGACCCCTGAGTTCCTGCCCCACCAGGTCCCCCGCCCGCGTGACGCCCCGCCCGAGCGCAACGACACCCTCCTCGTCGTCGGCAACATCAACTTCTCCCCCAAGAAGAAGCTCGGACAGTTCAGCTCGCTGGGGAACCTGCTGCTGTACCAGTTCATCCACTCGGTCGCCTCGCGCTCGCTCTTCCAAAAGTACGGGCTCGTGCGCATGTTGCTCTGGTGCGGCGTCGAGGAGAAGCGCACGCTGCTGCCCCGCACCCTGCAGCGCCGCAAGCGCACCGCCATCGACGGCGAGCTCGCCGCCGAGTACATCCACGAGATCGCCGCGTACGACGATGGCACCAGACGCCTCGATGGAGTCTTCTGCAGAGACCACTTTATCGACCTGTACACGTGCCACAAGACCCTCCAGCGCATGCGTGCCGCCGGCATCGACACGCCCCCGGGCAGGGAGACAGAGTTGATGCGCACCGTGCGCGCAATGGAGGATGCCGGGACCACCATCCCCGAGCCCGGCAAAAACCCCGTCCGAATCCTGCGCACCCACCTCAACGAGCTGAACGATATTCAAGCCGGCGACCTCAGGTTGGGCAGCAAGCGCGAGACGCATAACCGCCTTAAAGAGCTGACCAATAGGACGGTCTGGGACAGCCGCCGCGCGGAGCAGGTCCACTCCCTGCTCCTCGAGCGGGACGCCATCTCGAAGCTCCGGACAGCGGCGGCGAAGCGCAGGGCCGAACGCGAGGCGGCCGACGCCAGCACCAAAGCCGCCAAGAACAAGCAGAAAAAGGAGCTGGAGGAGCTGGACGAAGAGGATGGGGTGCTGGTGGAGCGGGAGCTTGCATGGAACAACGAGGTGAGCGGGCTCGACCACCTCCTCCACGACTTCTTCCGCCTCGTGCGCGACAACCTGCGGCTCGTGAGCCAGGACCCGCCCGTGCTGCATTGGGACCGGCGCGCGCTCGAGCCCCTGACGGTGGACAAGTCCGAGTTCTTCCCCAACGTGCCGGCCTCGCTGCTCGACATACAGCCCAAGGTGATGCACCACCGCCTGCGTGAGATGGGCCCCGGCTCGTCGCACGCGGCAGAGGAGTTTGACCTGGTCATGTCGATGCTCCTGCGCGCCGGCTACAGCCAGCCCATCGAGGACGCCATGCGCGCAATTTGGCACGGCGCCGCCGAGGGCGCCATGCCCAACTGCCCGAGCCTGCGCGACCCGGAGCGCGCCGGCAGCGGCCTGGCCGGCCTGGCCGGCAAGAACGACGCCCTCTGCACGCGCGTCCTCAACGAGGCCCAGTGGATGGAGCTGCTCGAGGCCTGGCTGAAGTGGCCGTTCCGGCCCTCGTACGAGCAGCTCATCGGCGCTACCGAGCCCGGCAGCGATGCCGAGGAGGATTGAGCAGGCCTGGAGCCAGACGGGTGTATATACGCCTCAATGTACAAACATGTATCAACGATGATCCATATACCCCTTTTACCTTTTGTTTGTGTGTTGTGGGATTTCGTAAATCATGATGGGTGTTTTCGTCAACCTTGGTTCTTTGAGGCTTCTTATACTTTCGTGTTCCGTGTTATGACGTTATCCATTTTGGCGAACCGCGACCGTTATATCTGAAAGCCGAGAATATGTTGGCATTTCCTGCCGCCCGTGCCTTTCCCCTCTTAGCCTGCCCCGTACAGCCTCCGCCATCAGCCTATCGACTTTCCGCCATGGGTGCGCAAGCAGCAGCAGAGCACATCACCATCACGGCGCGCTGTATCTGCGGCGCCCAAGTCTACACGGCCCCGGTCTCAGTATCAACACTTCCCCTCAGGGCTGTCTGTTCCCATTGCGACTCGTGTCGACGCATGACGGGCGGGCTCTACTTTGCCGAAACGACTTGGCCGCCCTGCATCAGCGACCTCTCGGGCGATGGCGGCGTCGACCTATCCGAGCTCAAGCGCTACAGCTTCTCGGCCAGCATCTGCATCTTCTCCTGCGCGACATGCCCGTCTTTTCTGTTCTGCAAGAGGGGGCTAGACGAGCCGGGTCACGAAAACGGAAGGGGATCGTGGAGCAGGGGCGACGCAGCTGAGATGCGTCTGTGGCGGCGTCGACCTGGTGGTCCGGAGTCGGGCGTCAGACGCGAGGCAGGCTGCCGTCGAATCGGGCTCGCGGGGGTGCAAGAGCGGCGGGATGTGGGGCTTGTATGATATGCGGGGCGGCGGTTGGCGCTGGGGGCTGCTTCCTGCGGCGGTAGGGGCGGGAAGTGGGCGGCGTGGTCACCCTTGTTGACCATGGACGAGATGGGAGTGACATGGCTGGTTTCATAGTGTTTCGTCTGAAGACAGGTATATACAGCTGCTGTGATGAGCATGCTTTATAGTCTGTTTTTGCGCTCGCAGCCCCTCAAGGTCCCAGCTCAATGTGCTCGACGCCATGGCCGTAATTATTGTGTCTCATGTTCGGCCGCCCTGAGCTTTCTGGTGTTTCTATTTGCGGCGGAGGGATCCCGGCTGTGGCGGCGGCGGCGGCGGCGGCGGAATCTCGCTCGGGGTGCCGCGAATCTGGTTCCGGACCTCATCGACGAAGTGCCTCATGAAGCTCGAGCCGGCCCGGCTCGGGTCCTCGGTGGCCTCGCCTAGGCGCAGGGGCGGGGCGTTGGGATGGGGTCCGTTCTGGAGCTCGTCGACCTCGCGCTGGATGCGGCCGACGAAGTGGTGGAAGCCCGGGCGGCGCATCAGGCTCTGATAGATGGAGTCCTCAACGGCAGAGAAGACGCGGAGCGCTGTCAGGATCTTGAAGAGCTGGGCCATCTCTGTCTGGCGCGTCTGGTGGCGGTCAGATCGGGCATTGGAGTTGAGTTGAGTGAGAGAGAGGCTGTGGCGGAGCTCAAGCTGCGGGGCTGGTTGAAGTTTGTTGGTTCTTCACTCCACTGCTTTGTCAGCATACTGTGTGCATGCGAGCTGGAATCCCCAATTGGAATCCCCGCCGTTCCCAAATCCAAGTCGAGCAGTTCCTCCACTCCATCACATTTGTTCTCCAACCTATCCGACATGAACTCTACACATCCACAGCCAAACCAAAATAACTCCGCAGCGCCCGTCGGCCCGTCGGTGGACAATCCTCCATCGGCGGATTGAAGAGCTGTGCCGGCTGATGGTGAGCAGCCGATATTAGGCTCCGCGCCAGTCCGAAGCTGGCGAGGTGCGGCTCGGGGTTCAGGTGCTTTGCATTCAACAGCAGTCATCCTAACCGGATCCTCCCTGGGAGGTTCTAGATGGAGAGCCCAGATGGAGAGCCCGCGGGCGCTGCTGGTTGGAGGGTGGGCAAGTCTGTGCGGACGCACCGTTGGGTCTAAAAAGCCGGTTCGCCGCCAGTCGAGCACCATGCGAGACCAGACCCAGAACGTGGCCTGGAAACCGGCCGAGGGCGGCAATAAGGCAGGAATCATGACCGTCAGAGGCACAGAGTTGGGATGAAAAGCAGCAGAGCGCCGCGAAAGGGCCGCTGACCCTGTGGTGGCGCGCTTTCTCCGACAGCTTGAGCCCGACGACCTGCGGGTGGGGGCGGTCAAAGCTGAGTCTGGGCGCCTGAGAGTTTGCCTCTGACAGGCCCGAGCTCTGACAGGCCCGAGGGAACTCCCCGAGGGGCCTGAGGATGCTGCCTGCGGCTTTTATGCACATCCCAGGAGCCAGGCCAGAAGGCTGACCAGCCTGAGCATCGCGTCATCCTCGCCCCGCGCCGCCCCGGAACACACCACTGCCTCGGCCGCGGGAAAAAGCAACATAAACCGCCGCGTTTGGTATTGTGCTTGCCTAGGCCCATGCTAGGCCACATGCACATGCGCCGCCGCATATACGTGCAGTATCAGCCCTCTCCACCTCCGCCATGTTCCTGCATCTGTGGCCCAGAAAACTGCAGCCTGCGCCCCTGGCACCATCCATGTCCACGCGTCCTCCACCACTGCTACCACTGTTGGCCCCTGGCCCCTGATGACGCACCTCTTGCTCGTCCTCGCCCTTCATCACTGCTACGACCGCCCCACACCTCCACCTGCCCAGCCCTAGCAGAAGCACCTACATCGCCGTCGTCGACGCCAACGGCCGCGGCCCGGCCTATCCGCCAGACCTGCTCGCCTTCACCACCTGCGCGGCCCAGGACGACGTCGCCACCCTCAACCTGCCATGAACCGCCGAAATGCCGACGACATCGCCCGCTTTGTCAACCGCAGGCTCGAGGCCCCTTGGCCTGGGCGAGACGCCACCGTCCTGCGCATCGTCCGCAAGTCGGGTGGCGTCTTCCTCTGGGCAGAGCTCGTCGTTGGTATCCTCAACGCCGCCATCGCCGAGGGCGCCTCACAGGCGCTGGTCGACAGCACAATCCTCGAGATGCCCGGCGACCTGGACGGCCTGTACGAGTGGCTGCTGTCCACCCTCAACTCACGCGAGAAGGCTGAGGCCCTGGTGCTGTTCCAGTGGGCCATGCTCGCCCCGGAGCCTATGCGACTCAACGACCTGCGCATCGCCATGGCCGTCACCAAGCCGTGGGCCTTGTCCGACCTGTGCCCCCGCAGTGCCCTCTCGTTCGGCCCGTCGGCAACCTTGAGGGAACTGCGCCACCGGAAGGGCATCGACGACGGCCGTGACGACTGTGAGGAGGACCGCCGCAGAGGGGGTGGCCTCGAAGGGTTCGACAGCGCATGGAACTTTTATCGTTACGTGCGCGGTTGCTCGCTGGGCCTCCTGAAGGCCCGTCCAGGGGTTGACGCCGAGGGCAAGTCCCTGCCCGAGCCATTGGGCTTGCAGCGCGTCCACGTCATTCATGAATCCGTGGACTCTTTTTTCCTCTCGGGTCGCGGGTTCGCGGCCCTGGACAAGGGCAGCGTGCTCACCCCATACTCGCTCTCCTTCTCGCCCCTGGACCTACGCGATGCGTCGCACTACGTCCTGCTGCACGCCTGCTTGGCTTATCTTAACCTGGACGACTTTGAGTGTTTGGAAAAGCGGCATCTGGGCCGCAAAGGCCGAGACGACGGCAACCTGTACTTACCGCTGGCACCCATGCCGCACCAGGAGACCAGATACTGGCGCGAGAACGTGCTGGACCAGCGCCGCCTCATCATCTCGAGCTACCCATTCCTGCGCTACGCCGTCGACAATCTGATCTTCCACATGTTGTACCCGCACGATTTCCGCTACTACCTCCCGCAGAGCGACGTGCTGCGTCTCCTTGCCGCCAACGACTGCCGCCTCTGGCGCCGTTGGACAGCACTCCTGGGCGTCTCAATCAGCGACCCGATGGCCGCTCTTGAAATCTGCGCCGCAGGGCCTGCGCGTGAACTGCTGGATCCGGTATATGGTGCGCGCTATAGGCTGGAGAGGGTCTTCAAGCGTGTTAGCAAGATCGCTCTCGAGTTCCCTGAACCGTTGAGTGTTGGAGTGGCACGTCCAGCGGCCGAGGTGAAACCGAGGCTAGTGACAACAAAAGCTGCAGCAAACACCAAACTTCCCGGCGACGCCGACGGGAACGCTGTGGCCGCCGCCGAACCCGCACTTGCCTCTAGTTCCAGAGCTCCTCTACCACGGGGGATACCCGATACTATCCGAACGACGACGATCGAAAAGGCTGCGACGGACATAAACTCGCCAACTGCCCCTGCATTTGCCATGGCATCGGCCGCGGCCGCCGAGCTGAGAAGAAGCAGGAGGCGCAAGAACAAGCTGCAGCCGCCTGTCCTGCCTACGCCCGCGGAGCTCACCCCGATATCGTGGCCGCCACGGACATGGTCAGAAAGCTGGCGTCGAGCAGAGGCCGATAGTTTGGAAAGGGAGCAAGGGGTAGGGATAGCATTGACGGCGCCGACGGCCATCCCAGCGCTGGTGGCACCATTACAAATGGAACAACGGGAGGTGGGCAAGAACAAACCGGGGGAGGAGACGCCGGCTCCGGGACAAAGAAGCGGATGCACAGGCGAGCAAGAAATGGAGGAAGACGAGGTGCTCGTGCCGCCACTGTCTCCGCTCTCGTCGTCGCCGCCCCTGTCGCCGCGGATGGTCTCACTCGTTTCGACTTCGGTGCCCTCGCTCTTCTCCCCCGTCTCCATCTTTTCTCCGGCCCTCCGCAACACCATTTTTAGGGACGAGGACAGGGGGGCAAGGCCGGTCTCGTCATGTTCGGCGCACACGCTGCTGAGCCCACTCTCGGCGCTGGAGGCCTCGTTTGAGACTGGCGCCTTTGCGTCGTCAAAGAGGCCCAAGGAGGACCATGGTGCTTTCTTTTAAGAAGTCGAAGCTGTTGGTTTTGACGGGCGTTTTCGTTATTGGGAGCGTCTTGTGGCTTTGGATACCACTCTCTTGGGGCGCACGGAATGTTCTGCCGTGAAGGCTGAAGCGGGCGTTGGCGGTAACGGGAAGGATTACCAAGCAATGGTCTTTGACGACATTTTTTTTCGCTGGACATATTTTGACGATTTCTTTCATGTACCTCGATTGATGCGAGCCCGGTCTTGGCTGCAATCTGATCAATTCTTCGTGATTCCATGTGGTAGATACTGTTGCCTTGTGGACCTCTTTTGTCTAGATGCATATCACAGCAAATAAAGGCGGAACAAGGGCGATGGGGCTAAGATGTCGTCTCTCAAAGTTCTAGAAATAAGTAGATGAGGGGCAAGGCTGTGCTGGAGAAGATGTTTTGCAGTTATAAATCCACCGTCTCCCTCGGCTAGATGGGTGAGTGCCGATCTGCTGCTCATCAGCATCCAGCAAGAATCTCGTACATAACCACGCAAATCCTCAACTACACCATCAACAAGACTATCAACAATTCGCAGCCTTTCGGCCATGGATCAGAACAGCCACTCACGAAACCAAGCACTCGACAGACCGGGCGCTGTAGACAGCATGACCCGGTCTCGCGCCGCCACCGCCGCCGCCCAGACGCGGGCGTTTCAGCAGGCCGTAGCGACCATAACCATGAAGATGAAGGGCTTGTTGCAGTTCCGGCGGTGCCAGATCTGCGGCACCAAGGGTCACTGGGGAGACGATTGCCCCCATCGCGATGCGGCAAGCCTCCACATTGGCGGCCGGAGCACCGCCGCCACCGCCGCTACCATGGCCACTTCGGCGGGCCCGTCGTCGGCGCGGAACGTGGCGTCATCGGCGCAGCCCTACCGCTCCGCCCCGGACCGCAATCCGCCTCCCGCGTCGTCTCGCCCCTTGGTACCGGGTCGGCCCAGCCACCGCGCCGGCCCAAACGGCGCCGGCCACCAGGGCAATAGGGACCGCGGCTCGCCACCGGCCCGAGGTGGCCACGAGGGCGCCGCCGTCGGCAACAAAGCGACGTCCCCGGCGGTCCCTCGAATCCTCACGGAGGTCAGGGCGGCCGCCACCGTCGACAAGAGAGCGGCGGCGTCCCCGGCGTCCCCTCGAACTCGCAAGTTCTACGAGTCCCTGCGACTCCCCGACTACCGAGATTAGGTCGTGGCGGTCGACCTCTGAGCTGTACCGATGGTGTGTTTGGATATATTTGTCCGAACGTATCGTGGCTTCTTTCACTTGGCGAGCTGGTCTGTCTGCCTCTGTCCTGTGTCGAGATGTTGGCTGGGACAAGCTTGAGGGGTGTGGCGTTCGAGACTTGGGAGCGGCTCGCGGTTTCTTTCTCTTGTGTGCATTTCTTTGTCCGATCTTGTGCTTGTGGCATACCTGGAAGACATATCGCACAGCGCGCTCTTAAAACCTCCTAGATACTTCCTAACAAGCGCAGATGACCGGGACATTCTTTGGTAGGTAGCACATGAATTCATTATGAAAAGTATTGTCGATTACATGAGATATATTTGTGAGAGAAGTACCAAGTTCAAAAAAGGAACAAACCAAACGCCTTCCCCACTCCCCTTAAAATATCCTACTAGACCACACCAGGCCCCGACTTCCTCACTTCTATGCTGTCATAGTCTGGCGGCAGCTCCTCTTCGGGCTCGACCGTCATGCGCGGCGCCGCAGCCACCGCCGACGCCGGCCGCGGACTCGCCCCCGGGCTGGGGCCCCCTCCGATGGCGGGCGACAGCACCAGCGAAGCAGCAGACGGCGATGAGGACAGCAGCGGATCAGGGGCGGCGGCCGCCACGGCGCCGTGTGACCGCAGCAGCTGCACCACATGGGCCCGACCGGCAGCAGCGGCAAAGTCCAGCGGTGAGCACAGCGCCTCGGCGTTGGGGTTGGCGCCGTGCTCGACCAGCAGGCGCACCATGGCGTCCGGGTCGTCGAAGCCGGAACCAGAATTGGAGCCGGCGTCGGGCTGGGCGCCGCGCAGGGCCTGCATCAGCGGCGAGCGGCCGTCGCGGTCGCGCGCGTTGGGGTCGGCGCCGTGGCGCAGCAGCAGGGCGGCAAAGGCGCGGTCGCGCGCGCCCACGGCGTGCAGCAGCAGCGTTTCGCCGCCATCGCCCGTAGTGGTCGAGTCGAGCAGCTGGTTCGGGCTGGCGCCGTGCTCGAGCAGGGCGCGCACGAGGTCCAGGCTGTTGTTGTGCTGCTGCTGCTGCTGCTGCCGCCGCCGCACGAGGAGCTGCAGCATGGTGCGGCCGTAGATGTCGCGCGCGTTGGGGTCGGCGCCGCGCGAGATGAGGAGGCGGAACAGCTCGCGCCGGTCCTTGACCGCGGCGGCCAGGACGAGGGGCTCGCCCGTGCCGTCGCGCGCGTTGGCGTCGGCGCCGTGGTCGAGGAGGAGGCGCACCAGGTCGACGACGCGCTCCGGGTTCTGGTGGGCGGCGGCGACGTGGAGGGCGGTTTGGGTGGTTAGGGGTTCGCGGACGTTGGGGTCGGCGTGGTGCGTCAACAGGGCGGCGGCGAGGTCGAGGTTGGCGGCGGCGAGGGCCTCGATGAGCACAGGGCGGCCCAGCACGTCGCGCGTGTTGGCGTCGCAGCCGCGCTCGAGCAGCATGCGCACCATGGCCGCGTTCCCGCCCTGCACGACGCCCATAAAGTACGGCTCCCCCATGCTGCTGCGCTCGTTGACGTCGGCGCCGCGCGCGTGCAGCAGCGCCACCAGCTCGGCGCTGCCGGCGGCGGCGGCGTGGAAGAGCGGCGGCCTGCCCTTGCTGCCGCCGTCCTTGGCGCGCACGTTGGCGCCGGCCTGCTCGACCAGCCACCGCGCCGTGGCGGCGTGCTGCTCGGCGATGGCGCAGATGAGCGGCGTGCGCTTGTGCTCGTTGCGCCCGTCGACGTTGGCGCCCTGCTCGACGAAGCCCTTGACCTGCTGCAGGTCGCCGCGGGACGCCGACTGGCACAGCGCCGACACGAGCGGCTCGGGCTTGTAGCGGAAGTTGGCCGTCATGGCCTGGAACGACTGCGAGAGCCCGTTGAGGAAGCCAGCCCCGCCGACGCCGCCGCTTTTGGTCTTGGTTAGCTTTACTGTCGGCCCGGCGATGGCGGTGGGCGAGGTGCTAGGCGAGGTGCTGGGCTCGGCTGATGACGACGGCGATAGTGGTGATACCGGAGGCGGGGGTATGTCCTGTGGGTGTGCGTCCTTGGCGACGAGTAACTCCCTCCGCCGCAGCACGACTTGACACGTCTCGGAAAAGCTAGCCAGCAGACGCCGGGCGGGCGCGTCGTTGAGCGCGGCCGTTTGGCGCACGGCGTCGGGCACGTCCAGCAGCTCGCAGAACAGCTCGTAGGCGGCCATGCCGGCCTGCAGCAGCATTTCGTAGTCCTCGAGCACGGCCGGGTCGGGGCTACAGGCGCAGGCGTCCAAGTCGCGCAGGCGACGCAGTTGCTTATCGGCGACGGCCCAGGCCGTCTCGGCCTCGTCGAGGCTGCGCGCTAGGGCGGCCTGCAGCGCGGGGGCGATGACGGCCGCCAGCGGCACGGCGGCGGTCAGGCCGTCGGCGGCGGCGCCAAAGGTACGCATCTCATCGGCCAGCAGGGCCAGATGCGGGTGGTAGGGCCGCGCGTTGGCGTCGTCGTCGCCGGCCCGCAGCGTCTCGTCCATGTCGGCGCAGGTGGCGACTATGCGGGAGGCCACGGCCTCACAGCGGGAGGCGGCGGCGGCGGCCGAGAAGGGCCGGGGGGAGGGCGAGGGCTCCATGGGCGGGTTGTGTCGTCTGGTTTTACTGCTAGACACGGATTTGTTGTGAGATGCGATGCTGATAACAACGGGCCTGGACTGGTTGATATCAGTCGACGTCTGACGAGAGCCCACCCCCCCTTGCAGCCATGCGTCCCCGCCGACGCTTAGCCTTAGGGCTGCGGTGCAGGGGGCCTGCCATTGAGGCCGCCAGCACCGCCCTTGCAAGCTGCATAATTACGCGTCGCATTCACACAGCAGTTGCGATTGCGTCCATTGTTGTCTTGGCCAGGCTATTCTTTGTGTGATAACCCCTCAAAGAACTCAAAGAACCCAAAGAACTCAAAGAGCTCTTTGCGCGATCGAGATTGATCATCTTTATAAGGCCAATTTGGCTACCAATTCCAACATGTTCCAAAACTATAAATTCTCGTCTCCCCCTTACCTCTGTCCAGGCATACTCAACTTTGACAAACACTCCTCCCGAGCAAACCCGGTTTACAACATACAACAACGCTACATACATCTACACGCAACTGTCCAAAATGGTCAGCTACGAAGCCATGTTCAAAGCCCTTGGGGAAGCCCTTGTGTGGGTAACAACGGTCGCGGTTCTTCTACTTCTAACCGGTCTTGCGTCGCCACATCAAACACACCTCTTTACACCATCAAGCCCCTCGGACACACCCGCTTGGAGCTGGCTACTAATCACCATTGTAATTCTCTACTTCGTGTCGGTCTGGCAGGCCGCATCCGCCGCTTGTGACTCTGCCAGTCCCGGCGGCGGAAGGTTCAGCCACGCACTCAAAACCAGCCTAGCCATCGTCATCTGCGTTCTCCTCACCTGGGGCCCGTTCGCGGACTTGGTCGAGACGTTCCTGATGCGGGCGAGTGCCTTTCTCGCCGTGGCCTTTCGCAGGGTGCCCGCCTGGAAGGGGCTGAGCGCCGACGGTGTTTACAACGCCTATCACGCCACGTGCCGGTTGAACCAGCACCCGGATGCGACCTGCGCAGCTCGCTACTTGCTGCACTACACCAAGGCGTTCCCCCGGAACACGCTGTGGGCAGGCAGTGTTAGGGAAAGCCACGATACTTATTTTTTAAACTTCCTCCGGTCGCATCCATACTGCGCCATGTTGTGGATAGCTTGCTGGGAGCTTCTGTTCCTTTGCGCAAAGCATATTGCTTTTCCGTAGCTCTATGCTACGTGGGCGGTAAACATTTTCACGCTTTCCCATATCGTTTAATAACAAAATTTGGCATTATATCTAGTTACTTTTGCCTTCCTTCCCTTGAACATAATCGTGAATCATGTATGTTGGCCGGGCCAAGCAAGGGCCTGATGGGGCGCCATCGCCTCGTCTAGTAAAGAGGCTTGGAGCCCTCGATCCTCGACCGGCGCCTCTTGCTCGCGCACTTGGAGTTGTTCTTGAGCGCATCGATGATGCCGTCATAGGCCGGGTGCTTGCTAAAGTCGTCGAACCAGAGCGTGGCGGCGCCCTCGCCGTCAAAGACGTAGGGCACCCAGCTGAAGGGGTCGTAAAAGTCCCAGAGCGTGACGCCGACGCAGCCCTTGACCTGCGCGCAGGCACCGACAGACTGTGTGGAAAGGGATGCCTTGGGTTAGTCCTGTTGAGGTCGGGGGGATAATAAGATATATCTGATGAATGCAGCTAAAAAAAAAATAAAAACTCACGTTGGCGTAAACCTGCTTCTGCAGCGCCAGGTTGGTGGCGTCGGCGGGCAGCTGCAGGCGCACGTCCAGCTCCGTCAGGGCCACCTCGACGCCCAGGTCGGCAAACGACTGGTACGCCGCGATCTGCTGGTCCAGGCTCGGGGCGCGGTGGGCGACCAGGTGGGCCTGGGCGCCGACGCCGTCGATGCGGATGCCCTCGTCCTGCAGCATCTTGACGAGCCTGCCCGCGGCGGCCACCTTGAGGCCGGGCGACTCGAGGTTGTAGTCGTTGTAGAAGAGCTTGGCGTGCGGGTCGGCCTTTGCGGCCTCGCGGAAGGCGAGCTTGATGTACTCCTCGCCCAGCACGTTGTAGAAGACGCTCTTGCGCCAGGTGCCGTCGTCCTCGAGCGCCTCGTTAACCACGTCCCAGTGCAGGCACCGGCCCTTCCAGTGGCCCGCCACGTTGTGGATGTGGCGCACGATGGCCTCGCGCATCGTCTCGGGCGTCCACTGCTTGGTCCCGACCCAGGGCGCCAGCTGCTGGTGCCACACGAGCGCATGGCAGCGCAGCATCTGCCCGTTGCGCGCCGCGATGGACGACACCACCTCGCCCTCGGTGTAGTTGAACACGCCCTCCTCGGGCTCGCTGAAGAGCCACTTTTGCCCGTTGGTCGCCGTCGTCTGCCCGAACTCGCGCACGTCGTTGAGGATGGCGTCGTACTTGGGGTACGCCGCCTCGAGCCCCGCGCGCTCGCGCTGCCCGGGCGTGTCCGTGGCCGACCCAAAGTACTGGAGCCCCGCCCGGCGCGCGTACTGGTGCAGCTGCGCCGACGCCAGCGAGGACGCCGCGATGAGCGGGAGGGCCGCGTTGGAGAGGTGCATGGTAGGCAGATAGCGCTGGGGAGGAGGGGGAGGGGGAGGGGGATGGCGAATGGGGTCACGTCGTCTCGTAGCAGCGGGCTTGAACTGAGGTCTTATAAGACGGTGGAAACGCGGGGAAGAGAGGAGGAGGAGGGACAGGGAGCACAAGGCCAGCCCACCCCCACCGCATCTTCTCCATTTCTCCCAACCGAGCCCTGGGGTCGGCCTCCAACCCCAAGCGTGCCGCGCCCGGGACGACGGGCCTAGTACTGCTGTGGAATCCTCTAGGTGAGGAGAGCTGGGCCTCGGCGGCGGGCGGGGATGCCTGTTTTGGCGGCGGTGGCGTCCTTGAGCCGTCCTCCAGGGTGCCTGACTGGCCGGAAAAATACGACAGAGGCCACCGCGCGTGGGCTCACTGTCGACAACGCCAACGACGCCAACTTGCAGGTTCCTGGAGACGGTTGTATCTGCAAGTCTTGGCTGCCCAATTGCCCAATCAGCGGCGGGGCGGGTAAAGGACCCCTGGCCAGCTGCCCTCCGCCCCCGCCTCTCAACCATGTGTTTCCCCAACTCTGTGGAGGTTGCCAGGCTTGGTGTGTTGGGGAACCCCTGAGCCGAGCCGAGCGAATCGAAAAGACCCCGGGCCTCTTTGTTCTGCCGGCTTGGGCCGATGTGTTTGCACTGACCAAAGGATTTAACCGTCAGGGCTACCTAGAGGCAATTTCATGGCCTGTCAGGCTCGGTTAGACATAAAAACGGCCATCTCGACGAGGACTGGGCACCCACGTGGCAGCGACATTATCCGGCGGCTGAAGTTCAGACTGGTGAGTTTATGACCGATAGCTACCTGTCCCTCAGTCCTTTAAAAATATCGTGCTCGGAAAAATGAGGCACCGTTTTTGAAGCCAAGACATGGTGAGGACAGATTTGCGTCTGGCACAGTTCCGGATTTGTGTCATGGTTTTGTGGTGATAGGAGCCCCTTCGAAGGTAGACAAAGCTAGAGAAGAGGAAATAAATGGCAATTCACCAGGGTACACGATGGTTCCGCGCCTTCTTGCCACTGCGACGCCCCTGGCTGTTCTGTCCTGGCTTGCCACCTCCAGGGTCCAAGCCGCCGCAACCGCAGCAACCTCAGCACCGAAATGCTCATGGGTGGCACATGAACTATCGACGACGAGGGACACATGCCGGCTTCCAATCGACAGCCGGGCCACTGCGCCCGAGCACTGGATGCCATGGTCATATCCCCCTCATTGCTTCGAGCCCGCGCGCAAAGAGGGCGATACCACAGCCTATTGCCTCTTCACAGACACAGCATTTCGGGGTAGCGGCATCAGCGTCGTGACGACGCCGGAGCTTGCTGCCAGCCTTACGGGAGGCATCCTGGACGACGGCGCCGTCCCCGCGTCACAGCGCGACCACCCGTCTAGTCCCATGTCCCCGGGGAGACACGGTGGAGACGAGCTCGCTTATGAGATCCGAGATCTGCCGGGCAGAGGTAAGGGGGTGGTGGCCACGAGAAGGATAGGCGCCTGGGAGGTCATCATGGTCCAGTTCCCGGCCATGGTGATGCAGATGGACCTCTGGGAGGCCGTGACGTCGCCGAAGCAGTCTCGCCGGCTGCTGAACAAGGCGGTCAGGCAGCTCCCGCCAGATACGCAGGAGCGTATCAAAGGCCTCGCCCGCAGCGGCCGGGTTCAGGATCCGCTGGAGGACGTTTTGAGGACCAACGTGTTTGGGCTGGACCTGAACGGTGTGCTGCACATGGGACTTTTTGTGGGTGCCTCGGTAAGTGCCAAGTGCGTGGGGGCCCAGTCGTTGATCAATGACGATGCTAATCCACAAGCTGTTGTGCCTTGGTCTGAGCAGAGAATCAACCACAACTGCAGACCCAAGTGAGTTCACAATGAGGTGCCTATGACGGCGCAAACAAGGCTGATTCTGGTCTCACGGCAAGTATCTTCTGGCGCCACAACGCCAAGACCATGGCGATGGAGGTGGTGGCTGTCAGGGACATCGACGTTGGGGAAGAAATTACGTACAGCTGTGAGTCGGCTTGTCTCAAATCCTGGTTGTCATCCCAGAGACCCGCCGGACCCCTGCGCTGACAGAAGAAAATGGCGTCAACAGATGTGACCCTGGGCAAGCCGCAAAAGATGCGCCAGGAAGAGCTTTCGGAATGGGGCTTCGAATGCGCCTGCGCGCTCTGCAGGGCAGCTCCGGACGAGAGACAAAGGTCCGACGACCGGCGCGCCAGGCTGGCCGAGATCGGCGAAAGCCTGACCCAGGCCGAGGCGCTTGTGACCGGCGCCGGCGACGACAGCAGCCGGCTGTCGCAGCTGGTGGCCGAGGTGACGGCGCTCATCGATGCCGAGCAGCTGTGGCCGCAGCTGGTCGTGTACCACCCGCTGGTCGCGCGCGCGTTCCTCCGGGCCGGTGACGTGACACAGGCCAGACGCCACACGGCGCTGGCCGAGGAGGCGTGGCTCAGGTTCCAGGGCGCGGACCACGACTACGTCGAGGGCCTGCGGGAGCTGTGGCGGGAGGTGCGGGAGGCTGCGTGCGCCAGGGGGGAGGAGGCGGTTGGCTGCTGACGGCCCAGGGCTAGGGCCAGGGAATCTGCCAATGCTTCAAACTACATGAAGCACGGCCGCTAACGACATGGAATGGAATTCGGTGCCGCTGGGCCGGCCTTCAATGCGATGCTGTGCTGACCGTGGTGCCACCCTAGACCTATCAGCCGTCAGATCCAGGAACCGTGGTGGAGCTGTCGTCGGAGCTGCTTGGCGGACTCGCTTGCAGGGCCGTTGAGAGGCTCTAACTGCGTCTGTATTTGTACTTTTGCTGGTGGCCTCGGGAATAGCAAAGTCCACAACCAACCTGCTGCTACAGCCACAGCACCTCCTGCCGGCTGGTCTTGCAGCAGGATTCGACATGGGTTAATTTTGTCGTGTTTGGCCCTTTGTGGCAGCCCCCTACCCTGCCTTATCTCGCCCAGAGCCGTGAGCAGAAGTACTAGGCACTCTCCCGCCCTCCATTCCTCTCATTCTGCTTGTGCGTAAGATCAAGGGGGGAAAAAACTATCAAAGGGACCAGCATGCGGCGGCGCTCTTCCTCGGTCCCCGTCCGACCTTTGTTTCCGTATCCGCGGGGCGATGAAGGCGGCCCTTTCCAGCCTGCCACCCACGCCAAGATCATATGGCCGGCCATGATGATCTCACCAAGCAAAAGAGTCACCCGCGGCGCCGGGCTTGTCGTCGTCCTGCTCGCCTTCCTCTGGATAGGCTTCTTCAACTGGCACGTAGTTGCCGACAAGCTGCCGTACGGGAGGGTAAAAATGCAGGAGGTGCCCGACCCTTCCAAGCTGGACAAGGTGCTGGTGCTGGGCAAGATGCCCAACGAGGACGTGTCGTGGACCCACAACCTCAAGCAGTAAGTTCTTATGTCCACGGCCTGACTTTAACCTCACCTTGATCCGTGGTGCCCGCCGCCCCCTTCGCTCACACACGAGGTCGGTAGATGGACGCCGTTCGTGTACACCATGGGCAAGAGGCCCGAGCGCGGGTACATCCTGCGCCCGCCATCGCTGCAGGGCCGCGAGGCGGTCGTGTACCTGAGCTTCATCATCGACTATTACGACGCGCTGCCAAACATGACGGCCTTTGTGCATGCCGGCCGCGAGCAGTGGCACAACTCGGAGCTCGGCCCGTGGACGGGCACCATACTCGAGAACCTGCGCGCCGACACGGTCCGGCGGCGCGGCTACGTCAACCTCCGCTGCGAGCACGACCCGGGCTGCCCGGACGACGTGCACCCCAAGCACCCGACCCAGAGCGACATCGACGGCGACGACATCCGCGCCCACTTTGCCGACGTCTACATGGAGCTCTTCAACGTCTCGAGGGCCGACATTCCCGAGCACCTGGGCCACCAGTGTTGCGCCCAGTTCGTCGTCACGCGCGACCGCATCCGCGAGCGGTCCCGCGAGGACTACGTGCGCATGCGCCGCTGGGCCATGACGCAGACCGTAACCACCAGCTTCAACGCCGGCTGGGTGTTTGAGAAGACATGGCACGTCATCTTTGGCATGCCGCCCCAGTACTGCCCCGCCCCCGACGTGTGCAAGTGCGAGCTTTTTGGCTGGTGCGGGGTCCCCAAGGGGGGCATCAAGAGCCTGCCGTCGGACCACAAGGGGATCAAGGGGAAGCAGAAGCTATAGATGGGGAGATAGATATTTGGCTATAGTTAATTAATGACAATAGACATGTGCTGGGAGACCTGAGTGAGCGGTAGGCGCAGTTGGCCATCTGCATGGTAATATGCCGCACTTATTAGCCACGAGCGCTGCCTACCATGATTGGGCACTTGGATATCGGGGACGCGTGGCGATATCAGCCGGCCACCACCGTATCAACCGGCAGATGGGTTGCAGGATATGACGACAGGCATGTCCATGAACGATATAATCTCATCTTTGTTCTTTCTTGCGGCCGCCGTCTCTAGCTGTCTTGTGCTGCTCAGCCGGCCACCACCGCCTCCCTCAACCACCATGCTCCCACAAAACCTCCACAGCCTGGCCCTGGCCGCCACCTTGGCCGCCGCCCAGTTCCAGTTCTACCCTGGCCTCAACCACCTCCGCTTCGGCTGCTCGCAGATCACCATTGAGCGGCTCGACCCGCTCGTCGACCCGGGCGCCGTGCCGAGCCCGCACACGCACCAGGTGGTTGGCGGCAACGCCTTCAACGCCACCATGCCGCACGCTGACATATCCCAGCTCGCCACCTGCACCACCTGCGGACCGGCCGACGACCTGTCCAACTACTGGACCGCCAACGTCTACTTTCGCGCCCGCAACGGCAGCTACCGCCGCGTGCCGCAGGTGCCCAACCGCTTCTTGTTTGGCGATCGCTTCACCACCATGACGGCTGGGGGTATGACCGTTTATTACATCGCGCCGCGCAAGAACACCGTGACGGCCTTTAAACCGGGCTTCCGTATGTTTGTCGGCGACGTGATGCGGAGGCTACCGCTGTACAAAATGCAGAGCTGCTTTCGCTGCTACTCGGGTCCGGACTTTGGCGGCGACGACCGCGCCCCGTGCAGCGATCCCAAGGTCGATACCGAGGGCTTCCCGCCCCGCCCGTGTCCCGGCGGCATCCGCTCCAACATCCTGTACCCGACCTGTTGGGATGGCAAGAACCTCGACAGCCCCAACCACAAGGACCACGTCGCGTACCCCAAGACCGGCCCGTCCGACTTTCTAACCACGGCCGACTGCCCCGCGAGCCACCCGGTCAAGATCCCGCAGCTGATGCTGGAGGTGCGTGGCTGGATACTGACCCATGCGAAAAAGGACCCGTCAGCCACTAACAATCGCAGATCGTCTGGGACACCACCGGCTTCAACGACAGGTCCCTGTGGCCTGCCGACGGGTCGCAGCCGCTCACGCTGAGCACGGGCGACACGACGGGCTACGGCCAGCACGGCGACTACGTCTTTGGCTGGCGCGATGACGCCCTGCAGCGCGCCATGGACGACGACGGCTGCTTCAGTGCAGAGTGTGGCCGGCAAAAGTCCCAGGACGTCGCCGCCGCCAACCGCTGTGTTATCCCCAAGACGGTTACCGAGGATGTCGATGGATGTAAGTGCTGGGTGCTGCTTGCGAAGCTATTCTCAAGGTCTGCCGACTAACGCTCTGCCATTTTATCAGGGATCGATACGCTGCCAGGCATAAACATGGCGTAACGGGATGGTGAGGGTTGCAGAAGGGATTTAATGGGAAACTTTTTTATTATTAAATACTATCACGCATACTCAGCCGGTAATTATGGTTCAACCCATTTGTATCCTTGAACATAACCGTCCGCGTCGCCGTGTTTCGTGGTGGTGTCGGCTCAGGGGCAATCCAGAAGCAACCCGCCTCATAGCCTTGCCCCAACCTCTGGGCAACATCCGCATCAGGTCAGATGGCCGAGTTGGTTATGGCGTAGGATTAAGGTTTTCTAACAGTCTTCCTATGGAGCAATCCGCGTGGGTTCGAGTCCCACTCTGATCATTTGATTTTTGCGTCATTTGCACGATGCATAGGCCTTTTCTCTTCTTTTTTTCTTTTTTCATCTTTATCGAATTATATCCTCTAGCATTCCACAACTTTGTTTACCAATAGCCTTATCGCGCAACCGAAAATCATTTAATACCCGCTTCAATCTCTCGGGATGGAGTTAGCGAGTTGAAATCAAAATGGAGTAGCACGGCACGAGTCAGAAGCCAAGCCCGAAATCGGGTGGCGCCCCAGCATCCCTGCTCACATCTCGAATGCGATGCGCGACAAAAGGCGTATGCAGAAAGTCGGTATTTCCCATCGTCAAGGTCGTTACTTTATAGCGTACAAACACACGTTACAACGTACACAGCCCCCAGCCCCCAGCCCTCTAGTCCATTTTCCTCCACCACAGCGTCCCCTCGTTGCCGCCGTCCCGCTTGGACCCGATCTTGAGCAGGCGGCCGCCCTCAAACAGCGTGTAGTTGCGCGTTTGCAAGTTGCCGACCCACGCCGGCACGTGCGCCACCGTCAGCGGCCCGTGGAAGATCTGGCCCGACTCGTTGGTGGCCGGGATGGCGTCGCTGACCGTCACGGGCCCCGCGTACGCGACCAGGTGCCGCGCCACGTTGGCCCAGTCGCCGTCGCTCTGGCCCGCCTGCGGCGGGAACGTGAGCCCCGACGGCCGGTCCTCCGGGTCCGTCGACGTGATGGTGGCCGTCACGAACCCCGACTTGGTGTACACGAGGATCCCCGACGGGTTGCTGCCGTACGCCTCGTCCGGGACGGGAACGCCGTCTTGCGTGCTGTCGTCCGAAGGGGGGTTTGGTGTCGTGTTAGTCTTGCTTGTGCGTCTTGCAGAAGTCGCACCACAATGGGGAAGAAACGTACGTGCTCGAGTTCAGCAGCATGTAGGTGCCCGCCAGCACGTTCATGATGTTGTCGACCCTCATCTTGTCGGTAGGTGCGGGAGGAGGAGGATCGGTGGGGGGACTGCGGTTGACTGTCGAGAATCCGGGCCTTGGGCTGTTCAAACGGCGCACGCAGGGAGCAAGAGACACACACTGGCGTTGGGTCTCCCTCGGGCAAGCCTGGCCTCTCGAACGTGCGAGGTCGGCCGATATTTATGCATGACCGGAAAGGGGTTGTAACCTTGTCGCCCTCGCAGCGGCAACGGCCATTTCACGCCATCCGAACTCGCCGGGACCCCAAGTCAGCGTAGCAGCCGCCCAGGCCGGCCCCTTTCTTGTGTCCTGCCCCTTTGGGTCGCATAGCGGATAGCACTTTATTGCCAACCTTGCGAACAGTGGAAAACAAAGTTGTTTCCCCACAACTTCGCCACGGGCGGCTGGCCGGATGGGGTTCTTCTTGATAAATCGAGGGGTAGCCTTGGCCGACAGGGAGCTGTGCTTGGAATGCGGGGCTCGGTGAGCAAAACTTGTCCAAGCCCCAAAACCACGGGCAGACCGACATCCACCCCTTGCAATGCCGAGATGGAAACCTGCGCAAAGCTCGTTGCGTGCTTTTATCAACACTCCCAGGTTGCTTTCCGCCAATGCTGTTTGTCACGTTTACCGAGGGGGGCATGGAAACGAACCCGCCGAATCGGTTACATTGCGGCGTTATCGGCTTGCGTTGCGGCCCGCTCGGCCCAAGGCCTTGGTTTGATCCCACCTCCTGCACCTTGATCCAGATCCACGGGCCGGCGTGTCCAATATTGCTGTATCGTATAACGCCAGCCAAGCCCTGTTGGTGTTTACGGCCTGTCATCCACTACGGCAACAATGTTGTTTGCTGGCTCTTCCCAAAGCGTCGTGGTATAAATATAGTGCGCCCCAACCGTGTATATATGGGGGTGTCTGTGGTCCCCGCCCGTTCCCAACCATGCCACAAGAAATCGACCATCAACCTGAAGCCCGACGCCGTCATATAAAAAAAAAAAAGAAAAAAAAAGAAAAAGACATCCCTCCACAGTATTACCATTACCAGTAATTACGACATGTCGCATCTCTTTATCCAGGATCCATGCGGCGCTAGGCCGTCAATAGCTTGTTCACCTTGGCGAGCAGCTCGGGTATTCTAAAGGGCTTGGAGACCACATCGTCCATACCGCTGCTCCGCGCCTTGGCCACCTGTTCGTCGCGCACGTTGGCCGTCACGGCAATGACGGGTACGTGCCGTGCGATGCGCCCGTCGGCTTCCATCTTTCGAATCTCCGAAACGCACGTTAGACCGTCCATGTTGGGCATCTCGAGGTCCATCAGGATGATGGACAGGTGAAGACGCTGGCCCTCGCCGCCGCCGGGCTCCTGCTCGTCGGCCGTCCGCACCCGGAGGCTGGTGGTGTCGAGGAATGCCAGGGCCTCGAGGCCGTCGTTGGCCGTGTGGACGGTACAGCCAGCCTTGCGCAGCTGCGTTACCAGCACCTTTTGGTTGATCAAGTTGTCCTCGACCACCAGGATGTGCATGTCTTTAGCCGGCACCCCCACCGTCGCGACCGTCGCAGACCTCATGGTGGAGGCCCTGGCGACTATGCGATTACCCGCCGCAGCCACGGCCACCGTCGCCGACGCCTTTGTTGCCACCAGGCTAGCGACCGGTCCTCCGATGGACGCAAAGTCCTGGCGCTGAGGCGTCATATGCAGGCTTTGAAGCGACGACGGGTCCGCGCCGAGGTGATGCTCGATCGGGTGACGCTGCTGCTCGTCGTCCCGCCGCTCCTGCTCTTGTTCCGTGAGCAGTGATGGCGATTCCCCAACCAGCGAGGGGCCAAGCTGCGACGGGCGCCGCGGGAGCCTTTTGGCTTGCACGAAGAAGCCAAAGAGGCTGCCCTCGCCGGCCTCGGAGGCGACGCCGATCTGGCCGCCGTGGAGCTCGGCGAGCCTCTTGGAGATGAAGAGTCCGAGGCCGCTGCCGCCGTACTGAGCGTGGGTGCGCGGCGAGGCCTGCTTGAAGCGCTGGAAGAGCATCTGCTTCTCGGCCTCGCTGAGCCCGCAGCCCGTGTCCTGGACCTGGAAGTTGACGTATAAAACCTCGCCAGCGCCCCACTCCTCCGCCGCCGTAATGTCCAAGTTGCCCGTCTTGGAAGGCACGTACTGGAAGCCGGCGCGGATCTGGCGCGCGTCGGGCGGAGCGAGCGAGGCGCCCACGCCGACCGTTATCAGGCGCTTCCCGCTAACCGGCGCCGTGAACTTGATGGCGTTTGTCATGAGGTTGATCAGGACCTGCAGCACCCGGCTGGGGTCCAGCGTGACCCAGTCGACAGCCAGATCGTGGAAGAGCGGGTTGGTCTCGACCTGGACTTGGATCTGCTTGGCCTGTAGCTCGGGGTCGAACATCTTGACGGCGCGCCGGAGGATGGTGAGCGGTTGTGTGGGCACGGGCGTGATGAGCAGCAGATTGGAGTCCAGCTTGGATATGGTGAGGATGTCGTCGACAATGGACTTTTGGTGCTGCACACACAGCGCAATGGTGTGGGCCGCCTCGACGCACGAGTCGATGACATCGGCCGGGGGCGGGCCCTTGGCTCCCGCTTCGGAAAGGGCCGACGAGATGTCGTCGGCGCACTGCAGGATGGCGCTGAGCGGGTTTCGCATTTCGTGCTGCGCCAAAGACGTCGTTGGTTAGCCTCACTCGACATCAGAATACTCTGCCGTCCAGGATTTCACGCATGGCTACTGACCGACGTGATGTCTATAAACTCGTTCTGCTGGCGGCGCGTCTCCTCGGCCTCCTGCAGCTGGCGGTGCTGCAGGCCCTGGGCCCATTTGAGGTGCGAGATGTCGGTTATGGAGCCCATGATGGAGCGCAAGGTGCCGTCCGATTCGAATTCTGGGTGGGCGTTGAGGAGAACCCAATAGTCTATGGACTCGCCGTGCAGGTTCACGGGCGACTGGGCGGGCGACCGCTTTTTGAGTTGGAGCTCGCCTGACCAGGGCACCTGGCTCTGGACGAGGCGCCGCCAACCCGACTCCATGGTGTCGACGCTGGATTCGAGAATGAAGTCCATCCACGACATCTCGTACTCGTACTGGCTCTCGCGCGGATGCTCCGTCATTTCAAAGAAGCGGTCGTTGGCTTCGCGCAACACGCCATCGGGGCTGATGAGGAACATACCCAGGGGCGAGAGCTCCGTCATGCGGCGCAGGCGGCTGGCTTGCAGGGTAAGCTGTTCGGTAAGCTGCTCGCGCTCCAGTGCAGCCGTCTCGGCGGCGTTGCGACTGCGCCGAACCTCATCCTCGAACAGGATGACCGAGGCAAGTGAGGTGGCTAGCTGTCGGTTCAAGGTAGCAATGAAGGCCTTGTAGGGCTCGTCGTAGGGCCGGCGCGGGTTCGCCCCCAGGACGAGAAAGGCCAGGACAACATCGCCGTTGGTGGGGCGGACGGGAAAGATGATGGCCTCGCGGCAGGGGTCGCCGAAGCCGCGCCAAGCGATGCCTTCGAGCATGGCCTCGGGTAGGCTGCCGTCGCGAGTGTGCAGCAGCGTGGGCTCGCGGGTGCGCATGGCCTCGCGGAACGACGGCACAAATCCTTCACGGCTGCGCTTCAGGTCCAGCTGTTGCGGAGATGCCGGGTGGTTGCTGGGCACGGCGATGGAGCCTTCGAGGTGGCAGGACTTTAGTGACAAGGTACTGCCAGACGACGTGGACGAGTTCTCAGGGTCCTCAATGTCGCCGAGAGAGTAGAGCAGAGCAAAGGGCACATCATAAACGTTGTCCTCGAGGGCCTCGAGCACGAGGCGCCAGAACTGCTTAACCGATTTTGCGTGGGCCGTGTGGCTGCCGAGGCGGTTGATGGTTTGCAGCCAGCGGTGGTTGAGGACCGTCTCGGTGGTAGTGAAGGGGGCATTGTAGAAGCCGAGGATGCGGCTGGTGCCGCCGTAAAGCGGCACGAAGGCCCACGAGTAGAAAGTTTCGAGCAGATAGCCGTCGCGGTGCAGGGTCAGGCCGTCATTCTCCTTGCGCACGCTAATGCCAGTGCGCGCGCACTCGGCAAATATGGGGCCTAAATAGTCCCAGATCTCGGCGAAGGGGCCGGAGAAGCCGGTGCCCATGAGCGACGGGTGTTTGGAGCCGGCCACTTCGACGGCGTAGGCCTCATTGTACAGCACCGTCAGCTCGCCGCCCCAAAACAGCGCGGCGGGGAAGGGGTTGCTTAGGCAGAGGTTGGCGGCCTGGCGGAACTCGGGCGACCAGCTCTCCATGGCACCCAGTGGCGTGGCGGCCCAATCGATGGAGCGCGCAAACTTCTGGTGCTCCGATAGCACGCCGCGCGGGTTGGGCATTGTCCAGTCGGACACGGCCTTTTCGGGCGACGACAGGGTGATGGACCGCGCGCCGAGCGAGGTGCTGCCCGTGTCGTTGGAGCTGCCGTCTGGCGTGCCTCCAAAACAGGGTTTTGGCTGGAACTTTGTCGACGACACGAGGGTCGACGACGTCGCAGTGGGAGGGCGTTCGGGTAGGGCGGGCAAGGTCGAGTTCGTGGCGCGGGGAGTCGCGGTGACGCTGTCTGGGAGAGTCGGGGCTTTGTCAGAGGGCAGAGAGGCGAGCTTATCCGAGGGCGGCGACGGCGGCGGTGCTGGCTGCCGGGGGCCGGCAGGCTGGGGGACAGGCGGCGCGGTGGCGGCATTGTGGCAGCTGCGAGTTGGGCTGTGGTTGCGCGAGGCGGCGGCAGACAGCCCGAGCACGTCGCTGTCGGCGCGCCACAGGCGGCTGCCGCTGATCAGGCGCCAGCGCTGGCGGACGGTGGAGCCGGTCCATAGCAGGCCGGCATAGAGAATGGAGAGCGGAAAGACGTCCTTGGAGTCGTCGTGGGGAGTGACGCCCGTGGCCCAGCGGCGGAAGTCGTTGTAGGTCGCGGGCGGCGTTAAGGAGCCGTCGGCGACGGCGTGTTCGGGCAGGCCGGTGGCGTCGGGGCCGATGAGGGCGTCGAAAAGGCGCTCGTGCTGGCGCAGGGCAGCATTACAAAAGACGGGGATGACGGGTTTGGCGGGCTCGGGGCCCGGAGCGGTGGGTAGGTCTTCATCGGGGTCGAGGTCGAGCACAAAGGTCGGGCGCGAGTCGGCGTCGAGCACATCGCGGATGGACAGGGCGGCCAGCTCGTCGGCGGGGTCCTCGCAGGCGCCAGGCGGTGGCAGGCAGTCTTTTGGGGCGGCCTGGTCCATGCCTCTGCAATGGCGGCGGGCGACTCAGCGGCGACGAGGGGTCACGGCCCGCGGGCATTCGTGGTGGCAGCGGGGGAGAATTGTTTGCCAGGCGACATAAACTTTTTTTTTTCTTTTGGCTCCGCTGCGTGGGTTGCTACCTTGCCATCCCGTCCCCGTCAATGTTAATTGATTGATTCCACGTGCAATCTTGGCCGGGAAGGTACGACTGGAGCAGCTCCAGCTTGCCCGTTCCCACCGCCCACGCCGCCTGCGCCCGACACACCGACACATACAACGGGCCAACTCGGCGGCACTGTGGGCCCAGTCCCAGACCATGTCCCAGCAGATTGGACCGATTGGGCCACCGACACTTCAATATGCAGATCGCCGATTTAGTGCATCATCATCAATTGCCACAATGCTCAGCGGTTGTAACAGTCTCGTCGTCAGATTCAGGTGGTTGGGCTGCCGCCAAGGGCTGCGCTAGCTTCCAGAACAAGCCAGACCAACAGCTTTCTAGCCCCAATTCCCTTCACCTCCCTTCATCATATGGCGTACACCGAATTGTCCTTCACCCCCAGCTTCCCCTCGCTGTTTAGCTTCAGCACCGTCTCCTTCATGCGTCTGGTTACGTCGGCGGCATACCCAGGGTCAGTGGGCTTAACTGTTGACTTTTTGCTGTCGATGCGGATCCAGGGGATGCTCGTGGCGGTGGCCGGCTCGTCATCACTAGCGCCAACGAGGCCAAGCGACCGCCGCAGCCTCTGGATGGCAGCTTCGTCGTAGGCGCCGCCCAGCAGCAGCGCCACGGGCGGCCCAGACTCCCAGCGGGCCGACGCGAGGTTGCTACTCTTGGGGTCAGGCTGTTCTCCCCTGAGCAGCAGCGGTAGCTCCCTGTCGATGGCCTCGGCGAGGGTATAGTGGATGACTGCGTGGCCGGGCATCGTTCTTGGTCAGCCACTTTTCAGTGGTGGGGCATTGATGGCAAGATTCTGAGCCTACCTTCGATTTCGGGCAGCAGAGCTTCGATGACGGGCTTTCCTATGTGCTCGCCCTTGCCTGTGACGATGACGCTGATCTTGGTGTTTGACATTGTCGGATTTTCTGATAGTTCTCCTGCTCTTGTTTACGCACTTGGCCGTGACGGAGTGATGAAACTCGAGGCAGCAAGCAGCACCGCCTGAGCGACTTTTAAAGGCTGACCTCTAGCACCGTCATCCCTCGGAGGCTATTGCAGCCCGATTATTAATCAAGCGCGAGAGCCGAGCGGGCCAGGCGGACGTAACTGCAGTTGCCAGTTGCCGAACCGCGAGCTGCTCGGGTCTGTCGACACCCTCGCGGTTCCGGAGCAGTACCCGTGATTACGAGAATGTTTTTTTCTTGGCGATCTAAGGCTAGAGTACGTAGGCGCTGACGCTCAAATTATCACATGTCCCGTCATACCAAAGTACGCGAAAATCCCAGTTGCTTGAGAGAGATAGATCGATCCATTTCCAGCATCACTTTCTGCATTATCACCCACATCCCGAAACACAGGCTACTATCATTAATCATTACACGCCCTAGTACGGGCTCGTCGCGTTGCTGATGCCGCTGTAGTAGTTGATCCATTTGAAGATCTCTGTGTGCCACACCAGGCTGTTCTCGGGCTTCAACACCCAGTGGTTCTCATCGGGGAAGTTGAGGAACTTGCTGGGCACGCCCTTGACCTGCAGCATGTTGAAGAGCAGGAGGCCTTCCGACACGGGCAGGCGGAAGTCGAGATCGTTGTGGATGACAAAGTGCGGCGTCGCCCACTTGTCGACGTGCAGGAGCGGGTTCCAGTCGTAGTACGGCGACCCCTCCTTGAGCCCCGTCTCGTTGAACTGGCCGCGGAAGTCGTGGTTCATGAACCACAGCTCCTCGCTGGCGTACTGGTTCAGCGTCGAGGTGCTGCCGTCGTGCGTCACTAGCGCCTTGAACCAGCGGCCCATCTCGTGCCCTTGCATCCTGTTTGGGGAAGGCGTGTTAGTTAATGCTGCCATGCAAAGGAAAGCGAATAATCTGCTTACCAGTTGGTCATGTAGCCGCCAAACGAGGCGCCGGCTTCAATGCCGCGCGAAGTGTCGACGTAGTCCAGCGTCTCGTTGACGTACTTCCACGCGTGCACGAGGTCCCAGTACGGGTAGCTGCCCCACCGGCCCTGCACGGCGTCCGTCAGGTTCTGGCCGAAGCCGGTCGAGGCCGTCGGGTTCGGAGCGATCACCACGTAGCCCTGGTCGGCCCAGACCTTGAAGTTCCAGCGCGTGCTCCACGAGTTGGCGTGCGCGCCCTGGGGGCCGCCGTGCGTGATGAAGGCGAGCGGGTACTTCTTGCCAGGCTGGAAGCCCGTCGGCTTCACGATCCAGGCCTGTTGCTTGATCTCGGACGTGTTGGTCGAGTAGTAGAACTCGGACACGTCCTGCGGGCCCAGGCCCTTGAGCTCCGCGTCGGCCTCGTTGGCGCGGAAGTAGGCGCGGACATCGGGGCTACCGCCAGTAGTGGTGCTGTAGATGTCGCGGCTCGACCAAATCTTGGAGTCCGACACTAGCAGCCGTCCGTCCGGGAGCTGCTCGAAGCCGGCGACCGCGCCCTCGTTCGTCACGTTGGCGGGCTTGTACGACGCCTCGGCGCCGACGGGGACTGCAAAGACCCTGTTCCGAGCGAGGTCGGCGGCGTCGACGAAGAGCGTCTTTCCATCACGCGACCACAGGATCGAGCCGGGAGCCCTGTCCCAGTCGCCGGCAACCTTGCTGATGTTGAAAGCACCCGAGCTCGGGCTACTGGAGACGTCGGCAACGTAGATGATGGTGCGGTCCGACTCGTAGTCGATCCCGTTCATCTGCAGGTACGCAAGCTTGGAGCTGTCGCGGGAGAAGACGGGAGACGAGGAGGCGCCCTCGGCTTCTGGGAAGGGGGTGCCGCCGCGGGGGTTGATGGGGACGGCATCCTTGGCCGTGCCCTCAAAGGGGACCAGGTAGATCTGGGTGCTGGTGAAGTTGGCCAGCGGCAGGTGGATGTCCTTGGTCATGAAGGCGACCTTGGCGCCGTCGGGCGAGAGCTCGTAGTCGCCAGGGCCGCCTTGGTCGTAGGGGCTCTCGGCGCAGGTGACGTTGCAGATGCCGGTCACGTAGTTGGTCAGCTTGCCATCAAAGGCGAGCGACGAGCCGTTGCCTGTCTTGAGAGTGCCACCAAACACGGCATTCTTCTCGGGTGAGAGCCACGTATCCTGTGGATCTGTGTCAGTACAAGTGGGACAAAGACTTGGTCTCGTGCGTCGAGCTTACCCAGTGCCGGGGATAGATGGAGTTGTAGATCCTGGCAGTGCTCTTGGCCGCCACGGCAGTCTCCTCGTCATAAACAGTCCCGTTGGGGTAGGCCTTGGCGGTGACCAGGAAGCGCACGTCTCCCGAGGGCGTGCGTGCGACCTTGAGGCCGGAGAAGGGCCCTGGGAGCGAGGCAATCTTGGTGGCAGACCCGAGCGACAGCAGATCGGCCGAGTACAGGCTGGTGCCGTTGAGGTACAAGATGCTGGTGTTGGTGGGACCGACAAAGACAACGTCGGAGAGGTCCGAGGTGCTGTTGTGCCAGCGCGTGACGGCGCCGGTCTGCAGGTTCAGGAGGTTCCACCAGGTGGTCCGCTTGGCCGTCTTGAACGAGTACTGGTTGGCCGTATAGATGGCGTACTCGCCCGAGGGGTTCGCTTGGGCGGTACCGTAGCGGGGCGCTGAGAGCATCTGCTCGGGGCTGATGGCGGCCACGGGCAGGACAGCCGCGAGGCCGGCGGCCAGGGTGCTCGTGCGGAGATGCATGGCGGTCGTTGGATCAGGCAAGCCAAGGATGACGACCGAGAGAGCTAGGCTGGCTCGCGGGCACTATCAGCATTGGCAGCGGAAACGGCCGCCATAAATACTCTGGCTGGGCCCAGGGGGGGCCATGTTCGGGCCGACCTGAGCCCATTATGTTTATCGACACTGGAGCTTCCACTCGAGACAAGGCGAGGGCTGGGAGCTGCAGTTTGTGGGCATATCCCCTCTCGATTGGGGTCGGGTCGAGTAGCCCCCATATTGCGTCAGCGTCAGCACGCAAACTGCAGCGAGAGCCAACAGGGAAGGAGGGACTGCAGCCACCGTCAGACAAGCGGGGTTCCCTTCGCCGACTCGCACCGTCCGCCAATCAGCGGCCAGCCGTTCTAGAAACACGGCTCACGACTTGGGCCGACCTTCCTCATTCGGAAGGGACTCCTGTATCGCCCCGACGATGTGAAAAAACCAGCCCTCGTTACTGCAGGCCGCCAGCAGGATTCGAACCGATTTGAGTTGATTTTTACTGATATTGATAAATGCCCACTCAAGCGAAGGATCAGACCCTAGCTCTGTTGCCGGCCTCACATCACCAAAGCCCAACCCCTCACTTGTTGCTGTACTTGACGCTGAACGTCCTCGTATAGCTAATGGCCCCGTCTCCGGCGCCCGCTCCCAGTATCATGTCCACGCTCGTCGCCGGCGACGGCGCCCCCAGCCGAGCCCCATTCGCCTCCACGCACGTCACTCCCGGCTCGACCACGCCCACGCCCGCCTCTGCCTGTGACGGACGTAGCCGTTCCTGTATGTGAACAGCCACCGCGGTCGGCTTGCCATGTTGCCATGCAGCTCCACGTCGTCATCTAGCCCAGACACGGTGCCGTCTGCCCGGACCCGATTGCGGGTGCCACCACCGCTGCCGATCGTGCCTGTCCCGAAGCCCGCTCGCCCGCCGCTGAATTTGTATTGCTGGCTGGAGTAGCCATGCCGGCCTTTAGTGGAGTTTAGCTTTAGCACGCGTCCGAGGAGCGGCTTCAGGAACGGTGCGCACGCAGCGAGCCCCGCGGTGTTCGCGAGCTGCTGGACAGCTTCTTTAGCCATGTCCACGTTGAGAATCCAATCTTCGACAAGACCAGCACTCGGAGTCTAGTTCAGTCTGTCGTGCTAAACGGCATCGACTGGACGGCCGAGTCGTGTCTCGCTCCGCTGATACTGGCCCCGGGTGCAGTGGCCACGCCGTTGGGGCCCAGCCACAGCACAATGTCCGGAAGCGCAGCTTATACAGAGGCCCAGTCGTATTTCCATGCGGCCCAAAAGCGACTCGGCGTCGTCACAACGTCGGACCACACCATCGCACCTCAGTGCTTATTTCCGGCAGGCGTCTATTTGATGTGCAGTTTCCAACCGCGCGAGGCCTGGCGCTGCTTCCTGCAGGCCTTGGCCGGCTGCCAGCACTTTGCCTTTCTTAGCCCCGGATCCCAGCGGGAGTACCACAATGCGCTGGCTGAGGATCGGCACTACCACACCACCGCTGAGAGGCTCCAGCAGGCCATTTACTGGTCGGCATGGAAGTCTGAACGCGCGGGAAGGTCCCTCTTCCCGCGCCTGCAGGACTTTAGCACCGAAGACCACAACTCTGGGACGGCCACGACCTTGTATCCTTCTTTTTTCCCAACCCCACCAGGGCCGAGGGTGGACACACACATGCATTCCGTGCATTCCGGGACCAGCAGGGTGGGTGTCATGACGGTGGGGATGATGGTGACGCCAGAAAGTCTGCAGCATGAGAGGGAACGCACGTCGTGGTATTTTACCTGTCCGAGATTTCGCTGCGCCACCTGTGCGCACGCATCGGGGCCGAGCTGCTGGAGCTACGAGAGAAGCACGCGTCCAGTCAACCGGGCTTCCTGGCAGCTGTAGCCGCCAACATTCCCTCGTACGAAGAACAGACGCTGGACTGGATTCGGTCGCTTCCTCCTTGCCTGTCTTTTGACGCCGCGCCGGAGAAGGACGACATATGTCGTTTTGCTCTCAGGGGCCAGGCTCTTAACATCTACGAGATGATATACTGGCCCTTTCTCTCGACCATTCTGGGTGGAGATGGCGTGTCAACACACGGCTACTTTAATGGCAGAGACCAGGCAGGCCTTCACCGGCAGCTCGCGCAAAAAGGGCTGGACTACCACCTGTATCGACTGGTAGTGAACAAGCCTGGGTACCAGCACCGGCACCACGGCACGCTGTACATGATGCACTCGTGCTACCGCAGTTCCCTGATCCTCGTCGCAGCCGCGATAGGGTGCGCGCCCGGGGGTGAAGACGGAGGCGATGGGTCGAGGTTCAGCTTGTCAGTGCCGCCCGGGCGGCATCAATCAGTCGGCGAGGTGCTGTCTCTGCTAGCCATCTGGAGTACGGAAACAAGCGAGTTCGACCAGGTACGCAGCGTCCTGGAGGCGGGGCCGGGTTACACGCTGGCGACGGTGAGCAGGCCGATGGGACCATGAAAATTACATGGACCAGACCGCGTGTTTCCCCGCAAATCAAGGTTGCTGGATGCTTGGCGCCTGGGTTCGCGGAGTATCACAGTTAAGCTGCGAAAGTGAGGTTGCTGACTGCCGCAAAGGGGTGGGAACTCCATCACGGGAATGTGGTCAGGGAACCAAATACATGGCGGCGAGGAGTATCTTCATATGCAATAAATAACCGCAAAAGGGACTGGGGCATTCGATTCTTGACGCTGAACATCGGGCCCTCATCCTCCGTCGTAGTGCTCCTTTACAGCTTAACTTCCTCCAAACACGCACCATGGCAGCACCGACAAACCCGCAGCTTACAATGCTGCGCGTCAGCGGCACCAAGATTGTCAACCCCCAGGGCGAGAGCGTGCTACTCGAGCGCTGCGTCAAGAGGGACGAGCTAAACCAGATGCTAAGGGAGGACGTTTAGGCTGGTCTTGTAATGTATGGCTCGACTATTATGTACTATTTATTCTATGCTGTTGACAAGGGGAAAGGGAGTATAATGCGAAGGGCTATAAAGGAAAGCATTTCATTGTCCCATTAAGAAGCCTTTATCGGCTTCCTTGCCACCATCAGGAACATGGGCGTAAAGAGTCCCTCCCTGCCGCCCTGCACCAGGGCGTCGGCCGCCTTGGCCAGGCTGTCGGCCGTCTTCCTCGTGCCGGGCGGGGCCAGCCTCAGGGTCTCGAGGGCCCACATGAAGCCGTGCGCGACGGTCCTGCCGGCCGGGGTCATGCGCAGGGTGGAGAAGAGGTCGCCGGCCGTCTGGGCGCATCGCCAGCTGCTGCCGTCGAGCGGCCAGTACCACGGCGTGGTGGGCCTGTTGCCAGCGCCGACGCTGGCGGCCAGGTCCTCGTGCTCGAGCAGCTCGAAGCCGGCGGCGCGCACGGCGGCCAGCGCGTCCTGCGCGCCCATCATGTTGGCGATGCCGTCGCCCTGCTCGATGTCGAGGCGGATCTGGCGCTGCCGCAGGTCCGCGTCGTTGTACCTGTCCGTCATGACCCACTCGTAGACGCCAAAGACGCCGCCGGGCTTGAGGACGCGGTAGATTTGGGAGTAGATGCCCTCGAGGGTGGGGGCGTGGCATGTTGCTTCGATGGCGTAAACTGCGTCAAAGGTGTTTTCGTCAAAGGGCATGTTCTGTTTGGCAGTGTTAGAGATCTGAGCCACTCCTAGTGGGATACTCGCTAGGTTTATTTTGCGCCTACCATGAAATCGGCCTGCACGAACCGCAACTGGTCCGACACGCCCTCCATCTCGGCGTATCTCGTGGCGCGCTCGACCTGGTACTCGTTGAGGTTGACGCCCGTGATGTAAGCGCCGGTAAACTTGGCCATCTGCCTCGCGGGCCCGCCCACGCCGCAGCCGACGTCCAGCACGCGCGCGCCCTTTTTGATGCCCATGCGGTGGGCCAGGTACTGCTCGTGGCGGGCCATGGCGGCGTGGAAGCCCTCTCCGTAGGCGAAGCGGCAAAAGTGGAACGACTGGCACCAGCCGTACTCGTACAGGTCCGTGGCCAGGTTGTAGTACTGGCGCGTGATGGAGGCGTACTCGGTCCGGCGCGCCGCCCGCGCCTCGGCCGTCTCGTCCTTGGCCGTCCGGTTGTCCCAGTGCTGGAAGTACTGGTCCGAGGCCGCCTGGTTGGCCTCGTGGTCCTTGCGTAGCATGGAGCTGAAGCCGCCCGTATTGGCAGACGTGGCCCCGTGGAGTGCCTTTTCGAACGTCATGTCGCGGGCCAGGCCGATGTGCGTCTCGCTCGAGAGTTTTTTGTATTGTTGTTTGGACATGGTGGGCGGTTTTCTGGTTACACAGATGGAGGCGGTGTTCCGGGAACCAAAATGGAAACGAAGAGAAGGTAGAGAGATGTGAAAAGTGTTGAGTGGTTGAGTGGTTAAGATGGAAAAAACTGCAGAACTGGATGGAAGGACTGCGCAAAACTTATATCAAGACCCGGGCCCGCCGGCCTCGTCACCTTGTTTCCTCTGCGTCCTCCTCCCTGTGTCTTCCCTGTGTCTTGGGTAATTGCTCTAGCGGGAAGCGAGCTGGCTTTGATGAGCAACGCGGCCGGCGTCGCATCGTTTTGCTGCGCATAAAGAAAGGCGAGAGCGAAAACGAACAAGAAGACGGGTTCGAGTGCGAATTCGAACTCGAACTCGAACGCGAATTCGAGTTCGAATCCGAATGCGAGCACCAGCCGAACACGAACACGACGACAGTCCACGACCACGCCCGGCGGGATGCGTTTACAACAAACGTCTCCAGCTCAAAAGCAGTAAATATGAAGAAAACATATAAAAAATAGCACATTCTAAAATCAGGAGCCGCCCAGAACAGCCGCCAGGCCATTGCGAAACAGCAAACGGGCATAAACGCGATGGAATGCAAAAAGCACAGCCGACAGCGGCCTGTCCTGGGAAGGGTCGCAAGCGTGCGCGAGGTAGCTGATGGTAATTGTTTGGCCGCCAGCAGAGGCACCGTAATCGCCGTCGTCGTCCTTTTGCCTTTGCACGACGAAGCGATCGACGCCTGCAAAGGTGCTGCGCGGGCCGCTGAAACCAAACCCGAGGTCGACAAAAACACGTGCACCACCAGCTCCAGCTCCAGCTGTGCTGGCGGATGGAGCCCCCTGTGGGCCGCTGTCGAGCACCTGGAATGCCCCCCACAGTTTGGAGTGCACAGGCGGCGGCGAGTCTGCCGGCAGCGACTCTGCGCTATGGAAATTCACCGCCGCCGCCGCCGACTCTGCGCCTGGGTGCTCGATGTGCGCAATGTCGCGGCCGTATACCCTGTCGACCAGGAACCGCTCGGGCGAGATGACGGCGCCGTAAAAGAAGCCGCGCAGGAAGCGCGCGACAACCTGGCCGTCGCTCAGCCCGGCCAGCGGCGACCCGGGCGGGAAGCGGATGGTGGCCCAGACGGCCTCGGTGCTGCCCCTGTGCTTGCGCGGATTGACCAGGGCAAAGGCCGGGGAGGCTTTGAAATCGGGTGGCGTCTTTGGTGAGGATTGGAGGCGGAGCTTGTAGGTTGGGGCGAGGGCCACGGCCACGGCGCACATGTAGCTACCGCCAGCCAGACTGGCTGCACTGAGTAGGAGGCGGCCGAGGGGCATGTTGGTGAGTGGGTGGGAGGGGACGGTAAGAGAGAGACTAATGGACAAGGTTTGGCCTCTCCCTGGTTGGCAGCTGATGGGACATATAAAACAGAGGTAGCGGCAAGGGCTGACGACAAGGGCTGAAGCTGCTGCTGATGTCGATCGGCTGAAACCGGTGTCATCCCTTTTCCAAGGCCGGGCGTCCCGAGCTTTGGTGAGTCACTGCGATTGGAAGCCATTCACGAATTTTCTTGTGTCACTTTTCTTTGTTGATCCTTGTTGATTTTATTGTCTTACTAGGTAGGTATCCCGCACCATTCTCAAAATACAGGACGACTTGTTCCATCTTTGTCCTCCATCTACTCACTGCACCCACAACCCATCCCCCTCCTTTGTCTGCTTACCACAGGACAGTCAGCTTCAGGCCCACCGACTCGCCCTCCAGGGCGCACACGGTGTTGTCGGCCAGCCCCTGGGGCTTGATCCAGCGTCCGCCGGTGCAGATGGAGAACATGACGGTTTCGACGCAGAGGAGGTGGCCGTCGGTGCAGCTGCCCGGGGGAGTCTGCGGGTTCGCAGGAGTGGGCGGGCGCGCGGTGGGCCTGGCCGGAGTGGCGGGGGCGGACGAGGTCGGCGCCGGCTTGGCAGGGGTTGGGCTGGCGCTGCCGGGACCGGTGGTGCAGATGGTAGTCATGGTGGTCATGGTCATCGTCGTGCACGGCTTTGTAGGAGCAGAGGTCGAGGGCGCGCTGGTCGGCGTCGTAGCCGAGGTGGCAGAGGTCGAGATCGCGGTCGTGGTGGTCGAGCTTGAGGGAGCGCGAGTCGAAGAAGCGGTCGAAGTGGCCGAGCTCGATGTCACACGAGTGGACGTCGAGGTCGGGGCTGCCGTCGTCGTAGTCGATGGCTTCTCACCGTTAGACTGCGTCTTGGTCGGCGCTCCAGCGCTCATGCTAGCGGTGCCCGATGGCTTGGCCGGGGGAGCAGCACCGCCCTTGTTGTGCGGGTTTCCGTCGCACGGCTGCGCAAAGAGCTTCGAGGTGCCCTCGGGGTGGATGACGTTGCTGCCCGGGTGCGGGTACTTGATGGGCACCTGCTGCTTCAGCGCCTCGTTGGTGCTGCACTCGCCTGTCACGGAGCCGAGGTTGGCGAGGAAGAAGTCTGGGTACGCCGGGGTCTGGCGCTCGCCCAAGTGCGTTCCCTGGCGCCTCTCCTTGGAGCGGCGGGTCGACCCTTTGCCGGCCTTGACTTTGAGAGGCGCGCAGTTCATGTAGATCTCGGGCGAGCCGCCCACACGGTTAATCCAAATCCATCCAAACGTGTAGTCGCCAGGAGCGAAGTCGGCAGGGACAGTGAAGCTAAACTTGTCGGGCTGCTGGCCGCCCTCGAGGTTGCCCACCTGGTTGGCCTTGGGGCAGCCGCCCTCGATGGACTGGATAACCTTGAAGACCGAGTTCTTGGTCGGCGCGAAGCCCTCGGTCAGGCCGAACTGGCACGAACCGCCGCCGTGCACCGCATGTCCCGAGAAGGACACGGTCGCCGGCTCGCCAATCACTACCTCGGTGGGTGCCCCGTCGATCTCGAGCTTGCTGCCGTCGCCTCCGGGCGCCTTGCAGGGATAATTTCCCCCGTCCGTGTCGAGCGGGTTCGTTGGGCCGTAGCCGGTGCCCTTGTACGGTCGAGGCTCCGCGAGGGAGACGTGGCGACGCTGCAGGCTCCGCGAAACGGCCGACGACGCGTTGGTGAGGTCGAGAGTCATGGCCGCAGCCATGGCGAAGAGCATGTTCTTGCTAACCATAGTTGCGGTTGGCGAAAGCTGGTGGGAAGTCGCAGAGTGACAGGCTTGTTGCCGAGTGGTAAGCCGGAGAAAACTTTTCGCTCGCAGTTTGCTGTGGAGAGACAGGCTGGGAGGTAGAGTGTAGAGTAGGTGTAGAGTTGTGTCCGACTTGTGATGACTGGATGATGGGAAAGTGACGAGCGGCTGAGCATAGCCTAGGTGGCCTTAAATAGAGCCAACAGACGGGAGTCGAGATGGCCCAGAGATTGCTGGCAAAAAGAGAGATGGTTCCAAGACAGCGCCATTGTCCTTCGAGGAACAAGGACTGCCTCTTTCCTTGTTGGTCCCCATCCCAAGCGAACAAAGAAGCTAGCGATGGGTAACCATGAAATCTGAGGCGGCCGGCTTGCGGTAGGCATCGGCAGCACAAAGTCCATTCTTCAAGGGGCTGGCCTCGAATGGAATGCTCATGGCAAGGCTCGGACAGAAACGGGTTGTGTATTTACCTCTTTGATGCTATGTACAACGAGCCACAAGGCCTTGTCCTTATCCACCCCAATCCGCCATGCCACCCCTAGCCCTTCCGCACACTGCCTTGATAAACGAGTGACAAAGAACAGGATCCTGTGCAAATCGCACCCAAGCTCCAATCCATCACCCGCCATTTAGCACCCACATAGCCCTGTCCGCCATTTAACAGGCGAGGCTGGGGTTCTTGCCCTTGGTAAACTTGCAGGCGGCGTTGTTCCTGGTGGCGAGGTTAATGTAGCCACCATCGCCAGTGCTGGAAAAGGTGTTTCCCTTGGCCATGTAGAAGCAGTCGTAGTTGGTCTTGAGGGCGCCCTGCTTCAGGTCGACGCTGACCTTGCCAGTTATGCCCTGGGGGTTTTTGAGGTTGTAGCCGACGTTGTTGCAGATGGCGGCCACCCACTGCGTCGGGTCCGGGTTCTTGGCCCACATTTCGTCCACCGTCGCCTTGGTAAACTTTTCGCGTGCTGACGTCCAGTTGGAAATGTCCTTGATGAGCTTGATGCCGGCGTTGGCGGCCCTGGTGGCCAGGTCGGTGCCAACCGTAATGGCGATCGAGGTCACGATGCCCGTAATGATTTCCCGCTTTTCCAGCTGAGCTTCGGCCACGGCCACGGGCTCGCTTCGAGTAGCGAGCTCAACCGACCCGGGCTGCTGCATGACGGGAGCAGGAGCCGCAAAGACGGGCAGGGCGAAAACGAAAATGGCCTTGGACTGCATCTTGAAGGTGGTGCGAAAGGGAGCTGTTGTTGGTGGGAGGGAGTGGGTGGCAGAGATACTGATAGATGGAAAAGACGATAGAGTGAAAGGAAAGAACAGTAGGAAATGTTCAAAACTTAGAAAAGTGAAGCTGGATTGTCCGATGGGGATGAAGAAGAAGGACAAGAAAAGCACGAGATGGACGTTCCCAGCGGGTATACTTATACCTGGCGATTCGGGACACTCCTCTGTGCATCTCAGGAGCATCTCGCCGTCGCCAGAGGCCTCACGCACTCTATCAGGCATAATTTCCATGCCAAACGTCCGCCTCGAGCACAGAAAGCTCGGCGATGATCACGAAAACCAGGAGCGCGTCGTTCTACCCGACCGGACAGGGATCGATGCATGCATTGTGGGGTGCGGGTCTGTGTTGGCCCACCCACACGCCCAGGGGCAGCCAATGAAGCGGTTGGGCGGTTCTTATAGGGCTGGCGGGTGGGAAAAGGGGGCGGGGCCACTCAATGCAGAGCCCAAGTTGCCGCTACAAGAATAGCAGCACATTACGGGCCATGGCTTTTTGGTAGATGGTGTCTTCGACAAGCGAATGACTCTCGGTGGCCATTTTGCTGGGCTGTGTCACGCGACCACAAGGCAGGGGATGCATCCAGGGCAGAGAAGCTTATACACAGCAGCTAGGCCGTTTAATGTTTATTGTCGCATTCCGTGCGCTCTCCTGCCAAGAAGTTAGGGCGACATGCCCGCGCCTTGCCCCCACTCGACCAGAACGAGCGGGGATCGCGCCTGGGGTACCGAGAGGTTACACTTTGGCAGCATGGCGTGACCGGCCAAGATGTGGGTTCTCAAAGAAAGGGACGAACGCAAAGAGAGGGGGTTTGGGGGCGTCGACAAGATACGCTTATATCTACCTACGGCGGACGACTGGCTGTTTGGGAATCGGCCCGGAGCCGACTCACGAGACAGCAATTTCGGCGACGGCGGCTGCAGGCAAGGCTGAAGCGATGTAGGCCTGTGAGATTACAGGATGGCGGCCCACACCCGCAGCACAAAGGAAGAAATGCGTGGACCTTTCCGGAGATATTTTGCACATCTGGTGCTGAGGCTAGGATAGGCGTCGAACGCATCCTTGTCGTTGAACTGCGATCCCAACGACGGTGCCCTCAACATTGCCGAGCACTCTGGCACAGAATGAATAGACAAGCCAGTTTATTAATAAATGCAGTAATATTTTCCGATTAAATCCCAGCCATCCTCCCTCAGCCGCACCACGGCCACGACGCCCATGACGACCCAGAAGAGCGTCATGAACACCGACCGCGCGCGGCCCGTCAGCACTCGGGTCAGCATCACGTAGCTGTACATGGACATGCCTGCCTCTTGGATCTGCGGGGTTTGCGAGTCGTGTCAGCCCGGGCCTGGCTGCGGTGGCGAAACCGAGTCTCTGGCGAGGGGCGAGGGGAGCTTACCAACCACAGCACATCTGCTAGAGCCGCGGCCACTGCATCCAGAGTGGTGTCGTAGGTGTGGTAGTAGGCGGCGTAGCGGAGCCCGTTGGCGCCGGCGCCGGCGGCCGAAACCAGGATGGGCACCAGCGTGGCCGGCGATATGCTGGTGATGCTCACGATCACGAGGCCGAACAGCACGTTCGCCAGCCCGATGGTGCTAAGGATGGCCCAGCTCAGCTCGTAGTAGAGCGGTATTATCTGCTTGGAACTCATGATGCTGGGCTCCCTGTCGGATCGTCGCCTTCTTTGGATGCGGCCTTCCTAGGGGCTTCAGCCAAGCTGTCGGCGAGGAAGGAGCGATCTCGAGCCCTTGGTGGGCAGCAGGGCGATGCCCTGGGTGCTGTTCGCGAGGCGGGCGGGGGAGGCGGGTAAAGAAATAAAAAGACTCCAAGTCGGGACGGCAAGGGCCGGTGTAAAAGTGGCATGGAACGAAGGAACTTTATGGATCGTCCGGCTGGGCTGCGTCCCCTCCGCGACAAGGCGAGGACCAGGTCGCGGCCCGGACGGGGAGCGGCCATCGCTCGCTATCTGGTGCATGCCCAGCAGCGAGTCAAACAGGACGCTACAAAGTCAGGAGTTTGACCTTAACCCGGGATAAGCAGGCAGGCCGGCTTAGAGTTTTGGCTGTAGCCGTTGTGGCACGAGGTATATGGCCGAACGGTCCCAAGTCGGGCACGTCAATCCTCGACGGCCATGGTCACCGCACAAGCTTTGCCGAGCCCCTCGACCAGGAGGGCGAGCTGCCGGACCTGTGTGCAATACAGGACTCCTCTCCCGTTGTGGCCATGTCGGCGGTTGGGAAAGGCAGGTCAGGAACGTTGGCACACTGGTTGCGCTGTTATCGGTACCTTGACGAGGTGAGACTTTTGCAAGCCGAAACCAGCACCATGTGGCAGGCGCTGGATCGATTGGCGGACCGCGTGCCGTGGATCTGCGATCTCTCTCTGCCCGAGGGAACACCGGCCAGGGACATCCCCTGCTTATAGCATGGAGGTAGCGCGGAGATGGAAGATGTGGACGGGGCTAGGAAATCATCATGAATAATATGCCAAGACAGCACGAGAGCCTGACAGCGCGCAAACAAACGTCGGTTCCCCATGATTTCTCGCTTCGGGTGGGAGCATCTCTGCTACCGGTTAACCCTACATGGCTGGGGCAGGGCCGCGCAGGGGAAGCTTGTTTCGCAATCTTGTTTTCCAAACCCAGGCAGGACGAAAGGAGTAGCTTTTCCCGGCCTTGCGCCAGCGATTGATATCCTGTGTTCCAAACAGCTACCGTGCAGGGCTTGATTGGCCGTACCGGGCCTTACATGGTTGCGGAAAAGCAGCATCGATAGGTTGTTGAATGGGGATTCTTGTTACGCACTTGGATGGATTGGAAAAAGATGTCGTGTTAGTGAGCTGGGTCGCGTGTCCTGCATTGAGGCGATTTCCCAAGCGCAACGGTGGGCCATTATTTTTTTGCGATGTGCATGTGCACAAAAGGCAACGAGAATGTTGTGGGTCATGATGCAGCCAAGGCGTAAATTAATCGCGGGCACCGCTTTATTGCCGAATATTCCAGCGCTAACGAACACAGCATCGACTGGATGCTCCTATGCACCATTGTATCCCCAAGACGACATTTTGTCGCTGGCGAAAGCCCATGTTCCACGCCCTGCTTGGATCCTGTGCTGAGGAGTCGTCGTGCACTGGCGACTTTTACCCAAGAGACCGGGTGGACCCCACCATGATTCACACCCAACCGCACCACGTTCCAGCAGCGCCGATGCTACATTGCTTCCCAAAAGTCTCGGAGTGGGCACGTGGCGTCAACCTGCGTACTGCACTCACGTGTCGACAGCAAATCTCGAATTTATTAATTATCGAGCAGTGGACGCAAAGGTCTGCTCGGCCAAGAGCTTGGACCATAAGTGTGTTGCGGGACGTTCTTGGATAAGGATCTGTACCCCGAGTCAGGATCTTCTGGGTCAACAGATCCGCTGGAGTGCCGACCGATCTCGCTAACCGAGCTAGGGCAAAGCCGCACCTGTCGCCCTCTGCCGTGGGATAGCTCGGGACGCGGCAGCAGGAACAGGGACGGTTATGCCGACCGTGAACTTCCCCCGACCCTGCCAGCTCCAAAGCCGTATCAGGGAGAGAGGAACCAGCCTTTTAAGACTATGGCTTGGACACGCATTTGCAAGTGCTTGTCTTGTCATGTTGTAGTGCTCGAAGTACCAGTTAACCTCCAAGCTGCGTCACCGCACGAGGGGCCGGCATGCCTCGGCTCCCCACCATCACCCTAGCTCACCCCCGCGTCATCCCCCTCCCACAAGTGTTACCTAAACATGCCCCTCAAGGAAAGAGTTCCACAGGGATCGTGGCGCAGTTGGCTAGCGCGTAGGTCTCATAAAAAGGGCCAGTTTTGCCGGTTTCCTTGTTATGACCTGAACAAGGGCAATCCTAAGGTCGTGAGTTCGAGCCTCACCGATCCCAGTATTTTGTCGGCGACGGCGAGAGTGGAGATGTTGGTTTTTTAGTGTCAATCCCGACCGCCAAGCCAAGCAGGCTCGCTCGCACACGGCTCGGCCCGCTCGGGATCGGGCATGCAGGGTTTTTTTTTCCGTTGGTGGCGCTTGCTGTTTTGCCGTCTTGCACCGAAATTTGCCAGTGACAGGATTGATACGATAAATTGAACAAATGTATTAGTAGGTACCATAAGAAAACCCCCACCCTCATCTTTTTTTTTCGTCTTCTTTTTCTTGTTTTACTCGCTTCTCCAGCCTTTGGGCCCTCCCCACGTCCCTTTAACCATGGATTTGTAGTAAACCCATGGGAAAAAGTCCTTCTTCAGGTAGTAGAATGCCCGCTTGGGCTCCGCCTGGTCGCCCAGGATCGAGGCAAAAGTCTCCTTGGGCACGCCCGCGTACTTGAACTCGGCCAGCATAACCTTGCCGTACTCGGTGGGCAGCGGGCACGAAGTGTAGCCGTCGTAGCTCGACTGCGGCCCCTTGCCGTCCATGGCCAGGAGCATGTTCTTAACCATGATGGGCGACTCGGCCGTGATGGCGGCGGCCGTCTTGGAGGTCGGCAGGCTGGAGGCGTCGCCGATGGACCAAACGTTGGGGTACTTCTTGTGGCGCGTCGTGGCGTCGTCGACATCGACGTAGCCGGCCTCGTTGCCCAGCGGGCTGTTCTTGACAAAGGCGTGGGGGCCCATCTTGGGCACGACGTGAAGCAGGCCGAACTTGCGCGTCACCTTGTCAGAGGACCCGGCGACGGCAAAGGTGGCCGTGGTACCGTTGACCTCGACAAGGTCGTGCTGGAATAAGCCCTCGACGCCGCGCTCGACACGCAGCTTCTCGAGCGCAGCGCTGTACTTTGGCACGCCGAACATGGAGGGCAGGCCGGTGGCAAAGGTGATGCTGATGGGCGACGATGCCGGGTCGGCAGGGTTGTACAGCCCCGCGCGCTTCCAGTGGTCGAGGGCCAGCCACATGGCCTTTTGCGGGGCGCCGGCGCACTTGATAACGCCGGCGGGCTGGGTGAAGATGGCGGCGCCGCTCGTTAGTGCCTGGATGTTGGGAAAGACCTTGGCGCACGTGTCATAGCCGTAGATGCTGGACACGGGCAGGGCGTCGTCGGCCAGGGCGTCGGCCAGGCCCTTGATGCTCGAGTAGTCGATCTTGATGCCGGGCGCGACGACGAGGTGCTCGTACGAGAGCCTGTCGCCGTTGGCGAGCGTGACCGAGTTGTCGTCAGGGCTGAAGGAGCCGACGGCCTCCTTGTAGTACTTGAGCTTGTCGTTGACCAGGCTCTTGAGCGGCCTGCGCAGCTCCTCCCTGGTCTTGAGCCCGCCGCCCACCAGCGTCCAGCCTGGCTGGTAGTGGTGGAAGTCGGCGGGGTCGACGATTGCGATGTCGTCCTGGGCGAACCTGCCGCTCAGGAGCAGCTGGTGGCTTGCGCACATGCCAGCGGTGCCTCCGCCGACGACGACGACCTTGTGGGCGCGGGCGGCCGGGGCCACGGGGGCGGCGGTTGCCATGCCGCGTATCACCCAGCTCCTGGGGCTAGCTGCCCGGGCCCAACTGGCTGCGCGGGTAGCGCACACGGCCGAAGGAGGAAGCATTTTGATCCACGTGGATTGGGTAAACAGCTGGTCTGTTTTTCTTGGGGCTGGCAGCTTGAAGGAGGCAGGTCGAGCCTGGCTGGCGGTTTTTTCCTGACGCCCAGCTCCAGCCTCGACCCGCCACGCGCTTTGTCGCTCAGCCGCTGGCACCACTGTGCGCAGTTTTCCAGGCGGCGGCAGTCGGCCCCCCCCCCGAGTCAGCCATCCGCTGGAGCCGGAGCGAAAAGCGCCTCAAATGGCGTGATGCGTAGCCTGGCTCCCGACTTGGCCCCACCACGAGTCTCCCGACTTCCGACTCGTGTCATTTGGCGGGGTAGCATTTGGCGGTGAAGGCATTCGCGGATTTAGGGTTCGCTGGTCGCAGTCCAAGGAAAAAGATTCGGAAGGAAAGAACCAGTGCCGCAACGTCGGGTGACAGGAAACTGTTTTTTTATTTATTTATTTAGCTGCGGTGCAATCCCAGCAGCCACCATCAGAGAACATTATGCACTCCGACCTGCTTTCCGCCTGCGAGTCGCTCGCAATAAACGCCACAGGGGCGATACCCACATCTCGCACGAAGACATCATTCTCTGGCATCAATTGTTCGACCTTAACCATGCTGAAGCCCGTGCCGCAATCGAGTGTTGGCGGTCTGATCTGAGTCGTGTCATTATCCCAGCCGACTCCTGGGGTCCGTGAAAACCGCATGGCCAGGGCACAGCAGGGAGTCCTACGGATACGCGCTTGCAAGCGGCAAGCTGGGGGCCGAGTCTACGGTGCCCAGCGCTCGGCCAGAGACGAACTCGCCCGGCGCTGCCGAGGCAAGATATCTGCTCCGACTCCAACCTGGCGTGTTGGACGCATCCAAGGTTCAGGAAATGTGCCACCTGGGCCACCCGCCTGTCCTCTTCTTTTCTTCTACCTACAACGACACGAACAAGACAAAGGTCTGCATCGTAGACGCGCATTACAAGATCATGATCCCGCAACACGTTAGCTCTCGTCTGCTGTTCATCCGCCACTGCGAGGCAGAAAAGAGCTGGGTGCCGTTTTCTCGCAACCACACCCTCGGCGTCCCGGACTGCACCATGCCACAGTTCAGGCCGCCAGACGGCTGCCCTCCACAGCGTCCGGCATGGGATGAGTACCCCGTGTGGTACCTTTTCTACGGAACCTTGGCCACTCCGGATGTCCTCGCCCGCGTTCTCCATCTGGAACTGGGCGACGGTGGCATTGTTGGCGGTTGAGGCTTGCACGCAGCCGAGGTCGAAGGCGCGAAGCTCGCTACGTGGGGCGACGGGAAGTACAAGGCTTTGGTCCAGGCCGAAATGCACGACGCCAAGGTTGGCGGCTCGGCGTACATGGTGGAGAGTCGGGAGGAGGAGGACGCGCTGAGAGCGTACGAGACGGACAAGTATCTAGTGGCACGTTCTGCAATCCGGCTGGTGGGCAAGGGGTTCTCGGGGGACAACGGCTCGGCATCCGCACCTGTCGTTCCTGGGCTGACTTTTCTGTTCCGAGGCGTGCCAGACAACACGAGGTAGGGCAACATGGATGTACGATGATACCTATGTACAATTTTCTTGCGACTTTTACAGCTGAGGATCCCTAGCCATACGCTTCCAGGGTATTTACTAACGTCTACTCGCCAAGAAACCCGGGACACATTTACAGAGTGCGCGCAGCATTGATGGCCTGAATCAGCTTGGGCCCGATCTGCTTGGCGATAAAGTCGTCTCCCTGGCCGTTGGGGTGCACGCCGTCGCTCTCCAGCATGTTGTTGGTGAAGCCTGCGGCGCGTGAGCAGTCAGCCACGGTAATGGGCGACGCTGACGTGCTGCGCTGCGACGCCCAGTTCGGGATCGCGCTGTTGACCGACTCGATGGTGGCATCGCTCCAGCGTGTGGGAATCATCTTGTCGATCTGGGAGACGCTCCTGGTCAGATTCACGTCACTTGGTCGCAAACGCAGCAGGGATGGAGAACTTACGACAATCTTGACCTTGGGGTTCGCGCTCCGCGCCGCGTTGACAATGGTCGTGTAGGAGTCGAGGATGGTCTGCACGTTGCGCTTGCCAATATTGACGTCGTTGGTGCCCAGCATGAACTGGAGGACGTCGGGCTTGTACGTGTTGACCCAGCTGGCGATGTTGCTGCGCGCAATGTCGTAGGCCTGCCAGCCCGAGTGGCCCTCGTGGTTGCGGTCGAACCCGGCCGGCGGGTTGCCGCACTTGCCCTGGAGGCTCGTCATGCTGCCCACAAGGTCGACGCTGTTCCCGAGCCCGGCCGAGGAGAGCTGACTCCAAACCTTGGGCCGCCAGCAGGAGATCTCGGTGATGGAGTCGCCAAGCAGCATCACCTTAACCTTGCTCTGCGCGGACGCCGTGGCCGCCAAGAGGCTTACGGCCAGGGTGGCAAGAGGGAAGATCTGCATCGTAGAGGCTTGAAGGCGGGAATGCAGGCAATTTGCGAAGGGGTAGAGATAAACAGGAAAGAGGCTGCCCTTGTTACAAGCCCAGAGCGTGAGAAGCCGTGTCCATTTATGATGGCAGTGTCTAACCGGCGAAGTCGTGGGGTTAGAAGCTATTGGGCGGCCGTGGTTCCTCCGGACATCCTCGATCCGGAAATGTTTCCTGCTGTCGCCTTGGCATGGCCGGATGGACGGCGGTGGACAGCTGGATCCATTTCGCCAAGGCCCCTTTTGCCGGCAATGCGGGGAAGGACATTTATTGGCGGGAAAAGGAGTTTCCAGAATAGCGGCATCCCGGAAAAGGTGGCACATTGTATAAGTGGTATTATTCTTTCCCGGGTTTCCACGCGTCAAGCTCAGGTAAGCTGCACCGTCACCCTGGGCGACGACATGGGAACACTCCATCCTCCACGCGTCTGCTTAATGCCTGAGGTGACAACCTTGACCCCACGCGCGCTGGGAGTGGTGGCTTCTGCCCAGAGGAGGACAGAGGGGGCGACTGGCCCGCCTTCTTGCTGAGCGATCGTTACTGACAGAGCCCCCGAGCTGTCGAAGCTGACCTCGCTGATGATGCCGGAGTCGACGCTCAGAAGCACGCCCAGGGGTCCCACGAAAACCCTCCGCCGGACTGCATCTGCCGTTCTGACGCTGAAGCTCCCACTAGCGATGTCCTGCTGCTGTAGCTCGCCCCCAAAGGCTACGATCCCGAGCTCGCCATCGTTTACAACGTAGGTTCCAGACCCGAGAGCAAGGCCTAGGAAGCCTGGGCCGTAGTCACCGCTGATGCCGTCCCACCGCAGCGTGTCGGGCCAGGAGTGAAACGAGGCGGCGGCGAAGCCTTCCTGGTTGATGTTGGAGAGCGGACCAGTAGTTCCCCCGTACCCTGCCCGGAGGAGGTACGTGTCCGAGGGAGACGAACGGAACGCGGAGAGGAGGACGAGCGCGTTCAGTGCGGAGCCGTAGTGGTGGATTTGACGCTCGATACGACGGAGTTTGCCGCCGTAGCTACATGGAGGCGGTGTTAAACGAACGATTTTCTCGTGTCTGGGCGGCCTTGGCGACGTCGAGTACTCACTAGTTATCCCAGTAGCGGCGGGCATTCCCGTTCCAGCCCCAATGTGGGACGGTGGGCATATAGCCCAAGACGCTGTTGACAGACTTGGCCGCCGTGTTGTTGTAGCCGAAATACCTGTATCTCGTTAGCCATGCATGCCGCCAGCACACATCGGGCGCAGAGACGTCTGGGAGGACTTACTTGGCCCAGTAGTACACGCCCTCCTGACCCGTCGAGTCCCAGGCCATTTCGCTGCCGAACGGCACCTCTTCCGCATCCCACTGAGCCGCCCGAGACCGCATTGCAGCAGTAAACGCGTTGGCTTGGGCCGCGCGACCTTCCCGGGAAAGATCGGTCAGGATCTCACCAAAGACCGTCTCGCCCATGAGGCCAACCCGGTTATATCCGACGTCATTTCGCATCGCCCTCATGACAGTCCCGTGTGCCTGGTCGAGGTACCACTCCCAGCCATGGCGCTTTGTCAAACTGGGGTATGCCCGCGCCACCCGGTAGAGGGACCAGTAGGCAGCGGCGACGTGAACATAGTTGTATGCACGGTCGATTGTGGACGCCGCAGCCCGGTTCCACGATGTCCAGCTCGTCCAGTCGAGGCTCGTGTCATACGAATAGCCCGGCACGGCGGCGGGCTCGTAGAAGAAGAGACTCTTCCGTACGCCGAGGTCGGCGGTTTGGAGTCTCGGACGCAGCACACCGTCCACAAACGCCTCAAGCTTGGCCACCTCGTCAGCGTTGGGCTGGATGGCTTGCTTCATAAAGGCAGACAGGAAGGACCCAGCCCCACCCTCATCGCTAAGCCCAGCCACCCACGCCCGCGAGTCTTGTGTCACGATGGACCTTGTCTCGTAGTCGTACGTCATGACAGACGGGGCGCGGCCGAAGGGATCCGACAAGTCGTCGAACCACTGGGCGGTGGTGAGGAATCGGCCAAGGTCTGCCACGGCCTCGGTCGAGGACTTGGTGATGTAGTAGTGGATCGTCTGGACCTTGCCGTCGGAGTACTGGATCCTGAGGTGTGAGCGACCCCATGCGCCCAAAGATGGCGTGACGGCGTACTTTCCTGATCCAATTTGGGAGACCTGCAGTGCCCCAGTCGGCTCCGAGCTAATGGACTGCACCACGGATGCCGACTGCAAGAACAGCTGCGCGGCAACTCCCCTCGGGACGATGTAGCCAGGCACGCCGACGGCTGTGGGCGTGCCCGTGCCGCGGACGGTGGCGTCAAGGTCACGCACGCCTCCCTTGGCCACCGAAAAGCGGACTCCAAACTGCAGCGACTCGCCTGGCTGTAGCGTCCTGGAAGAGGCAGGATTCCATGGTGTCTGGCCGCGCCACTCGGTCTCGGCCCATGCCTTGCTCAGCACCTGCCACTCGTACAGCCCCTCGAACGTCTGGCTGCCGTGCCAAGTCCCCTCGTAGCCGTTCTCCCACAGATTGCGATACGCCTCCATAGGGGTGTCGCCAAGGGGCGTCACAACAAGAGCGGCGCCGGTGCCGCGGATGGGGGCGACGCGGATGTGGCCGGCGTGCATGCCGATGTAGGGGTCGGACAGGGAACAGAGGCGCTGCATGTCCGATGCATGGCGGCCCGTGAAGATGCTGTTGAACTCAGCTGGGAAGCCAAGGCTGCCCAGCTCGACTGCCTGCGAGCCCGAGTTCTGGATGATGAAGCGTAGGCCAAGATCGCCCGACACGTCCAGCCATTCGCGTGTGATGTTGAGGGGGCCCGCAGTACTGCCCAAGGTCGGACCAAGAAGTGACGATAATAAGACGCCGGGAGACGGGGTGGCCACAGCAGGGACGGCTCGACGAGCAGTGGAGGAGTCGCCGGATGTCCATGCTGCGTCGCCCGCTCGTCGGTAGCGGAATGTGATGTCGCCCCAGTGATATTGGCCGTTGCGCGCCCGTAGGGACAAGTAGTCGAATGGCAAAAAGTCGAAGGCATCGCCTGTCGGCTTGAGCGAGACAAGCACTTGGGCATCACGCACCAGCTGGAGGTTGAAGTTGGCCGTGGTCAAGTTGATGTAGCCGTTGCTGAGACCTAGGTTGTCCTGGCCGGCGACGCCCGCCAGGACGAGACCCGAAAGCAGGAGGAAGCCCTTGGATATCGACGTCATCTTCTCCACGGCGAGGAAACAAACCCTGCGGCCCAGAGCTAGGGCGTGCGGGAGGAGCCCAGCAGCGCGCAACCACTCTAAAGTATTGTCCGGTATTGTCGCCATCCTTGGTGACGCCGGCATCCGAGATAGCGCGATGCTACCTTGGGCGGCTCGTGGCTTGGGCGGCATTGGCACGAAGGCAGAAGCGGAAGGAGGAGCTTGGTTCATCGGTGATTACGCGATACGAGGGGAGGATACAACACTGGAGTCGACAGCCCCCTGGCAGCCCCTCCCATCTTGTGGTGACGTTCTGCCATGGTGACGCTGTTGTTATCAGTCGGGCTATTGCTGAGCGAGCGCCAAAAATGGGATGGGGAACTTTGTGAAAATGCGACTGGGGAGGAGGGGTCCACGGTCCATGTGCCATGTGTGGGGTAGGTGGGGATGGTGGATGCCGCTTTCATCCATGTTGTTTTTCGTCTACCCAACTCCTTCTGTTGTTTCCTTTCTCTTCCCGCTCCTCCGCTGCAATTTCCATCGTCCTGCGCATCAACCCCGCGACCGTTCCCCACGATTAATGGCGACCCCATGACTGCTGAGCGGCTCCAGCCAACTGCTACGTCAGCCCCGTCCTCCTCGCGACAAGCGTGAACTGCCGTCGACCGGCGCCCCCCCCTCTACCCTTGTCAGCCGAGTCCACAGCGCCTCGAGCGTTGTTTTGCCCGTATCATGAGCAAGGCCAGCCATTCCGCCCGACCCACCCCCGTCGCTCGATCGACCTCCTTTGGGTTGCGTATAACGCTTCATATATCGTGGGGTTTCCAAACTCCTATACAAAATCGAATTCTCTCTCTTCCGCATCCTGAAAAAATGGAGCTTTGCCCGTGTCCCCAATGAACAAGCCGACATGGCATATCCGCGCCCCATTCGACCCAGCCTCTTCGGCTACTAAAACCCCATATACTATCTCGTAACTACCCGCCTGGGTCGCGGCCTTTCTCTCATCGGGCTTTAGGAGAAACCAGCTGCTAGCTTGGGTTGAGGCAACCAGGGCGCAGTCCAGCAGACGAGGAGCAGTAGTGTGGCTCTCCTCATAGTCGAGCTCAGCGAGTGCTGGTGCGAGCGGCTCGTCGTGCTTATTATACGGGAACGAGTAGTCAATCACGGCGGAGCCAATGATCTCCTCGTTGCGGACGCCCTCTTTCGTCATATCAACGCGATACCTTCCCCTCGCTGCGTCCCACAAGCCGGCGTCGTAGCAGCTTTGGAGCCGGCGGCGGCCGTCAATCAGCTCCGGGGGACCTGGGCGGTACCCGAAATTAACGAGGACGCGCTTTACCGGGCAGCGGATTCGAAGGTGCTCGCCCGGGAATATCCTCCCAAACATGTCTGTCCCTGGACTCCTCAAGATAGTTATGCGGCTTGCGAAGGCCTCCTTGAGACGAGCCCTGCTTTCCAGGGCCTTCCGCACCCACCGGGGGGATATGCTGCCGTCGAACCAGAGCCGCGACCATGACGGGTAGCTTGTGATCTGGCCATGGTCGTAAACAAACCCGAGCCTCGCTACCTCGCCGTTTGTCCGCTTATGTTTTTCTTCCGTGGCCCAAAGCAGCTCCATGGCCAAGTTCTCCAGCCACATGCCCACAAGATAGGGTTTTCCACCTCGGTACAGCTCCTTAATGGAATGGATGGCGAGCAGCTTGTCATCCAGGACGGAAAGTAGCCTGGACGAATAGTCGCCGACCACCGAAGCCCACCGCAATGCGGGGTCGTCGGCGACTGCATCACAATCGGAAGCGCCTGCGGCCCCAGCCAGCAATTCGGAAGATTTCAGTATCTCGCCCAAACACACGGCTGACAGATAGTCCTCACGGGAAGGCCCGCCTCCGTTCCAGGTCGCTTCGCGGCACACCCGGTATGGCTGCCAGGAGGAGAAGATGAGCAGGCGGGATGATAAGATGGCTTCCTGGAACGTCCAGCCCCTTTTGTGGAGATGCTCGTCGTTTATCTCCTGGTAGCTCGACAGCGGACACCAACAGGCCTCCGTCATCTCGCTGCCAAGGCCAGGAACGGGAGCCTGGAACAAAGGCTTGATTTGCTTCCCCAGGAAACCGTCTGTGCAGCCGGCGGCGCAGGCCGCCGCGATGGTGAAGTTAGCTTGGGCGTAGATATCGCCCATGGCGGCGATTTCGGCATTGCGGTCGTCGTCATCATCCTGGATCATACAGAGCGCGTCGACCCAAAGGTGGCGGACGCTAAGGCGCTTACAGAGCGTGACGGCATCCTGGATTGTTTTCGGCAGTGACAAGAAGTCAATTCCGGCCCGATGCTGGTCGGCGTTTGACTTGAGAGTTCGGAGTTGCGCGTGTTTTGCCGCGTCGCCCCAGCAGTAGCTAAGGGCGACGTACTCTGGTCCGGGCTCTGGGTGCGTGATTTCCACAACCCTAATACTTGGGGAAATGGAGGCGCTACCAACGTTAAGGAGACGCTTCGGGGACCCCGATGATGATTTGTTCCTGGCGAGGCAATGATGGTGCGAGCCGCATTCACGTATCCAGCCGCGGACGACGTCGACCGTCGAGTCCGAGTTTGTGTCCCACAGAGGTGGCCGATGGGAGATGAACTTGGAAGCGGGCGAGTCTTCCATGCATGCCCATCAGAATAGACACAAACCGCTGAGTTAAATGGGGCATTGATACTGACCATGATCCGCAAATAATAGGAACCCGTCTTCGGGCCAGCCAGATCCTACGTCCACCTCAATCCCGCAAGGGTCGGTCGGCAACAGTGGCTCCTAGTACCGGAACCGCAGCGCGAAGGAGTCGCCGCTGCTACCCGAAGGCAGGAGCCGAGCCATTTCTCCCCACAGCCGCCGGGCGCGCGAACCCGTCTCGTCGTTCTCTGCCCTGTGGCGGTCCATCTTTTCGAGCAAATGGGTGAGCTCGCGACAAAGAGGACATGTCGTCGACTGAAGAGTGGTGCGACGGCCTCGATAGACGAGGCAAGGCTGCCTCCTTCCATATCGACCTAAGGCTCGTCGCCAGCCTGTCGCCGGTGGCGGGGTTCTCCAACTCGCGAGTTCGTCGCTGCGGCGGCCGCCGAGGGAGGGCTTCCACTTTGTGGACAAGACATTTTTGCACGTGTCGCAAAGGACTGTTTCCATAGCATCTGTCCTTGTTTCGATAGTAGCAATTTATTTGGTAGCAGGCATACCACTGTGGCCGAGGGCAAAAACGGGGAGGAAACGCATCTCTTGTTAGCAGCACACCACGAGCACTGCGCAGCTGAACACTCTCCCTGTCCATTTCAGCTGGCGCCTTTCCCAATGCAGCCAAGCGGCTTCTAAATTTGATATGCCCCAATGCTCCCAAGAATTGGAGACCGGCTCGGAACAATGGCGGGAGGGAAGCTCAGGGACGCTAGAGCGCAAGCACGGGTATCCCTCGGCTGGGTGGGGCATCCGCTCCGCGACAAGGACTCGGTGTGCTTGCTCATCTCGGCTTCCAGTTTGCCAAAGGAGCCCGCGATCGATACAACCTACAGTCCTACAAAGCATGGATCAGACACAGCCGACGCGCCGCATATATCGTGTAAGTGCCTGCCTTATCTATTCTCGAACATCGCTGACATCAGTCAGGCGTGCCGGAACTGCGCTAGGCGAAAGGTCAAGTGCAACGGCGACCCCACCAGCTGCCAGCAGTGTAGCCACCTCAACCTCAAGTGCGAGTACGGTCCGCTCGATCCCTTAGCCAAGAGCAGGAGCCACGCCGTCCGTGGGTCTGTGATATCTCGGCTCCAGCAGGAACGCGGTGCGTCCTCTTCGCCTGCGCGGTCGCTAGCTCCAGCTGGCAGTAAGGCAGTCGTCGCCGCTGAGGATGGACCGAGCAGCCGCATCGAGGTGTCACCCGGGCTGCCTGAAAAATGGAATCCCGACTTTTTCCACAGTTTGGTGTCCCGCTACGAGAGCCAGGTGTACCCAGTCAACCCCATAATACCTGCCGCCGAAGTGCACGCCTCCATCGCTCGCCTTGACGAAGGACCGGCTGACTTTGCATTCGTGTGCGCCTTTGCTGCCTTGACGCTGAACTTGACAACGCCCAGCTGGAAGTCTCGACTCGACGACACTGCCACCATCTCGGACCTCGTGGCGCGCGCATCCAAGGCTCAGAACTCTATCTTGGCGTCTGCCTTGTGCATGACGGGCGGCGGTATCCAGCCATACCCGCACGAGCGGTTCATCATGACGGCCGTCTTCCTAGAGATCTGTCTTATGGCCTTCGATCGCTACAACGAAGCTTTTCTGTGCCTGCGCGAGGCCGCCGCCTTGGCGCAGCTGCTCCGCGTTGACCAGCTACTGCTATCACAAAGAGACGACGATGAGGATCCTTGCCGAAGGCCAAGTCCTATCTATCCGGTGTCATCTCCACCCCTGTTGCCACCGTCGGAGACTGCTCGCCGCATCCGCATGTACTGGGAGGTCTTCATCCATGAGCGCTTCTTAGCTATCATCGCGTACCTCCCTCCATCTCTGCCCCCACTACCCCTTGGGCCGACGCTTCGGGCCCTGAGGAACGACCAATCGGTGCCCGCCTACATTAACGCGGGTTTCTCCAGCCTTATCGAGATGTTTACCATCATAGACGCCGACTTCTTGCGCAACTGGCTCGGCCCCGACAAAAGCGGCATCACGCCGGAATGGATAGAAGCCAAGCGGCTACAGCTCGACACCCTCGAATTCCTCCCATCAGATGCCGAAACCCCGGCCAGCAGCCCTGCAAACCCCACCGGAACGACCGCTGTTGGCGACCACCCACAAGGATTCGTCGTTCTAACGACGCTCCAAAAGGCCGACCTGGTCATCACGCGACAGTGGATGCTGACACTCCTGTGGCAAATGGCCATTTCCAACTGCCAGCTGCGGTCGACCTGCTCAGCCGAGGCGCAGGCCGCGACGGCGGGTCCCTCTCCCACTACGGAAGCCAACGACATGTCACTGCAGCTGCCCGTGCGGCTGTCGCAGCAGCTGCGACGTGTGGTCATCCAGCTGGGGCGGCGCAGCATCGAGCTCAATGGCACGGGCATCGTGCAGAAGCTGTTCGAGATCACCAATACGTTTGGCGACGTCATCATACACGTCCCGCCCTCGGGTGGGGAGCCAGAAGCCCGACAGCGCCGTGACGATTTCACATTTTTGCTCGACTTTTTGCGCGACTTCTCGGCGCTGAACAAGACACAGGAGCAGATCCTCGCTGATAAGTACGCGCTCGTCCTTTCCGCCGCCACTGGTTAGGGACCGCCGCGGCCGGTCGAGGCGGGATAATACGTACATTTCCAGTGAAATCCCCCATATTTACTGCATCTGCTCGTCCACGTGAACCGCCACCGCGTCGGGCAGGCCATCCCCTCCCACCCAGGCCACCTCAACCCTCGACTCCTCTGCCTTTTCTGCGCTGGCGTTGGGAGCCATCTTCCCCATGTTGTCTTTGAGCTGGTGCGGCATATCGACCACGGTGGACTTGAACTTGCGGGCCGACACCTTTGCCTCGAACAGCAGGTCGAGCTCAGCGTAGGTGCGGCCGCGCGGCTCGGGGACGCGAAAAAAAGTCCAGACAAGGGTGAGGGCGCAAGTGCCAGCCCAAAAAAATCCCGCGCGCGCCCCCCAGTTCCAGGCCGTGGGGTTGAGCATGGAGGGGGTTATGATGTTTGTGACGATGGAAAGTAGGTTGTACAGGTTGCGGGCCAGGACGACGGTTTTGATCTTGAGGCGTGTGCTGCTTAGCTCCGAGACGAGCGAGTAGCACACGGGGCCGACGGTGCAGTCGTACACGAAGGTGAAGAGCAGCAGCAAGCTACCAATGGCCCACGACACGGGCGCGTTGTGCGTGCCCGCCAGCGAAACGAAGCCGATCAAGGCCAAGATGACGATCATGGCAGCCTCACCCGCCAAGTAGAGGGTGCGGCGGCCGAACCAGTTCATCAGGAACCACGAAAAGAAGACCCCGAGGCCGCCGAGGCAAAACTGCACCAAGGTCATGGTGAAGGCGTTGCTGGTGCTGAGGCCGGCCTGCTGGTAGAAATAGGACGAGAAGCCCATGATCGAGGCGCCGCACAGCACCTGCACGACCCAGACGCCGCACACGATCTCAGTCCGGCGCAGGTCGACGCCCCTGAAGCAGTCAGCATACGACATCCCCTCGGACGTCTGCTTCTCGATGCTGTCGGTATACGACATCATGGCGATGGCCTTGTCAGCGTCAAAGTCGGGGATCGCGTCACGATCCGTCAAACGCAGCACCGCCTGTCGCGCCTCGGCGATGCGCCCCACGCGCACCAGCCACCAGGGAGACTCGGGAGCGAGAAAGATGGCGGTACCAACGACAATGGGCCAGATCTGGCGGAGAGCACAGCGTCAGCAGGTTTCCTTCAAGGATAAAAAAAATAAAAATTGGAGGATGAACCTACCCATTGCAGCGCAAAGGGGATCCGGAAAGCCCAGTCGTCGTTGCGTTCAACCAGACCCTTGAGCACGCCAGAAGCGATGATCTGACCAATAACCCAACATAGGTTGACGTAGGTGGTCAAGTAGGCGCGCAGCTGCGTGGGGCAAACGTCCGACGCATAGGTGCAGGCCTGCGCGTATGTTAGTCAATGCTGGTGATGACATGGGGTGCCAGAACTAGGACTGGGAAAGGACCCACCAGAGTTTGGAAGAAGCCCAATGGGACACCCATGGCGGTCTGGCCTACAAGGAGAACGACAATGTTGGGCGCGAAGAATGGGATGAAGATGAAGGCCGCAATTAGGCTCAGGCCCGAGAGCATAGTCCGCCTGTACCCGAAGCGGTCGGCCAGGTAGCCGGCGATCCAGAGGCCGATGATCTGTCCGATGTAGGAGCCGTTGGACAACCCGCTCTGCCACGCGGCCGTGAGCTCGTATGAGCCGTTGGGCTGCAGCTCGCCAAACTTGCGCTGGAACGCGGGGAAGGCGTAAAAGGTGCCAATCAGGATGATGTCGAAGCCTTCCATAACGATAGCTGTCGACAGGGCGATGGACCAAAAGACGGCCTTGCGGTACAGACGCAGGGACTGCAGCAGGGATAGCGACTGCTCCAGCCGCCCGCCAGCCAGAGCCTCGTCGGCCGTGCCGACCATGTTGGCAGGCGCTGTGGCGTGGGGAGGCAGATGGACGGCCTCGTCTCCTTGCGGGGCCTGGGCTGTGGGGCTCATGATGGATCGGCGGGTTTCCTTGGGTTGTCGGGATAGCTTTGGATAGGAGGTGGAGACGGCCGAGGCCCGAGAGCTGGGGGGGGCTGCCAAAGTCCTGCTGGGCGAGACACTTGTTGGATATCGAAAGGTGGTCACGATAATGGGATTGATGCCCCCGAAAGTGGCAGCTGCTGAGGCGCCTTATATACCCACAACAAACGACCATCGCGACAAGATGGACTGGCAAGCCCCCAACTTGATGGCCGAGTGCTTTGCAGCCACGAGCACATGGCGCCCGCGGGGGGAATCTGGGGAAAGCATCTCGGACCGACGTTGGGCCAGTTAGCGTCGAAGATTGGCTTAGAAAGCCGAGCGTCGTGCGGGTGTGGGGAAGGGGGAGGCAAAAGCTCTTGTCTGATGCAACGTCAAAGTTGGGAGAATCCGGAGAAGGCGAACTAATGAGCAAACGCTACCACTAGCACCATCTACCGGAACCTGGGGTGTGCGTCGATGAGCAGGGTGGTTGTTCAAACATGGCGCTTCCACCCCCGCCAATCTCCCACGCCACAATCCGTCTTGGTGGGTTGATTTAGCCGAGTAAGTGCCGGGCTGCTGAGGTCTCGCCTTAACCGCACCCAACGGCCAGCCACACGGCGCCAGCTGAGTACGCTAGCGCCTTGGACTTTTCTGTCGAACCGACATTCGCCCAATTAGGAAACCGTCCATCTCGGTCCGAGATTAAGCCAATGACAACGCGGCCGACCAAGTCCCGAAGCCCACCCCCGCGCATCACGGGGATGTTTACATGCACTGCCCGCGTCCTGGCTGCGGCGCCTCCTGACAAGATGACAAGATAACATTTTGCGGCCTATATAAGTCAGTTGAGTCGACAGATTGGGCATGGCCATCGTGTTAGGCGGTGGCTACAGCCGCCGGTTCGAAATTTTCTCCAAGCTTTCCCTCCTTTCTCTTTTCCCCTCCCGTTGCCATGGCCGACGTTGCCTTATCCCGCTCGCATTCGAAGAAGTGGTGGAAGGAGGCAGTCGTGTACCAGGTCGGTAACCTGTCCCAATGTACCCTCCGATTTTGAGAGCATCCATCAATGCTAATTAGCTACAAATTGTTTTTGCTCCCCCAGGTGTACCCCGCCAGCTTTAAGGATGCTAATGGGGATGGCGTTGGCGACCTGCCCGGCATCGTCGAAAAGCTGGACCACATCCAGTCCTTAGGCGCAACTGTCGTTTGGATTTGCCCCATGTAAGTCAAGCTTACCTTTCTTGGCTAGCCCAAGACTCTCATTTAACATGCAGTTGCGGCCCCAGGTATGACAGCCCTCAAGTGGACTTGGGCTACGACATACGCAACTATGAGGAGATTTACCCACCTTACGGCACCATGCAGGACATGCAAAACCTTATCGACAGCTGCCACGCCCGCGGCATGCGCATCATCCTCGACCTCGTTATCAACCACACTTCGAACCAGCACGCTTGGTTCCGCGAGTCGCGCGCTTCCAAGGACAGTCCCAAGCGCGACTGGTACATCTGGCGGCCCGCCCGCCGCGGCCCCGCCGGCGAGCGTCTTCCGCCCAATAACTGGCGGTCCAACTTTGGCAGCGGCGTGTGGACGTGGGACGACGCCTCGCAGGAGTACTACCTCCATCTCTTTGCGCCCGAGCAGCCTGACCTGAACTGGGAGAATGTCGAGACCAGGAAGGCCGTGTATGCGTCGGCGATGGAGTCGTGGCTGCTCAGGGGCGTGGACGGGTTCCGCGTCGACACGGTCAACATGTACTCCAAAACGCCGGGGCTGCCCGACGCCCCTGTCGTGAACCCGGCGCAGGAGTGGCAGTTCGCCGCGGGCCAGTTCTGCAACGGGCCAAGGATGTACGAGTACCTGGATGAGATGAATAAGGTTATGGAAGGCTACGACACCATGACGGTGGGTGAACTGCCGCACACGCCGGACCTCGAGAGGGTGCTCAAGTACGTCTCGGCGGCGGAAAAGAAGCTGGACATGGTCTTTCAGTTTGACGTGGTCGACACAGGTTAGTTGTATTCCCCTTCCTCTGCTTCGGACTCGCGCTAATTTGTGGGAGGCACAGGCTCTGGAGCCGACGTCAAGTACGACACGAAACCTTTTAATTGGACGCTCCCAGAGTTCAAGCGCAGGGTCCTGCGAACGCAGTCTCTCATCACCGGCACCGATGCCTGGACCACCAGCTTCCTCGAGAACCACGACCAGGCCCGCTCCATCAGCCGCTTCGCCTCGGACGCGCCAGAGCATCGCGTACAGTCGGGCAAGCTGCTCAGCCTGCTTACCTGCACCCTGTCCGGCACGCTCTTTGTGTACCAGGGGCAGGAGATCGGCATGGTCAACATGTCCCGAGATTGGCCCATGGACGAGTACAAGGACATCGAGTCTGGCAACTACTACCGCGAGGTCCAGGCTAAAGTTAAGGGCACCCCAAACGAGTCTGCGGCACTGGCTGCCGCCAAAGCCAGCCTGCAGCACCTGGCACGGGACCACGCTCGTGTGCCCATGAGCTGGGATGCATCCCCGCAGGGCGGCTTTTCGACCAACCCGACGACCTGGATGCGCACGCACCACCTGGCGAGCGAGATCAACGTGGCGTCCCAAACAAACAACCAGTCGAGCGTGCTGGAGTTCTGGCGGAAAGCACTGCGGCTACGGAGGGACCACGCCGGAGTGCTGGTGTATGGCGACTTCGAGATTGTAGAGATGGAGGACCCCAGCACCTTCGTCTACACTAAGCGCAACGGGACAGAGACAGCCCTGGTAATGCTGAACTTCACGGCTGGACGCGTGGACACGAAGGTTCCAGAAAAGTTGGCCGGTGCCCCATTGCAACTCGTAACATCGACATACGAGGATGGTGGCATGGCTGGGAACTTGCGCCCGTTCGAAGGACGGCTGTATCTGGCGCCAGAAAAATCACAATAGCGCGTGGGTGGAAGCGGGGACTGCCGGTTCATTAACCGAAATGATGGTGGTGTGGATGTTGTTCTCGCCAAGACCCTCACAGTGCGGTATTTCTTAGCGCGGGGCGTCTCGGGAGCAACCCCTAGCGTGCCAAGCCAACCCCGCTCACTCTATCATCTCACGCCACTCCATCCCTTCGTGTCCTCCAGTGCCTCCCTTCAACAATCACCGCCTGACTGCAACCAAACTTATGCCCTCCCTGCAGATCGCACCACCGTCCTGTAGCAGCGTTGTGTTACCTTGCAAGGACTACAACCCCGCTCCCTGCGCGCAAAGTCGGCACCAACTGAAAGAAATAAGCCGCACACTTTAGGAAGACCAGCAAGCAAAGTGGGGTAAATGTCTCTGGTCTGATTGGCTGCTCCCGGCATTTGTGGCCAATGATTGGCTAAAAATTTTAAAGTGTGCTGTTTTTTGTTTTCAGTTGGTGGTCGGTCAGCGCACTTCCCACTGCTTTTCGAGCTTGATGAACTGTGGCCCAGCACCTTGTCCTTTGTGGACAATTTGGGGGCGGTCTTGTTATGGGCTGCAAAGGCAGCGTCCCAGTCGGACGAGACGTTGACCATATTTTCCACATCCAGGGGCTGCAGCTGCAAATCCGACGAGTCGTCAGAAGTCGTCATGGCGAGAGTTTCGAGCCCCGGCTGCCTGTGCTTCTTGGAGCCCTTGCTGCCGAACCCCAGGCCGCTGCCCTACCAGTGCTCCCATCGCTGCTGCGGCCCCCACGCCACAGAGGGCGCAGCAAGGGCACACAGGCCAACGTGAGCCCCACAGAAGGCTCCACGCCGGAAAAGAGGGTGGCCAATAGGCCAGAGTGAGGCATGTCGAGAAAGTTGAGTCCCTGTAGCGTGATTTGGCGGTAAACTGTGATGCCGCATGCGGCGAGCCCGACGCTGAGCATGGCGGCCACTGCAAACTTCCGCCTCAAAGGCATGGAGAGGCTGTAGATAACGGGCATGGGCATGGCTAAAATGATAACCTCGAACACGATGTTGATAACTCCCAGGCATGTGTAAAAGAGCGGCTGGTCGCCGCAGTGTCCCTGGATCGTTTGGTCCCAGTTGCGAGCGAATGGCTGGCACATAGCGAACGAGGCTATGATGGAAGACAGGCACCAGAGGATGAGAAAGACCCCGACGACGCGGGCCGCGAGCAGCATGCGGGGAACCGGGAAAAGCGTCGTGTATAGGAAAAGAATCGAAAGCTTGGTGAACATGGTGGTGGCGCTCCAGATAAGCGCGAAGGACAGGATACCTGGAGACAGTGGTTTTCGAGTTAGCGCTGCACGACTGATCCTCAAGAGCCGTTCCTGAAGAGAAGACAAAGAAGGGATCTGTCAAACCTTGAAAAAGGGGAGTGTTATATCACCCCGTACGTATTGCTATTTGACCCCGTGTTCATCCGTGCACACGTGCGAGCATCGCCGCATACCGTCCCACAGGCCAAATTGAATGTACCCAAATGGCAAGCGATGTTCTCCCATGTTAATCACGTCAATTCATAAAGTTACTAGTTCAATTCCCCGTATTGCACGGTCGTTGGCACGGCCGTTCCTTTTTGCACCGGTTGACAAGCAGATCCAGGCATAAATCCGGCCTGGCCTAACCCATTAAAAGCCCGCTTTCCTTATTAAAGCCCAATCCCCAATTTTTTTCTTTTTGCCTTTTTAATTTTTGCAACAACGTTAACCCTTAATACCAAAAAAACCAGCGATTTTTATTAATCCGGCCTTATTCCGATTAACAATGCTTTTTACCGCTATTTAGCCTTCGCGCAATAAAGCTTTTAATGCTTTAAAAGCGCGCGCGTACGCAAAAGGCTATAGCTTAATGCTAAAAAACAATTACCGGAACAAAACCTTTAACGAAATTACCCGTACCCGATTGCAATGCGCCAAAGCGGGCATTCCTAACCCGACCGCTTCCGTTAAGCATACGCACGAAGCAAAAAAACGTAAAATAAATACGAAAAAAACGAATTGTGCTTGGCAAACGGCTTTCCGGCGCACGGCCAACGGTTGGATTAAAGTCCGGCTTACCAACGTTAAATACAACCACCCCTTCGCCAATAACCCTGCCGCTTTTTCGAGCTTTAAGCGGGAATTTTTGCAAATTTAAAAAAAACGGATTTTCGCCTTTTGGAAAGTTAGCTTCCGTCCGGCAATAATTATAGCAAGCTTTAAAGCAAAAAAAAAGGATGGGGGTTTTAAAGTTAACTTTTGGAAAAAGGATTTGTATAATTATTTGCAAACCCAACGAAAATGCGAATTGGCCGGGCGCACGTTAATTTAATAGCTTTTTAATGTAATTCCCCGGCATATTATACCTTTTATTAATTAATAGCGCTAATTTAACTTTGTGCTTTATTTTTTTTTAGCAATTAAATGGCTTAACGGAAATTTACTATCGAAATTAGCGCAACGAAACCGGCCGCATCGAACGATTATTTTTTGCACCCTTTTCCGCTTTAAAGCTATTTGCAATAACGCCCGACGTTATTGCATTCGATTGCACGTATAAAACCAATAAATTTAACTTTCCCATGCTTAATATATGCGGTGTTTTACTTATACGGAAAAGCTTTTCCTTCGTTACCGTATTTGTAAATAACGAAAAGGAAAATTCCTTTTTATAAGCAATTAACGCTTTAAGCACTTACTTAAAGGCTTAAAGCTACTTAATGCCGAAGCTTATTGTTACGGATCGAAATTTGGCTTTAATTAAAGCTATTAATACCGATGCAAAGCTGCACGCGGTGCTTAAGCTCCTTTGCAAATGGTACGTTAATATAAACGTGCTTGCCAAAACCAAGCCTTTTTTCCCTTGCGCACAAAAAAAGCCTGGCCCCGGCGGTTGTTAAATACGGCACAAATCCTTTCAAACCTTTTTTTAAGCCTGGAACAACCTTTTCGCTTCCTTTACGGATCGTATATACGAAAAAAGGCTTTAAACCTTTAAAGGTTTCGAAAAAAAGGCTATTACTTACGCATGCAGCACGTAACTAACCCCTTTTAAAAAAGCTATCGTTGCTTGTTAAGTAAACCGATACAAGCATTTCGGGGTCCGCACTACCTTAATCGTTAAATTTTTGCATGCAAAAATAAAGCTTTTTATTAACAAATTAAACGGCAACCTTATTACCGTTTTTAAATGCTTACGGCTATATTAAAAGGCCCAATACAACGATTTCTTTGCTTTACGAGCTGCAAGCATAAATAAAGTGCCTTACGGCTTTACCACGGCAATTTAGCAAAGCGTGCGTGCTAAGGTTGTGCCGCAAGCGTTATTAACGATAAAGCGGTTAATCCGGGGCTTACAAGCGGAAAAGGCACTTAACGAAGCCGGCAGCAATTTTCCCGCCTTTTTTTCCTTTGCCTTTCTTTATATTTGCACAATTACAATAACGCACGGGCTGCTTTGCGGGCACGTTATTTTGGCTTTGCAAGCCGCCAACGAAAGTTTAAAAATAAAGCATTTCGATTTTTACTAGCATTGGATCCGCGTTAACGAAAAGGTTTAAAAAGCTAAAGCCGGCTTTTTTGGGTTATTTGCCCGCCCGGGCCTTTTCGATCCTTTGCTTATCCGATTAAAAAGCCGGTTTAAAAATGCTTTAAACCACGCTTTGGCATTAACAAAACGGAACCTTTCCCTTTTCAAAGCAACGGCGGTTTAAAAAGCCCGAAATGCATTGCCGCCGCCCTTTTCGGCCTTTGCCAAATTACAAAGCAAAGGCCGGCTTTAAAGCCGTAGCTTTGGGAAAGGTAAAGGCTAAGGCCGTAAGCGAGGAAAAAATGCCAAAAAGTTACGGGCTTTAACCCTTGCCGGGTTAGGGTTTAAAACCTTTGCAGTTAATTTGGGAAATGGGCTTTCGGCCTTTAACTTATTTACCAACGATTTCGACTTTTCCCTTTCTTCCCTTTTTTCGCACGAATTTTGGAACCCCCAATTCCAATCCCACCCGGGTAACCTTTACGAGCCCGGCACCGTTGCACCCCAAAGGTTTGCCCGCTTTTTGCAGCGCTTAAAGTACGCTAAAAAGCCTTTTAAAACCGTTAAAAGGATTTTGCAACCTACCTTTATTCCGGATATAAAAAACGTTTTGCAGCGATTCGAACTTATAACCCTGCTTCGCAACAATTTCGCCGATATTCCGGTTACAAAGGATTCCGGATTTTATAACCGTTTGGTGCAATATACGCAAGCAAAGTTACAAAGATCGGCTAAATCGGTATTATTATGCATTGTTATTGCAAATTAGCCCGTTATATTAATATTATTGCAAATAGCTTTACTTTTTTGTTATTGCTACCAATTCCCGGCATTATCGCTTTTTTTCTTTTTGCTTGCCCCCGTTTCTTTACGGGGATTTGATTTTAATGCTTCCCGCACGTTACTAACAAACATAATTACGTTATTGACAGGCATTGATCGACCAGGAAAAGCACGGATCCCCGCCCAAATTAGTCGAGGTACCTTAACAGTTTGTATTGCACGGTAACTCCGCTATTTTGGGGTTAAATAGCAATACGTACGGGGTAATATAACACTCCCCTTGAAAAAGGTCGCCAAAGGCTCAGGGCCAAACCTTGCAAGAATTCCAGTAACGTGAAACCCAAAGGCGCCATTGAAGACCATGACCCAGCAATCGATGTGAAGAGCTGTGTTGAAGAACTGGTGATACCGAAGGGCGGTATCTGTTAGCACGCTGGCGTGGTCTGGCTCGTTGAGCGCGGCTCTTACCAGTGCAGCGAGGATGCAAAACGAGCTTGCATCAAACCCGCGAGATACTCTCCTCCCAGCCACAAAACGGAGTGTGACTAGTGCGATTGGGAGGAAGATGCAAATGCCCGAGGAGGCTAACATGGCCATCTGGCTGCCACGCTCGATCGGGATCGGCAACTCGTAAGTTGGCGGAGCCACCTGCGGGTTCGTAGTGTTGACTGACATGATGTCTTAATCAGAGGTGCGAAACGAAGCTGGCAGCAACCTTCGTTGTGGCAGCGACAAGGACTAACGACGACGCCGAAAGTTGGGGATCGGAAGAAGTATATCGTCGGGGCCGTTCCCACATGTTGCTTTGCCGGCGGGAGCGTCGCTGGATACCGGGGGATTGGAAATCCGCTGTACAAGATCACCACTCCATGGGAAGGGATGAAAATATGCACATCTCCAATGATCCTGGCTCGTCGTTACGGTAGAAGGCCAAAGCTCGATTGTCCAGACCAAGAAGCGCAACCGGGAGAGACAACTACGAGGCCCCAGGGTAATCGCCGCGTGTATCCCTTTTTTCAATGGCTAGAACCACTTCGAACGCCTGACAAAGAGGGGGTTCCTTACGCGGCAAGGTGGGCAGGCGAAAAGGGGGATAGTGTCGACGAGTGATGCCCAGTGTATTGATGTTGCTCGTGCTGCAAGGGAAGCGAAGCCCCCTGGTATATGCAGGGGGTGAAAAGAAATCACCAACGTCCAGTCTGCCAAGCACTCCCCCGCGAGCTCGCTTCGGGGTTGGGACGAAGGGAGGACATCCATGACAGCGGTGTAATGGCATGTGGTTTCCTACCTCCCCTTCATAGCCACGTACGCCCCCTTTCCCCCCCGGCTCCCCTCACCTATTCATTTGTTTTTTCCTGTTACCCCAAAGAATCACACCCAGTTCACACAGTAACCGTTTCCTCGACTCCATTCTTACGCTCATTCTCTGGAATCTAATAGCATAACCAACTCCCCGGGCACTATGGGCTCGATTGCTGTAGCCACGATGGACGAAGGGAAGGTAGCCTTCATCACCGGCGGAAGTGTTAGTCCGCTCCCTCTGAACCCCTGATTTGGTGCCAAGCTGCAATGTGAAACGGTTGGCTACGGAAAAGGGCTAACCATCTAAAAAAAAACCCCCCGATCAACGGAGCGGCATTGGCAGGGACCTGGTCTAGCATCTACATGCGAAAGGCTACCGCATCGCCATCTCGGCGAGACGTCAAAAGGAGGGCGAGGCAGCGGTGCAGGCGCTTGACCCGTCCGGCCCGACGGCCATGTTCGTGCCCTGTGAAGTCTCTTCCTACGACCAGCAGGTGGCAGCGTTCAAGGCCGTCTGGGCCCGCTGGGGTCAGCTGGATGTCTTTGTCGCCAACGCTGGCATGGTGGACTCCGACTCCAAATACAACTTCACGCGGCGGAATGCTCCTGTTGACGATATCCCGCCCGAGCCACACACAAGCACGGTCGACGTGGATCTTAAGGGCGTGATCTATGGAACCGTCCTTGCCGTGCATTTCATGCGCCACAATCAGGGGCTGGCAGCGGGCGGGTCGCAGCAACCACGGGGGAGGATCATCGTTACAGGCAGCGGATTGGCGCTCAACATCGGTGTTACGTTCCCAGAATACGCTGCGGCAAAGGCTGGGGATACCCACTGGGTCTGCACCATGGCTCCGCTGCTCCTGCGCAAGGACAACATTACCATCAACATTGTGCACCCTGGCGCCTACGACACGACCATCTATCCTGGCTTTACGGACGCCTTCCTTCCCCAGCATCTCGTCGTTAGAGAAACTCTCATTGCGGCGTACGACCATTTCATCGAGAATGGGACCAGGGCTGCTGCGCAGCGGACGGGGATGGTGGTCGAGGTAGCTCACGACAAGCTCTTCTTCCATGACCTGCCCGAGGACAAGAGCGGCGACGTCGCACGTCGCAACGAGCTGCCTTATGAGCCCTGGTTTGCGGGTTTGCATGGCGAGGCCAGTGATTTCCCTCTGGCAATCACTCGGCCCTTTACGCAGGAGGAGAAGCAGGGCAAGTAACCCACCGTGTGGCACAAGGTTATCGCCGTAACAGGTGCCACTGGCACACAGGGCGGCGGTGTAATCAACATCATGTCCAAAACACCTGGCTGGAAGATCCGCGCCATTACAAGAGACCCAGACGGCGGGAAGGGCAAGGTGCTGGCTGCGCAAGGCTTCGAGGTTGTTCGGGCCGACTTTGACGACGAGGAGTCGCTGGTCAAGGCTTTCGAGGTAAGCTGTCCCGCCTCGAGGATCCCGGGCTTGGTCCTTGGCCACTGGTTAAAGTCACCGAGCTGACGTGCTGCTTGTGGTCTAGGGCGCTCATGCCGTCTTCGCTGTGAGCAACTGGTGGGAGCACCTGTTCCGGGGCAAAAGCGCCGACGAGTGCGGACCCCTGGAGGAGGAGCAGGGAATAAACCTGGCCCGCGCCGCTGCGCGCACGTCTTCGCTGGAGCACTGCATTTGGTCCAGCGAGCCGAGCGCGGCCCGAGTCTACCCCGCCGGCGTCGGAGTGGTGAAAGCTCCGCACATGGACTTCAAGAACAAGGTCAACGAACGGATCAAGTCCGAGCTGCCGCTCCTGGCTGCACGTACCACATTCTTGTGGCTAGGGTACTACCCACAGAACATGGCCTTCTTCCCTTGTCTCATCCTCACCTTCCATGTGAGTTTCCAGCAGCGCGCTCCAGTTTGTAGCATTGCTTTGGCATAATGTAATATAGGGCTTTTGTGCTAACGTCGCTAATTCATTCTCCCAGCCTGCACTTGGCAAGTATGTCCAAACGGTAGCCAGCGCACCCGACGCCAAAGTGCTGCTCGCCAGCGACGTGACTGTAAACACGGGCATTTGGGTACGGCAGGTCCTCGCAGCTGGACATCGCGCCCAACGTAGCCGCATCGCGAACGTCGTTCTCGAGCGCTGGACCTTCCAGCAAATGATGGACGAATGGAGCCTCATTACTGGCAAGCCTGGTGTGTATGTGCAGTGCACGGCTGAGGCGTATGAGCGGCTGTGGGGACCCGTGGGCGCGGAGCTGGCACTTCAGTTTAAGCTGGGGGAGCTGTGCGACCCCTGGGCCGAAACCACGGGCGAGTTCCTAACAGCGGAAGAGCTCAGGATTAACGACAAGGAAGTTGTTGGCTTTGCAGGCACGATTAAAAAGTTCCATGCTATGGGAATTTGGAATAAAGCGAAGTAAAAGTTGGTATTTTATTTAAAGCTGTAGCGTTTGCACATTGTATTATTACATAAATACAAAATCGTTGTTCATCCCTTTTAAAGCTCTCCGTGCCGTTTCAACAGGGGTACTAACTCCTACTAACACCCACCCTGTTTTCTGCTAGTTCATACCCTAACTCATTTCACTTTTGGCATTTCCCCACCGGCTTATGTATCCTTGCACGCTATAAAACTAGCTGAACCTCAAGATTACCACATTTGCCCCTCCTTCCTCATCTCCTTCCTCCAGCCGGTCGCCGGCGCCCCGCTGAGCGCCATCCTACCCAAGCCCTATAACCGTCAGGGCATGCGGCGCATTTCGTCAAATATTGTTAGCAGTGCCTCCCTAATGCTGTTATCCGGCTCGACAAAGTCCAAATGCTCGGCCGTCAGCAGAAAAATCCTCCTCACTATTTCCCTGTCTCGCACGACCGCGCCCCCGCCCTCCGCGACCGACTTCTTAACCAAGTCGACAATTAGCTCTGTCGCGTGGTCCAGCCTATTCGTCGCGTGGGCCTCCCACAGTAGCCATCTCACAACCTCTGCGACGGTGCCTTCAAACAGCTCCATTTCCCCCTCCGGGTTGGTGAGGCCCAGCAGTCCCGTCCCTGTTTTCAGCAACACCTGAGGCAGCTGGAGCGTTGTCCCCCTAACGAAGAGCGCCTCGATCCAGTCGGCGCATAGAGCCGGGTCCTTGGGCACCTTGTCCCGCAGGGTGGTCCGGATAGTCCGCACCAGACAATTAACAAGCTTGACCTTCTCCTGACCCTCCCGCAGCGCCCGTTCCAGGGCCAAGAAAACGGTGAGGGTTAAGGTTTCGGCCTCCTTGCGGTTGGGGCTTGTTGATAGGTCGAAGCGCCCCGCCACGCCCGCGATGATCTCCTCGGCGTCTGGCCGGTGCTTCTCGAGGGCGTAGTCGAGCAGCGGGACCCAATCTTCAAGCACCGAGGCGACCATGGCGCGGTTGCCCGTCTCGACGACGCTCAACGCAAACTCGATGCCGGCGCGGATCGTTGGGCGCAGCCCCGAGAGCTCGCCGTGGTTGATGGTCCGCCGCAGGTCGTTGGCGCACTGCTTGAAGATGGCGTCGACGAGCTCGTTGCGCGACGACATCAACGGCTTCAGCACCGCCACCCACATCTGCGAGACCCGCCGGGCGCTCTCCTCGTTGCCGAGCTCGAGCCGGCGCACCATCGCCTCCATTTGGCCCCGCGCGCCCGACAGAATTAGGCTGCTGGAGGCAAACCGGACAGTAGTTTTCAACAAATACAGCGGCGCGGGCGTTGGCGAGGGGCGGTCGGCGGACGCTACCACTCCTGCTGATCTCGCGGCGGGGCTCCGCCTCGTTCTCGTTTCGCGCCGCTCGTCCAAAGGAGCGCGCTCGAGCAACCGCTGCGTTGCTTCGCACCCACCCCCGACGGCCAGGTCTAGCGGCGTCTGGTTGTCGTTCCCCCTCGCGGCCGCATCGGCGCCCCGTTCGAGGAGTAGCCGCACGGTGGTTTCGCGCCCGTTGGCGGCAGCCAGGTGCAACGGCGTCTGGCTGCACCTGTCTCTCGCTCCCGTGCTAGCGTTTCGGTCGATAAGCAGCCGCGCGACACCTTCGTGCCCGTTTGCGGCGGCCCGGTGCAGCGGCCTCTGGCCGTTCGTCATGTTGGGGATGTCCGCACCGGGGCGCCTGCGGAGGAGCAGCGCCGCTACGGCTTCGTGTCCGTGCTCGGCGGCGATGTGCAGCGGAAACCAGCCCTCTCCGTCCGCCACGGCGTCGGCGTCGGCGTCGGCGTCTAGGAGCAGTTCCAAAACGGCCGCCTGTCCGTACCTAACTGCCAAGCCCGGCGGCGTCCAGCCGTCTGTGCTCTTTGCCTTTGCGTCGGCTTGCCGGCTTAGCAGCACCTGCGCGACGCCCCGCTGCCCGCGCGCGGCCGCTACGTGCAGTGCCGTCCAGCCGTTTTCCCTTTCCGCGGCGGGGTTAACGCCCTGGTCTAGCAACAGCTGAACCACGGCCTCTTGTCCGTACCAGGAGGCCAGATGCAGCGACGGCCAGTCATCTTCCTCGGCCACGACGTCGAGATCGCGACTTAGTAGGGTCCGCACGATATCGTCGCGGCCACCCGCGACGGCCCTATACAGGAGCGTCCTGCCCCGATCGTCCGCTCTTGTGGCGTCCGGATCGGCATCCACACCCGCAGTCGCCCCACCGCCAAGCAGCACGCCGACACTGGGCTCACCGGATCCGTTATGGCTCACCAGTCTGGCCGCTGCCAGGTACTCGAGCTCCGAGGTCGCATCGACAGTGACCGCCGGCGGGTGGTGTAATCGTGTCAGCCGGACGATAGGTTCCAGATTCGCCGCCCGCTCCAGCGCGACCTGTATGCTGAGCTCGCCGTTGCTGGCGCTCGGCGCCCCGAGCGCCTCGGGCCGCATGTCGGCAAACCTCTGCCCGATATCTTCCATAGGGGTGTCCCGACTCGCCGTCATGACATGGCATTGCGCGCGGCCTTTTGATGTCCACGAGGGCTCGCCTCTGAGAACCACCACAAAGTCGCGGCTGGAAGGAAACGCCGTCTCGCCGCCGTGGCAGAGCTGGAACCGAGCCAGTGTCCTCGGCGGGCCATCTTGGTCTGGCGCGGCCACTAACCTGATCAAATCGATGTCGTTTCTGATGTCGTTTCGAAACTTCCCGCGGCAAGGGGGCGTGACCTCGACGAGCCGCAGGCCGGGAATACCAGGATGAGAAACGCGGAACCAGCACCCCTGGGCCAAAGACGGGCGTGGTTCGCAGGCAATGTAGACAAACTCGCCGGCCGCCTCCGCGGCCGCGGACCGGTGGATCAGCTTTGCGTGGCGGCCCTCTAGCCGCACAAACTCCCTAGGCTGCTCTCTAGGCTGTTCCCCAGACACAGCGACCAGCGGGATTCCCACCACCTTACTCTTGTCGCTTTCGGGCCCGCACTCGAGCAAACAAAACGTCTCGCCGGTTGTGGGTAGGGTATAGAGGCGGATACGAAGGCTGAGACTGCCCCCCCTGACGTCCAGGGTGTCGCCGGCCGATCGCTCTCGTCCGGAGATGTCACCGCAGCCCGCGAAGCCAGAAGGACCCGTGGCCAGCACCCCCCCGCTGCTGCTGCTGGCCCCGCCGCGTGTCGCCGCCGCAGGGAGGCGTCGTCCTTTCTTGTTGGTGGGAAAGCCCCAGGCCAAGATGGAATCGTCTCGAGTCTTTCTCATGATTGCTTCTTGTAGCTGGCGAAACGCCAAGTGGCCTACCCCGTAGAGCATTGGCAGCACCACGTCGAAAATGCCTAGGAGGCAGTATGCGAGGTCCTCCTCCCTCGTCGTGTTCCTCGACGCGGCCCAGGACATGCGCTGCGCTACGCTTGTGTCCTGCACTTTGGCGTCGCCGTTGAGGACTCGTCGTGGTATGCTCGTGATCCGCTCGATTTCGCTGCAAAAGTCGGCCTTGGTCCCGAGGCGGTCCCAGCCCGAGCCGTAAAAGACGAGGCGGCTCGGGGCCAAGAGCTCCTGCAACGTCCAGCCACGCGTGAACCAACGGCTGCACGAGAATTTCGATTGCGGGCGTTTGGGGTCGTCGCCGGGAGGGACGTCGGCGAGGAACACGAGGCAAACCTCCGCGTCCCGGTACCACCGAAACATGGAGTTGATAGCCTCCCGAAGCTCCTCTCCGTCGCCCTTGTTGATGCAGCACGTGTCGATCCAAACGTACTTAACACCGCGCCCCGTTGCTAGCCGACAGCATCCTTGGAACTTGTCGGCGCCGACCCCGGGCTTGTTGACGTTTCCTTTGCTAATATCTGTGAAAGTAAGTTCCTCAGAAGCCTCTCCCCAAGTGTGTGATAATATCGCATATTTGGGGATTTCAGCGCCGCCGAAACGCTCCAACTTCTTCGTTTCCACATTGACGAGATACATCGCCGGATTTCACAGGTGGTTTGTTTAATATTGCTGCCAACCTTGGGTGCCTTTGCGTCGCGGAAACTGATGGTAACCCACTCGCCGCCTGGCCGAAGGGATAAATAAGTAGGTGGCCCCGTTATTTTGGGCTCCGTTGGGCAGGCTGTCGGGCCGCGTCCTCGCCAATTACTGTGCTTTTTCTGGTCCCGACTCCGACGTGGACATTGGCCATTGGCTGGTTGTAAGCCTGCCTATCACTTTGCGTCGCTAGCCGCCCCACACACACGCGAGCCCGTTTAAGGGAGCCAGCTTGGGGGGCGGAGGACACGGCACCCACCGAGTGGTGCTCCACGACAATCCGAAAAAGGCACGGCACCACTCGGCTGGTGCTCGCAGCAAAAACCAATCGCCCGCCAAACACCACTCGATTGGTGCCGAATCCCACCAGCGTTCTACCTGGCCAAATGCCAAAGGTAATTTTTACTTCCAAATAAGCCACGGCACCATTTGGTTAGTGCTTGCAGCAAAAACCAATCGCCCGCCAAATACCATTCGATTGGTACCAAATTTTATTAGCATTTTATTTGGCCAAATACCAAAAGTAATTTTTACTTCCAAATGGGTTACGGCACCATTCGGTTAATGCTTGCAATAAAAACCAATCGCCCGCTAAATACCATTCGATTAATGCCGAATCCTATTAACGTTTTATTTGGCCAAATGCCAAAAGTAATTCCGCGGACCAGCACCCGCCAAATTATTTTATACATTTAGCCAAATAATTAATTAGCATTTGCCATTGCGATTTTTACTTAACCAATTGCACAAAATGATTTTGCTAACCACCTTTGCTTAATCCGTTGTTTTAATGCAGCTTTATCGTTATTTTTTTTTTTTTTGCGGGGTGCTTAACCAACCTATTCCCGAAAAGCTGTTTAGCGTTATTTATAAAGTTTATTTGCACTTTATTTATTAAATGCCGTGCTTATAATTCTTTTTGCGCGGATTGCTAGCCGATAAGCCGGCGTTAAACTTCGATATTATTTTCCGGCTTTTGGTTTTTAACCAATTTAAAAAACGGCTCCGGATATAAAAGCCAATTGGGGCTATTTTAGCAAATGTAAGCAAATTTGGATATGCAATTTACTTTCGAATTTTTTCCAAATTTAAAACCGGTTGGTTTATATTAATACGTTGCGTTCCTTTTTTATTATTTTTTTTATTTTTTCCGTTTATTTTTAGCACCATTCCATAAAAGGTGTGTTAAATGCTTAAAATACCGCACAATTTGCCGAAAACCGTGCTTTGCTTTACGCTAACTTCTTATTTGGTTCCATTTAGCCAATTGCAAAAATTAATTAACAACGCGAATTTGTAAGGACCAATAATTACCTAGTTTAAGAAATAAAATACCTTAGCCAACCGCTAAACGCACGCTAGCAAATTCCATTTCCAATTTAAAAATAAACGGTTTAACCCCGTGTTTACTTACTTATTGTTGTCCTTTTCGCTACTATCGAAAATGGAGTTAAGCGGGTAATTGCTATAATTTAACGCGTTGGTATATTTTTATGCTTGGTTTTTTTTAAAAGCAAAAATAAAAGGCTAATTATAGGATTTTGCCGTAAAAAACTTGTCCAGGGTTTCTTTTGCCCAAGCATGGAAACGCTAACGCTTTTTTAAATATTAAACGTTATTTTATTAATTGCAATAATTAACGCATATTTCGCGCCAAATTTCAAATACAAACGCGTAATATTCGTTCGCATAAATCGTTTTGGCAGCGTTTTAAATTGCGTAATTACCGTTGCTAAGCAAAAGCTTTACCATTGCTTTATTTTGCTAAGCTACAAACCGATGGGAAAAACGGCAAAATTTAATGCCCGCCGCTTTGCTGGCCTTTTCGGCCCGCGCGAGCGTTTCTTTAACAAATTTAGCTTTTTAGCTTATTGTTAGCCAAATCCAACCTTTAAAAATCCTAATTATATGCTTATTTGCGCTAAACAAATATCGTATTTGTTATCGTTCATATCGTTAACGTCCAATTTGTAAAAGTTACGCTTAACGGCGTTAGCAGCTTTAAATCCGCGCAAAAGCTAGCCCAATATGCGGTTCGCCCTTTTGCGGATGCTAGCGGTTAAAACGTAACCGTTGTTGCTAGCTTTGCATTTAAAAAGGAAAGGCGGGTTTTAGCCGTATTTAAAAAAAGGTACGTAAGTAATAGCCAATCGTTCGAAATCGGCATAATTTCCTTTTATATGCAATAAAGGCTGCATAAGTTAACGTTAGCAATGCTAATAGCACCCCGATTAACCAAATTTACTTTAATACATTTGCTATCGTAATAACCGCTGCATAACATAAAACGGTATTTATTATCCAACGAACCGGTACCAACGTTCCATTCGGGGCTTTCGTTTTGGTCGATACAGTATACGCTGCCGATAAGCCGGGAAAAACCGCCGTTATCGCTGCAATTACGGTTCCGCAATTCGTTAATAACGGTGCGCAGCGTCCTTATACAAGCGAAATTGCCCAAAGGGACGTGCCGTACCATCGCGCTACGCGCGATAATACGCGGAGGCATAATTAATTTGTAAAATTAATTAAGTAAATTGTAAAAATGGCTAGGTAGCTTTATAAAAGTGTAAAATGCAAAGCTATGGTTAAAAATAATCGAGCAATTCCTTTACAATTTAAAGTTTATATACCTAAAAATATTTAAAAAAAAAGGGTTCATTTTTTAAAATGGGTTATAATTATAAGGCAGTGTAAAGCATTTTAACCCGCGCGTTTTAATACGTTTTAAATTTAAGCACTTTCGGTAATTGGCTAAATAACCAAACCTTTTAAATTTATTAATTTTTTTAGCTAGTTAATTGCTTAAGCTACAAATTTCAAAACGTTTAAAGTGTGCGTACATTTAGCCAAATGCTTAAAGTAAATAAATATTTTGCTAAATGTTTACGGTTTTACGAAGCATTTTGTGCAATTGGCTTACGCTTACCCGCTTATTAAATTTTTACTTTAAAGCACCTTTTGCACCTGGTTAAATGCTTACGTATTTCCAAATTATTAAGTTTTTTACTTAGCCATTTGCAAAAGGTATTATTATACAATTACTAATACAATGTAATAAAGCATTAAGGTAATTGGACAAACACCCAAATGCTTCGATTAATTTTTCCACCTAGCTATTTGCATAAAGTAACTTTTAGCGCTACGCAATTGCATTATAACCACGCACCGCTTATAATGCAATTTGCCAACCAAAAACGCCCCAACAGCACGTTACTTAAACCTGTATTTCAAATTATAAATAGCCTTACCCCGCTTTTAAATATTAAGCTTATCCTTATTCCCTTTATCGTTATCATTTTGCGCACGAACCACCCTTCCAATTCTTAAAAATAAAAATGCCCCACTTTTAATAAATAAAGCTTAAATTGCGGGCCCTTTTTTTCGTTGCAATAAATAAGCGCCGTTAAAAATTTTTATTTTTAATTTTTTACCAATTTTTTTTAACCCATACATAATAATTACCTGGTATGTTTTACCTTATATAGCCATTTAACAACTTACCATTACATTTAAAACCTTATTGTTTTTACCATGCATTATTTCCTCGCGTTCGGCCTTTATTTTATTTTTGTTAAAAACGTGTTAATAATTTAATTATAAAGCTTTTAAGCACAATGTTTGCTAATAACCAGGGCGCGGCCGAGCTTATTGCGGCCCCAAACGCGGCTTTTAAGCCCGCAATTTAACTTCTAATTATCGTTTTAAATAGCGATACGGAAAATGCGTTGGATAGCGATACGAAAAATGCGTTCGATACCGAGCCCGAATTTATTACGGCCCCAAGCGCGGCTTTTGGGCCCGCAATTTTGTTTCCAATTGTTATAATTTTAAATAGCAATTTGGCAAATGCGTTAAATAGCAACAACTTTCCATTTTTTAATACAAGCTCGAACGAGGATAGCGTAAACCCGAACAATTTTTTTTACAAAAACCAAATTGTTCCTTTTGCTTACCGCGCTTGTATGTTTACGGGTGCTTTAAACAAACGTATTACAGGCTAAATCCTTAAAAAGGCCAAAAATTCCGAATTAAAAATGGTAAAAATTTGGATTAAAAATTTAGGCATAAAACGGGTAAATTTATACATTTTTTTACAAAATTTTACGAATTTGTCCTAATACGATACAAAACATTAAGCGTTTATTTACGCTTAAAAAGATTTGCATTCCCTTTTATTTTACCGTTACTTGGAACTTCGATTTGGAAAACCATTACCGCATGCACGTTGCTATAGCTTATTTGCTATTTATTAAAAGTAAGTTATTCGTGCAAAACCGTACGCTTTTTAAATTAACAAATTATAGCGAATAACAAAGCTTGTACGAATTGCATTAGCAACAAATTCAAATGTCCCGTTGCTAAATGCTTAGCTAATACTATTAATGGCAAAACGGTTTTTAAAAGTGCTTGTACGAATTGCAAGTATTTAAGCCAGCGCAAGCATTGCTTGCTTTTTATTTTTGTTAATGAGCCTTTTAGTAAATGTACGCCTTTATACGGGTAATGTTTAAAAGCTAACTTTTGCAGCGTTTCGCAAACGTTCCGCTTTTAACGGCAACTTTTGGGCCCAATTGCTTAAAAGCATAACGGTCGAAACCATGGAAAAGTTCGAGCAGCATTTGCAAATGGAAATTCGCTGCAAAAGGCTTAAAGCGGGAAACTTTTTAAACTAGCATTAAGCTGTACGTTCCCGTATAAATTACAACGCTATAACATTACGGTTAGCGCATTAGTTTAGGTTAAATCCTAACGTTTTTGGGCTTAAATAAGGTTAATTTATACCAGGCGAAATGCCGCCGTATTTCCTTTAATTATTTAAATAAGTAATTTTTTTATTAATTCTTTTTTAAAAGGTTTAAAATACAATTTTAACGTAATGTACTAACTTTGCTTTAAAGTAAAGCGCTGTAAATAATGCTTACGTTATAATTACCGCTTTACTAAAGCGGAACCTTGCTTTATATCGGCGGTTTTTTTTTCGTTAACCCTTACCCCCCCACCTTTTTCCCGCTTTACATTACTTATATTCCACTTTTTTTTAACTACAATTTTATATTAAACGCGGCCGTTGCTTTTTTTTTATCGCTTTTCGCTTTTTTTTCTTTTTTTCCCATTGCGTTAATTGCTAACATGGCTGTGCCGGAAATTACCCCCGGTATAGGGTTAGGGTTAGGGTTAGGGTTAGGGTTAGGGTTAGGGTTAGGGTTAGGGTTAGGGTTAGGGTTAGGGTTAGGGTTAGGGTTAGGGTTAGGGTTAGGGTTAGGGTTAGGGTTAGGGTTAGGGTTAGGGTTAGGGTTAGGGTTAGGGTTAGGGTTAGGGTTAGGGTTAGGGTTAGGGTTAGGGTTAGGGTTAGGGTTAGGGTTA